AGGATTACTGAAAAATTATTTAGATTATCTACTTATATATTCGAAAAAATGAATAATACTTTGTTTAATAGAATCTATATAAACATTCATTTGAAAAAGTATATCTTATACTCTGATTTCTTTATTGATAACAATTCAAAAAATCTTTGTAAATAAATGAATTAATAAAATTAAGTTTTAAAATATTTATATTCTTTTAAACAAATATCAATTATCAATCAAAGATTGTTTACTATATAATCATAAATCGATTAAGATCTTAAAATACAAAATAATATATAAAATATCGAAAAAAAGCTTTTATTATATATCTCTATTTATCGATTGAAAAATACAATTAATATTTTATTCTAAGTTTTAAAAAAGGGAAAAATATTCATATACCTTCAAAAAAATTATAATAATTCCTCCAAATCCCCCTCTAAACAATCACAAAAATAACTCCTAAATAATATTTCAATATCCCAATTTCCCTTTTATAAATCTATCTTTTCCTTTACATTTTGAATTCTATTTACTTCTTTTTTATTATAATCATTTTCCTTTAAGAAACAATATATTCTTTCAAACAAATCTATTTGAAAATCTTATAATAACTGAAGAATAAAATAAAAAAATAATTCTTTATTTGAAAGTCTTTATAATAACTTCCTTTTATTATAAAGAAAAATCCTTTATTAATATTATATAAATCTTTATATTTTATAATTCTTTTTAATCTATAAATCAATATAATATTTTCGAATAATAATTTAATATTGTTTTGAAATTAATAAAAGATATTAAAGATTTTGTAGGAAAAATACAAAATAAAATCAAGAGAACAAAACTTTATAAAATTATAGATTTCTTCAAAATCGTATACTTTATTAAAAACAATAATATTATCCAAATAATTGAATAATATTGCAATAAAATCAAGGAAAATCTCAAACGTTTAAAGAAAATCTGAACAATTTTTAAAGGAAAATAATTTATAAGATTATAATCCCAAAACAAAAAACTGAAAAGAAATATTATAAAAACCAATATAATCTTTTATATTATACAATTTAATCTTTAGATCTTTATCAAATTCTTAAATGGATTTATAATTCAAAAATTTATCAAAAAGAAAGATTACAATTACAAAAAATATATTTCAATAAAATTTTATAATATATATATCTTTATTACAAACTTGAATCCAAAAACAAAAAAGAATTGGAAATCTTTATCTTTCGATTTCGAAAAAGATTTAATTTTCAAGAAATATCAATTTATCATCAATAAATTCAGATTTTTGAAAGAATATAAATTTAATGAAACCTTTTCTATTTTGTTTCAAAAATCTATATTTGAAAGTTTTAAAAGGATTAATAAAGCTAGGATCGAGAAAATTGATAATAAGGAATTAGAAATAGATCTAGATATTAAAAAGAAGCTAAAAACCATTAATATCCCTGATTCTTTATAAACTCTTTATCTTTTTTATAAATAAATTATTATATCAATTTTTGAATTTGTTGTTATAAATATTAATAAATAAATAAAGCGAAATTATATATTTAACTTTTCAAAGAAAACCCTTTTTCATTTTTTTATTCTAAATAAATTTGTTTTTTATTATCGAAAAGTTGATTTTATTTTAAAAGCAATTTCAAATAATAATAATGATACATTTAAAAAACTTTTTAGAATTATTCTAAATTCCTTTCGAAAATTGAAAAGTTATAATTATAAATCTAATCTTTAATTCGAAAATGAATAATATATATTAATCGATAAAAATTATATTGTTGATTAAATAGAATAGATAATTATTGTATTTCTTGATAAAAATATTATTGAAAAAGCTTTTTATATATATTATTTATATACTTTGATTAGATTATTTGATATAAAGATTAAATATATTTCTATCAAAAAACTTTGAAATCGATTAATTATAATAATCTATAATCGAGATTGTATTAATAAAATAAAACTGATTATTTAATTTTATCTTTGATTTTATCTTTATATATAATTGATTATTGAACAAATTAAACAAATTCAAAAATTTTATTGTTTCGATTTAAAATTAAATATATATTCTTTTTGTATAATTCCAGAATTCAAAACTAGATTTATCAAAAAAAAATTTATTTTCGAAATATTCTTTTGAAAACAAATCTTTATAAAAATTTCTAAATTTGTTTTCTTTTTATAATATAAAGACTTTTCAAATCTTAAAATTAATTTTGAAAATATTTTTGTTATTTATAAATGAAATTTCTATAATAAATTTAAAGAAAATTCGTTTTCAAATTATTATTATTTTCTAATTCAAATACTTTTGAGAAATGATATTGTTTTATAACGAACTATTATATTTTTATATATTGATAAAGAGTTTCGTTTTATTTCTATTTCTTTTTCTATTTTTCGATTTCCAGATTATAATTGAAAAACAATTTTGTATTATTCTTTTATCGATTTTATAAGATTGATATCTAAATATCGAAGTATAAAATTGTTTTCAAAAATTATTATCTTAATAAATCTTCCTAAACTTGATAAAGTATTAATTGAAATATATCAAAAATATTAGATATTGATATTAATCAATCTTGATAAGGGTTTTTGTTTAATTAAAAGCTTTTAAAAGCATTTATTCTTTTATCAATTTTGATATAATCTAGATTGATTTGTATAAAAGAAGGTTTTTCAATAAATAAAAAAAAATAATAAATTTCATTAGTAAATATTAATCAAAGAAGATTTTTATATAATTATTCTATTGTTCAATATAATCCTTTGATTTATTAATGTTGTTAAGAATTGTGATTCGATTGTAATATTAATTATTTATCTTATTATAGATATTAATGATAATGAAATAAAAGATAGTATTTCTCAAAAAAACCTTCTTCAATTGTTTCAAAATCAAATTGTCCTTTTTATTTTTTAGGAATTTAATAAAGAAAAACTTTATATATCAAAATTATTTCTTTTCGATATAAAAACATTATTTTTTTTAATTTCTATTTTATAAACTTTCTTAGGAAAAATCTTTTGGAATTCGAAATCGATAATAAACAAAATTTATATATTATTCAATTATAAATCCAAAGATTTTATAGATATATATATAAAGCTTTTTGAATATAGATTCAAAGAAATATAAACAATTTTCGAAATCTTGGAATAGAAAAAGAAATCCTAAAAAGTATATTCTTTTTTTATATAAAACTCAATTTATAAATAAAGATAGATTATTTTTAAAATTAAAAATTTGATAATATCTAAATTCATTAATAGAATTCTAAAAAAAGAATAGAAGATTATTAATTTAAAAGCTTTTATTTAAAAAGAAAAAACTTTTTTATTTATTTTTCGAAAATTATTTCGAAAAGAAAAGGAATTTGTTTATTATATTAAATCTAAATTGAAAAACCCTTCCTTAATCTTTAAAATATAATCGAAACAAAAAAAGATTTTATAATAAGAAAAGTCTATTATTAATCTTTTTGATATATAAGAATTATTTCCTTTTCTTATTCAAAAACAATAAAGTCCAATTTCTTCTATATCATCTTCAAAATCGAGAAAAAAGCTATTTTTGTCTTTCTAAATCTTTAAATATCTCTATTTGGGATTTGATGAATCTCTTCTTTTCTTGAATATATTTTTAAAACTAAAATCCAAATATTCAAAAATTGATAAGAATATTAATAAAAATAAAACTTTTATTGAATTATCTATTGAAAAATAAAAGATTATTTTCAAATTCAATAAATCTTCTTTTTCATTATTCAATTTTTATATTTATTCTAAAAAACTATTAATAATAATATTTTGTATATTCTATATTTTAATCAATTATTTTTTTTAATAAACAAAAAGGAATATATATTTCTTGGAAAAGAAGAATATAAGAAAATTGAAATTATAAATCAAATATATAAAAGTTTTAATTAGTTAATTATATAACCTTTTATAATTAGATATAAAAGAAAAATCTTTTGTTTTTTCTTTTTATAATAATCAATCTTTTATATATATATATTTGAATCTATATAATACTAATTTTAAAACTATTATGAATCCTGTTTTCTTTATAAATAATATATTACAATATAATCTAATTCAGTTTTCTCTTCCAATTCCCTTCTTACAATATACTATCGGGATACACATATCTCGACCTACCACTTTTACAATATCACGTTAGAAATATCCCACACCTATCTAGTAGCTACCTAGTAAGACCTATTCGCATTCCAATCCTAAATCTCATGAAATCCTCTACACAAAAAGCCACAGCAAACGATACAGCACTAAGTAGAGCAATATATTATTCCCTCATAATAATAACTATAACTATAACTATAATAAAAAACCCTCTTTATGTTCCTCAAAAAGATTTATAAAAAGTTTATTAAAAATAATTATATGTATATATATATTAAAGCTGCTATCACATCATTCTTATATTGAGAAAAATCAAATTTTACTCCTTTTTATTATCGTCCAGGAACAATTTAATCATTCTATTCCGCTGAAGATATGACGTCGATCTCCGCGTTTTAGAGCGCTCCCCTTCTATCTTCTACCCCTTCTACATCATCTCCCTCTTTATTAACAAAATCTAACAAAATCTCATTATATAGAATATTTAAATCAATTTTAAATACCCAAAAAAAATCACTCGAAGTAGATATATATATATATATATTTAAAATATTGATTAATTTACAAGATTATAAAAAAGAAAATCTAGAAAATCTATAATGTATTATCTTATTAAAAAGCGTGTATTCTATCTGAGGTTAGTTATAAAAACATATATATATTATAAAAGTTTTTATTGTATATTAAATAGTGATGGAGTCAGGATTAAATAAGAGAAGAGTAGATTAAGTCAGGGGATTTATATTAGAGTGATATTTTTGCTGTTTATTTATATATATATACATGTATGAATATTCAATCAAGCATCAACCCCTCCCCCCCTCTACACCAACCTCCCCACAAACCAAAACCCATCAATTCTCTTTCCAATTCCCATTCCCATTCCTCCTCCCTCTCTCATGCTCTCCTGCCCCTCCCTCCATCTTGAAAAAAACATCACTAAACCTAAACAACACCCTTAGCCCACCTCCTCACATCCACTCCCGCAAAATTCGTCTTCCCCTTTCCAATCTCTTCACTTCCTCCGATGCGGAAACTTTCCGGTGGTCCAAGAAAACTTTGACGTACACCGCCCATATCGATTATGACTGAGTTGAGTTGAGAGTTAGTAAAAGTTTATTTTACCTTTCGCTCTGATCTGAAATAAAACGAGACGAGACGAGAAAAAACAAAAGAAGAAGTATGATAACAATCTCCTTCCTTCCTTCCTTCCCAACCGGAAAATGAAGAATACATGAACCAAAAAAAAAGAAACTCACTCTTCTGAAAAACAACCCCCGGTTCAATCGCCCAAATCTTCAAACTATGAGCCCCAGCAACCTTAAAAGCCCCATGACTAGTCATCGTCGTATTCCCACTACTTTGTCCCCAAACACCATCTACAACCGCACCAGCCCAACCCGTCGGAAAAATAGCCGTACTAACACTACTCGGCACAAATTGTCTTATCTGCGGAACTTCATCATCAATTGCGATCGCGTATTTAAGAGTTCTTTCTCTACCGTTTTGATTTAATGATGGAGAGATAAAAAGTGTAATGTTTGTGAGGGGGACAGCTGTAAATGTGTAGAGATTGTAGAAGAGATAGGGACCGCTTGTTGTATTTTGTGTGGGTGCTAGGACGGGGGAAAGTGTTACGCCGCTGTTTGTGCGGCCGAGACCAGGGAGTGTGATGTAGGATATTTCGTTTACGGATGTGGAGTAGGAGGTGTGGTCTGCTTCGATGGAGATGTGGAGGTCGGATTCTACGAAACCGTTGGTGAAGTTTGAGGGGATGAGGGTGTTGTTTACGGGGAGGAGAATAGATGGTGGTCCGTAGTTTCCCCATTGACCGCCTTCGCAAGAGGAGGTTATGAGAAGGGTTACGATTGTGCTGTTTGGAGGTGGAGGTGCGGATGGCCAGTCGATGGATACGTAGACGCGCGTGTCAGTTCCGTTTGATCCGCCGGTTATACCTGTGGTTTGGGATAAATGAACATATGGTTGAGAAGCATTAATAGTCCAGCTACAACCGAGAAGTCCGCGAGCAAAGATATCGACATAACGTGTTTGTGGTCCATATGGATCCATGGGAGGTAGAGTAAGTACTTCCGATGAAAGTGTATGATAATTGTCATCTCCGGATACTGTGGCATTTGAGCCTTCGATTCCAACACCTAGATTTCCTGCAAGAGAAGTTTCGAGATCTTGGACGTATGACATGGGAGGAAGAGCATTGCGCATTGGTTGTTGCCAGTAATCGTATCCAAGATGGGTTTCTATTATCTGTAAGTCTATAGCTACGAAAGATCTCTGGCAAAAGAAGAAAATACTCACGATCCAAGAAATGATTCCACTTCCCACCAAGTAAATCATGATATCTCTGCGTTAATTTATGATCCATTTTAAAAGCATCCAATACCTGCTGAAAAATCTCATTCGCAGCATTTCTCTTTTGTTCCGTATAATGAGCATTTTTACCCGCACCAATGTGTATTTGATTAACAACTTGTCCTCCAAGTACTGGTTGCAAAATCATCTCATAATAAGCTGGTTTCCAATCTTCTCCTAATTTGTCATAAATTGCTTGAGCTTCTTGAGCCAATTGTTCCCATTGGGCGAGGATAGCATCTGCTTCATTGTAGTTGATTACTGAATAGACTGTCATATCAATATTCTCGTATTTTCGCCTTGCCGCCAACATTCCATATGTATCCATGATACTTGAGATATTGGAAGCGTATTCAGGGCCAAACTCTCGCGTAGCCCATAATTCGAGCCATTTAGGAACAGAATCATAGCCCCATTTAGGTGTGTCGTAAGCGAGATCCATGAAATGATTTATAGGGATCTCAAGGGGTTTAAGATCACCAACGTTAAGCATCCAGATTCTATTTGCTTGACGGGCAGAAGCAAGTTGCATCTGTTATAGATAGGTTCATTAGGCTTGTGCTATTGCACCTAAGGATAGGATTTGAAATGTTACTAACCTGCTCGACAGTCTTCTCAAGCTGAATAGTATTAATCCATTTATAGTCCCGAGGTGGCCCAACATAATCCACATGATAATAAACACCTGTTCAACAACATCAGCATCTTCAACTATGACTTAACCAAACACAACCAATAATTTACTCACCAGCACCACCAGTCCTACTCGTCTCATTAGCCAATGGTAACCTTCTTACGTTCCCAAAATTATCATCCGCCCACAACAAGGTAATATCTTCTGGGACCTTCATCCCCGCCTCATAATAACCTTGGACCTCACTATACAGACACCACATTTGCGGAATCTCAGTTACATTCCTTCCTTCGAATACTTCCCCAAATATTTTCCTTTGTTTTGTTACCACATCACCCAGAAGTGCAATAGCTTCTGCTTGAGTCAAGGAAAGAGCAGTATCACCAGATCCACGCATTGCCATCGTGAACAGAGTATTTGCAATGTAAGGAACGGCACGCTGAGCGCCGTATTTGAAGAATGGATCGACGGATGCATTATTAGTGTCGTATTCCCATTGGCCGTTACCGCCATATTGCTTCCCAAAAGTAGACCATTCTTTAGTGGCACGCGTCATTGGTTCTAGAATTATTCCAGATTAGTACTATGATATGGCCATTACTTGGAGGGAACAAACCTGTGTGACTTGTTCCCATCACAATTCCATAAGCATCTGCCAATGGTTGATTGGCATAATCATCCACATTGAACATACTATTCCACTGAGCAGGCCAGAAATAATTTGCTCTCAATCTCAGTAGAAGTTCAAAGACACGAGAGTGGAAATAGTGATTGAATCCTGGTCCATATTTTCCTTGTGGATAATTCGCACTAGGATCGTTAGCAGCCATCTCTTCCCGCTCTTCGACAATCTCTGTAAAATACAGAGAAGAGAATACGAAAATACAACGACTCACTTAATCCAATTCGTCAAAGCAGGTTGTTCATCATTCAAAAAGAATCCTCTATATCTCACACTTGGAGTATCCTGAATCTTTAAAATCTTTATCCTGCCGCTCGCACGTGGACCTGTCGGTTCTGAACCTCCTTGTGCTCTTGGTTCATGATGCTGGGTCGCATTTGGACTTATTGCCCAAACACCATCTTTTGTTCTCACCGGCACATCCGCCCACCACCACCAAGGACTAACACCTGCTTGTTCACTAATATCATAAAGTCCATATATGGTACCTCGGAGATCACTCCCTACGATGACCATTGCTTTATCAATACCGGGTAGAGGATTTTGGATGATGACGGACATGAATGCTTCCCATTTTCCTCTAATCGGATTTGGATCTAGAAGACCTGATGAGATTAATTGGGTAATAAGTGGAGATTGTGTGAGAGTTCCAACAATCAGTACCGTGGATGAAGGGTTGGATGGGTGAAGAGTAGGACCGGTAAAGTTTTGTTCTAGACCAACGGTGTACTGTTTTTGTGTAAGATTCCTCATCTTTGAATCAAATGAGATGTGAAATGGCAAGATCCATTTTCACCAGGCTTCGTAAATTATCATAAGAGCTTATTGAAATTAACTTACATTAATGTTATTCGTCGGTGCTCTATAAGTATAAAGTACTTCGATCGGGCCACCGGTACCACTGTCAACTGTTGCATTATGTCCAGTATCGCCACCGGGATTCGCGACATCACCCACTACTCCTCCTTCTCCATTGCCGTTGTTCCGTCCACTTCCCTGATGAGGCAGTTTTGGTCGGCCATCTCTATCATCACCAGGATTCACCTGCGAAACATCTGGCCCGGAGTTACCATCCCAATAAGCTAACGTCAGGTTTTCCCCTACAACCTTTCCCAAATCTCCAGCCAAATCCTCCGCTACTCTCAAGACACCCCACCACTCCTCTTTACTTAACAATATCTGCGCATTGAGTCCTTTACCAGCAATCTGCAAAGGCGAAGATGTACCATTTGTCGGCTTCGTCGTTGTAATCGTTGGATCTTGGCCTAATGCTGCAGTCAAGGGAAAGAGGAATGTTAATGAAGTGAGGAAAAGAGGTAATCGAAGGAGGTCGGAAGACTTCATCCTGAATTTCCTGATTGATATATTGATCACGGCATGAATGAATATGGGAAAGACATGTAACCTAGTAAAAATTTCAAATGAAAGGAAAACTTATGTTGAATTGAGGGCAATGGAAGTAGGAATCAAGAGGTAATTAACCATTACAACGAAATTCTCGAAAAATCAAAATCCGGGATCCCATATAGAAGCTATTCCGCCTAAACTTAACTCCCGCAGTTTACGGTAAGTAATGGGTCAAAGGATATAACCGCAGGTGTTCCAAAGAGAAACTTATGCTAGTCAGTCCAATCATCATGGGTTGAAAGTGGGATAAATGCACATCTCTACAAACGTTTTCATTGCCTGACAGCGTTGCAGTGTAGCATCATCATGTAGCCAAGCGGGATCAAGTATCGGTGAACTTACCCGTAATGTAGAATGGTCTAGCTTCTTTCCCAAAGTAGTGTGGAGATCGGCAGAATGATGTTGCGGGGTTTCAACATGCCACGCTCCTATTTAGCCCGAATAGAGCAATTGAACAAATCACATATGGCTGCGTGCAATGGAATGGCGGGGAAACGGTAAGTAGGAGCATGTATTTAACCTTTAACCTAAGATGCAACAAGATTGCCAAGAACCTTGGAATGAAATAACTCAAATAAACTTCATTGGTATAACACCCGTACCAATCGGCTCGAAATGACTTCCACCAACTATGGCAAAGTCCCAACGGCTATTTACCAACTACTTGCAAACAAAACATAACAATTCACGAAAATTACGAAGCGGCGATTAAATACGAAAGAGTTGTTTTGAAATTATAGAAAGTGATGATGTAGAGATCGCCAACCTTGAAGTACTTACAAGCAAGCCTCCTCTTTCATTCTGCGACCTCCACAAAAAAGTATTCTCATCCGCAGTGTTTTCTTTTCTAAATTGTAATGCCAAAAACCATCATTGGCGAAACCTACCAATATCATGCATGTAAACTCCAAAGACCTCATCGTAGACACTAGAGTCAGAATGCGTGCTTTTCAGATAACGTCAAGTCAAACAAACATGTTCCCGAAAAACTTAGCTGTTTTCAGCACCAATCCTGCCCGTCAAATTTGTTGCCTGTAACCGCAGTGGGTCGGAATATTCGAGACCTCGGAGGTGGAACGAGATCCACGAAGTGTGCTTTGGGAGTGATTTTGAGAGAAAATCTGCGAAAGGTCCTCGAAATATCATCCAATATATCAATTGTTGACAGTAACGGCAGCAACAGATTCCTCAAGGGATGTTTCATTCTTTCCATCTGGGACAAATGCGTACCTGGGCATCTTGGCCATCTTCTCCTCCGGACTGACATCATTATCTGAGTATATCATCTTCATCGGCTTATCTTTCTTGGACTTCTTCTCGGCGACGTCGGTCTTTCCTTCTGATTTCTGCTCTGATTTGTCGGCACTTTCAGGAGCAGCGGCTGCTTCTGATGTTTCGGTTTTAGATGGATCGACTGAGTCTCTCTTCGGTGGTTTAATACCTGCCTCTGCCATTCTGATTATCTTGTCAATGTCATCATCAGCATCTCTGGCAGCGCCTGAAACAAGGTCATCCACAGTAGATGCGTTAGTCGAATGTTCCACATTAAGGCCTGGAGGATGAGGATAAGCTGATGACATAGCTGAATTTTGATCTTGTCCATTCCATCCATTACCATTCCATCCACCTTTCTGATGAATCTGTTGCATTTGATATGATGGAACTGGGGGTGCACCAAAGGATGGCCTTTGAGGTAGACCAGGTGCTGCTGGTAGACTTGGGGGTCGGTTAGGGAGACCACCATGTGTAGGTGGAGTGTGAGACGGTGGCGGTTGATACCCGTTGAAGGGCCCAGGAGGAGGGGAACCTGCGCCGAATGGGGACGGCTGATAAACATTAGGTGTATATTGTGTAGGGGAGAATTGAGGTTGAAAAGGTGGACCAGGAGGTCCGGAAAATGGCGGCTGCTGCTTATATGGCTGTTGGTAAGCTGCCGCAGGTTGACTGTACGGTTCTTGAGAAAATGATCCATAACCCGCACCTTGTGTAGCACCATAAGAATTCTGAGGAGTAGGGAATGGCGAGTTATTCTATTCAAGAGATTAGTATTGGTCTCACTGGAATGACAGTATAGACTTACGAATGCACTAGGGCTTTGCGTCGTCGGCAAAGGACTTGCAGCACTGTGAATACCACCATCTAAAGGTGTATTTGCGCCACTACTACCATTCGCTGCTTGTTCGGCTTTCCGAGCTTTGTGCTCTGCTAACCTTTTCTTCAATTCTGCCGATGACTCAACCTTGGGCTTTTTCGACTGACCACCATTGGCATTGGCGGTCCCTGGAGCAGGGTTTCCAGTAGCGGCACGACGATCTTGTTCCGCTTGATAGAAACCTGCAATTATGCGCTGATTATGTGCTTGAACCACATCTTCCGGAATACCTTCCATACCAAAGATTTCGACCTCGAGACCCTGTCTATTCGGAAGAGAATTGTCGACACTTGCCAGAGTTTCTTTATGTACTTGGTTCATATGAACGGAGAGTCCTGCGGGGTTTTAATTAGCTTGAGTAAACGAGGTAAGGAAGTAGATTCTGATGTACCTCCAGCAGTGTTCAATCGTCGACCACATCTTTCGCATTTGAAATGTTTCGCCTTTTGATGAGAGATGAGAATTTTCAAATCATCGAAATCGCGCTCACCTGCGAGATGGAAATTGTTAGAAACGTGAATGCGGGACGATGGGAATTGAGGTGGCGGGACTTACAGTAATAACACCAAGGACGAGCCAGTAACTCCTCGATATCGGGATGACCGCGCTTCTTTTTTCCTACCATTATGTTGATTAAACGATAGATATATTGAAAGTAAAAGTATATCGAAAATGAATATTGAAGACAAAGGGAACTTTGAAGATTCACAATTACTGTATTCACGAGCAGCTGCGAAAGGACGGAAGCTGGCTTATAGTAGATTTCGTGTTTTCGGCGACATGGTCTTGTCGATCCCATCAAACTTAGATTAGCGTTAAACTTAGTGTCACGTGAGTAATCTGAGCTTGGACCTCTTCATCTGGATTTTTCGAGCGCAAAATAAATCTGCTCACTTCGAACTCCAATTCCTACTCACTGGCAACCACAAGCATTAATCTATCAAGTACTACCTAGGTAGGTATACACGAGTTTAAGTCAAATGGTGACTCGATGTTATCTTGGACAGAAGTCGAATCTTCGAGCCCGGGAAAGGTAAGTCAATGGATAGGATAGAGGTAGAATGAAGGAAGGGGACAGTATTCTCCTTATCCGGCTCAAATGCCTCACAATAGCAATACCTTGATCAATCACTCAGCCTTTACTGGTACTCATCGATGAGACTCTTCTTCTGAAGAGCCTTTCAATATCTTCGCGTCTTGTGTCGATATTGAATGGAGGTTGAAATGAGGTATGATCTTTCGGGATTATACCTTCACAAGAGGATATGTTGCAAGACTAATTAAAGGACCTTCATAGTCCATACTCCTACTCTTCATGAGAGCCCTACAGGAGTGTGGCTCCTTGCGTACCTACATTTCTCTGCCAAATAAGATCGTTATTTTCCATTGTCGGTTCAGATTGATTGTGAAGAAGAAGCCCAGCCGAACATGTCGTCAGGAAGCTCGAACCGATAACTCGCTTGATGTGACTGTACTTGCTGCAACTGAGGTTCTGCGGCAATAGATTCAACGCTCCAGTATACCTAGTCAGGTCAAGTTAAAATGCGAGATTGATATGGGAAACCTCGCACGAGAGCTTATTCCAGTAGAATCAAACATCACAACACAAATCGATGACTGAAGCTGGGTCAAATAGACTTAGCATTAGGTTTGTTTAACCTTCGTCTGACATGCAATTTGCATAACTAGACCATAACTGTAACCACTCGATGCGGTGAATGCCCATAGTCTTGATCGAAGAGTGCCTTTGAAGCCATCGACAGAATGTGCACGAACTGTAAGTCTTACATTTCTGAATAGCTGCAAGAGTGTTCGTACAGATAAGGTTGATGTGAACATCAAGGAAGGTGTAAAGGGACAGCGCACAGTGACTGTATTTCTTGTTTGGATGTCCGCTAAATACACCAGTTATAGTTCTGGCCAGAACAATCGATAGGAAAGTGTATCTAGTACTTCTCCCGAAGAAAGCTAATTGATTGATAGGCCAAATATATCAACCACATTATATTGGTTGATGTCGAATATGCTCCATTATTGACAACAAGATGTGAATCGTATGAGCATATGGAGTACTAATCATCCCACAAGTCCATTCCATGTGAAATCAAGCTTTTCCAAGCCTCGGACTGTTTTTCTCCATCCACACTTCAAGTGTTCCAACATGTTATATCAGGTAACGTCATATTCAGAACATGGACATCATCACTTGAGTGAATCTATCAATACATAATAACCTGTTCTTCTTCAATCTACCCCCTCGACCCTTTTAATCATTACATGGTTCAAGCCGTCAAACGAAATCTCAATCCCCTCAAATACAACAATCTTACATCAACCCCACACAATCATAACAACCTCCGAATCCCCTCACTAACCACTCGACAACAATCAACCATGTCATCCCGCAATCATACACATCAAAAACACATCTCCTCCCACCACAAACGTACCAAACCCAATGAGAAACATCCCCAGTTCGGCCATCTACCCCTCAGCACCAGCGGTCCATTAGAATGTGCTCTTACGGGTACCGCACTCCTCAACACGCCATATCTGAATAAAGGAGCGGGTTTTCCAGCAGATGAACGAAGATCCTTCAAGTTGACGGGTTTGTTGCCGTCGAGCGTATCGACTTTGGATCAACAGGTTAAGAGAGCTTATGAGCAGTATAGTTCAAGAGACAGTGATTTGGCCAAGAATACTTTTATGACTTCGTTGGCCGATCAGAATGAGGTTCTTTATTACAGAGTGAGTTTTCTATTTTTATTAGTCACACGATATCTGGCTGGGCTCTTCTAGTGATACACATTTTGGACTTTTTGAGTATCACGGGAAATATGATACATATCTGAATTTAGACACAAGAGACAGCTATTCTAATTCATGATAGTTAATTCAAGAACATATGAAGGAAATGTTCTCCATTATTTATACACCAACAGAAGGCGAGGCAATTGAGAACTATTCTAGAGTATTTAGAAGACCTGCTGGTTGCTTCCTCAATATCGATGATACGGATCGTGTTCATGATGATTTGGCCCAATGGGGTGGACCAAATGATATTGATTATATCGTTGTTACTGGTATGTGAAGTACATCACATTTATAACAACGGTGCTAATACTCCATAGATGGAGAAGAAATTCTCGGAATTGGTGATCAAGGAGTTGGTGGTGTCTTGATCTCAGTCGCAAAGCTAGTCCTCACAACGCTTTGTGCTGGTATTCATCCAAATCGAACACTCCCAGTTGTATTGGATTGTGGAACCGATAATGAGAAGCTTCTCAATGATGATTTGTATCTCGGCTTGAAAAAGCCCAGAGTAAGGGGAAAAGAGTACGATGATTTTGTGGACAAATTCGTCCAAAATGCTAGAAAGCTTTATCCTAAGGCTTATATCCATTTTGAGGATTTTGGTCTTCCAAATGGTACGCACGATTTCCTTCAACTCTAGAATTAACACTAACAATTACACAGCCCGAAGAATTCTTGACAGGTATCGTCCTGAAATGGCATGCTTCAACGATGATGTTCAAGGAACTGGATGTGTAACACTCGCAGCTATGATGGCAGGTCTTCACGTGAGCAAAATCAAGCTTGAAGACACTCGGATCGTAGTCTTCGGTTCCGGTACAGCCGGAACAGGAATCGCAGACCAAGTTCGCGATGCCATTGCAGCCGATAGTGGAAAATCCAAGGAAGAAGCCGCCAAACAAATCTACTGCGTTGATAAACCCGGTCTACTCCTAAAGTCACACGGTGACAAACTCACTCATGCACAAATCCCATATGCTCGCGAAGATTCCGAATGGGAAGACAAAGACCACAGAAATCTTCTCGAAGTAATCAAAACAGTAAAACCACACATCCTAATCGGAACATCCACGCAACCAAAAACCTTCACCAAAGAAATCATCCAAGAAATGGCCTCCCACGTCGAACGACCCATCATCTTCCCCCTCAGCAACCCAACCCGTCTCCACGAAGCCGACCCAAAAGATATAAACGAATGGACCAAAGGCAAAGCCTTAATCGCCACCGGCTCTCCCTTCCCACCCGTCAAATACGAAGATCACGAATACGAAGTCGCAGAATGTAATAACTCGACCTGTTTCCCCGGCATAGGACTCGGATGCGTTCTCTCCCGTACAAAACTACTAAGTGATAAAATGCTAGTCTCCGCCGTCAAAGCACTAGCTTCTCAAAGTCCAGCGTTGAAAAATCCAGATAAGGGTTTATTACCCGATGTTGCAGATGTTCGTGAAATTAGTGTTCATATCGCTAAAGCCGTTATAAGATGTTCGGTTGAGGAAGGTCTGGCGCAGGAAAAGGGTATTCCGGGTAATGATGAGGATTTGGAGGAATGGATTAGAGAACAGATGTGGGATCCGGTTTATAGACCGTTGAAATTGGTGGGGAAGGAAAAGGCTAGTAGACATGCGAGTGGGAAGAGTGGAACTGCTGATTAGGGGTTTTTGTGGGTTGAGTTGAGTTGAGCTGTGTTCTTTTCGTGGATTGCTCTTTTCTGTATTATGATTTCATTATAATTATGGTTATGCTAGCATCCTGACTTGATAATGAATACTTACTTGATCATAACCTGCCATGCAATCATCACAGCCTCTATGCGGAACCTCGATACAATAACCCCAATACAAGAACCCCAACACAAAACCTCCACCCACATCTCCCAAAATTACAAAATCCCCAAAGCCGGTATTCAAACCCATCCCCTCCATTTCCTCCATCCCATCAATCACATAACCAATAACCAATAACCAATAACCAACTCTTAAATCACATCACATCACATCACATCACAGCACACCATACCTACATCTCACATTAAAATCGAACCGAATCGAATAAAGTGCACATGACTATAGACTATAGACTATAGATTATAGACTATAGACTATAGATTATAGACTATAGACTATAGATTATAGACTATAGACTATAGATTATAGACTATAGACTATAGATTATAGACTATAGACTATAGATTATAGACTATAGACTATAGATTATAGACTATAGACTATAGATTATAGACTATAGACTATAGATTATAGACTATAGACTATAGATTATAGACTATAGACTATAGACTATAGACTGAACATGCATCACTCTACAAACTGTATGATATCAGTTAGGGTTAGGTCTGGAATGGGTTATTCAATTAATTCAATTAATTCAATAGTTGCAAGTATAGTATGGAGTTATGTTACACATCGAAGGAGGTAATTTCCTGATGTATCGTATCTATCGATATATCTATTCTTAAGAGGAAAGATAAGTTCTCCGTACTTGCGTTTTTTGTGTAAGATTAATTAGACGATCCGCCTTCTGAATACTTTCTTAAGTACATGTATATCATGGCGTACTACACTATCAAACCACCTTCCCGTTTGTAATAGATCACCAAGATAAATAATGAATTTAGAATCCGAAACCTGAATTTATCACAACCAATCTCAATGATAAGTTACATACCCACCAGCAGCAATACAATCCCTCATTCGTCTCATAACAATATATATACAAAACTGGGTATCAAAACAATAACATAACCAAGCACCCAGAGAACATCAATTCCTTCATTCCCATCATCAATATCTACTCCTAGCCCTACCACCTTGATTCTCCTTCCATAAACAACAAATACTCTTACTTTCACACCATTTCTTGACTTCTATTGGAGCTACCTCTTCATCCCAGCCAACCTTACCCAGTGCTCCAGTATTCAACCAAGATGCCAGATCTTCCAGAATAATTGGATCATAGAGCAATATTTTCTCATGCCAGCTTGGATTTGATGGGTCTTGTGAAGGTGGAGCATTGGTAATTGCAGTGTAGATATGAGTAAACAGCTGTGCTTGCTGAGCTTCTTCATCTTGATTACTGTCACCAGGAGATAATTCAAAAGCCTTGGATACTTTTCGAATTTGAGAGGCGGATCGCCGTGGCGGTGATAGCATGATAGGATTATCAGAGTCAGAAATATGTTCGAGGGGCTGCTTTCCCTTACGGGATCTTTTGGGCGTGCGGATCTCAGAGAGTGGTGTATCACTATCCATTTCTAAGAATGCCACCGTATCTGTCATCTTTGACTTTGTCTTTGGCTTGGATTTGGGCAATGAGGCATTAGAAGTAGTAACTTTCTTCGCTCGGCCTCGTCGAGGAGAAGGAATGATGGGCTCAACTTGAGTGGATGATTTGGCTACATCTTTAGACTTTTCCAACAGATTTTGCGTGGTAATTGGAATATTTCCTTGTAGAACGCCTAAAGCTGGGCGATTTTGACTTTCATAACACTGAATTAATAAATCAATCATCTTCTTTCGACTTTTGATCTGCTTGAACTTATATTTTTGAATTTCCCTCGTTAGTTGTGGTGTAGTAAATGATTCATAATCAGGCATCTTGGAGGCATCGGCTTTCTTAGGAGTGGTGCTTTTACCAACCAAAGATTTGGTGCCTTTCTTCTGTGGGGAAAAATTGGAGGTATCCTTCGAGGTATTATTAGGTTGAATGGGGCTCTCCGAAAGGTGCAAATTGATAGATCTCTCAATTGGTCCCATTTCCCTTACTGGAACTTGGGTAGAAGGGGGTCGGTTATCTTCAATCTCGTCAATATCAAACCACTCATCCTTACCAGGCGTGACTAATGATGAAGGCTTTTGTGATAGCATGATTCTATCTGGCTTCGCAATTGGTGTGTGTGCTAAGTCTTTCGTCTCAATATCCATCAGATCCCCGTGATTATCACGAGCAGCAACGGACCAAAGATTCCGTTTCGCAGCAACTACAGCTTTTCCTCTCTCAGCTATCTCGGTAAGGGGTGAAACGAAAGGATCATCATAATCATCCAATTCATTAGATGCTTGCATAGCATCATGCAAATCCCGTAGTAATGAAGGGGAATCTTCTCTTGCCAATTGACTTGAAGTTCCGAACACAAAGTCTTGGTTACTAACTTGCTTCATCGCAGATTCCGGGGAAAGAAGAATTGGCTCTTCTGCAGAGCCCTTTTTTGACTTTTGTACTTTCTTTATTGGACTCTTTGACCTTGGCTTTGGCAGAGTTTTGAAGCCATCATTTCTGGATCCTTCGGGAGCTGCATGAGCGAAGTATTGAAGTAAAGGCGCGGGCGCATCCAGAAGATCACCATCATCTTCCGCCGTTGCATAAGCAGATGTGGCAAGGTCAGTGAGCGTTCTAGATTTCTTCTTGACAGCTTTCTCCTTTGCGGTTTTTGAAGTGGGTTCCCTGGGAATATTTGTAGTGACCATCTCAATTAACTTCCTCTTCCTTGTTGCAGCGGCTCCATTGAATACTCCAGAAGATATTCTCTTCTCGATAGAATCCGTCTCGTTACTGCTTAATCCAAAGCTCCCTAGTAGCTCTGCAAATCCTTTGCTTGTGTCCGATCCTTGAGCTTCTGGACTATCCTCAAGGTCAATTGGAACGTTTGTCGGTTTTGGTGGAGTCCAGTTCGTTCTTCTCTTAATTGCTTCTACTAAACCAAATCCTTCCTCCGCAACTACATCTTCGACGACCGAATTGGGCGCAAAATGTTTACTAACTGTGTCGGCCTTTGAGGTTTCGACTTCGTCAGTATTCGAAGCATTGGCGGCGGATTTGGTCACTCTGCCTTTTACCATCTTAGATTGTAAATTTGAGTCCAAATCTGATTTCTTAGCTCGCGGCTTCCTCACTGCTTTCTCCTTTGGCACCGTTTCAGTTCCAGCTTCAACATCGGTCTTCTTCGCCCTAGATTTGCGAGGTACCTTCTCCTTGACATCCTCTTCTGTAGCTTCACCCACTTTCTTGGCCCTAGATTTGCGCGGTTTCTTTTCCACAATCGCCTCTGCGACACTCCCACTCTTTCCTTCAGCATCATCTCCCTTCTTAGCTCTAGGCTTTCGCGGTTTCTTTTCGGCTGTAATGTCTGCAGCCTCTCTCACTGCCTCTTCCACGATAACCCCAGGTACATCTTCATCCTTCTTTTTCACAGTCTTCCGGGATGCTTTTGCCATCTTCTCAACTGTCCCATCTTCCTTTTTTGGAGCGGTTTTTCGTGGAGCTTTCGGTTTCGCAGATTTTTTCAAACCATGCCCATCTTGCCCTGCAGATGTTACAAACGACCGAGCGTTGTCAAATCCTTGAAGAGATCCAGAAGAAGATTTCCGTAACAAAGCTGATGCGCTCGCAAAGGTTGTTGTCGTGCCTGTAGGAATAGGTGCAATACCATTACCTTGTCGCAAATTGGAGGCTTTCTTCTCATTGACCATCTCGTCTAAAGAAGGCAAAGGAGGTGAAGATGCAATATGAGACACCAATCGTCGTGGTGGCGAAGAGGATATAATAAAGACATCTGTGGTAGCCATTTTGATATTACTACCTAGAAAAACTATGCGCCGGGCGCCGTTTCCTTTAAACGGAAGGCACGACACAATTGATTTTAGTTTTCACATTGAATATGTGTGAATGACGTTGTCGTCGTAAATATTAGCGATGTTTCAGTTCATATCCATATCATATTGATAATTGATGTTGATGCTAATATTTCGCAGACAGTCTTCACTGATCAGAATCGAATCTCAGAGCTTTGTTTACGAATACGAATAAGCAACTCGCGACACTAACTCGAAAAACGCGCCAAGTCACATGATATTTTCTCTCATCAGCCACCATCTTCAAAGCCACATTGCCTAAAATATATGGCTAAAACAAAAAGTTCTCGCTTATCAGAAACCCTCATTTTCCAAGCCCCACGAATCTAAATTTCATTCAACCTCCGACGACATCAACGCCAATTAAGAAATCCCTAAACTTTCTTCTTCTCACCAACCAACAAGTCGCAAAAATGGAAAACGACAAGGGAGAACTCGTTGATCTGTACGTTTTATCCAAATTTCGATATGCGATCAATTGCTTCGTTGGAACATCTTTAAAAATGGATTCTAACCTTTAATTCTTATACAGTTACGTTCCACGTAAATGCAGCGCAACCAACCGTATCATCAAGGCCAAGGACCACGGATCCGTTCAAATCTCCATCGCAAAGGTTGATGAGAACGGACGCGCTACCGGCGAGAACCAAGTTTATGCTCTCTGCGGTTTCATCAGAGCTATGGGGGAGAGTGATGATTCTTTGAACAGATTGGCTCAACGTGATGGTTTGTTGAAGAACGTCTGGAGTGGTCAATCCCAAAGATAAATAAATTCGCACTTTTCGGTTCTTTCGGTATGATTTCCTCGATTCGATACGATTTTCGAAGTTATAAATGTTTGGATTTGGACTGATTGGCTTTGAATAGATTTGGCAATTTCTGGCTGGGATACCTGGGAAGGATGGGATTGAAGAAGTGGAGGATGTACATCTAGTGAAGGAAGGATGAGCTTTACGGCCATCATATGCTGAGATAGTCACTTCACATTTGTGATTACGAATCAACGACACATTCACATCCAACAAATATATTTTCTTCTTTTTTGTGCTGGTGATAGTTATGCGAATCTGGACTTTTCATTTCAACACAGCGTTTTCACGATCCTTACTGGCTTTTCGAAACTTCTCGGACCACACTTCAAAGTGACATATGTTCGAGGAGTCAGATTGCTATTTTGATGGTTTACATAACCCATTTAGCAGGATAAGCCGGAGAAAGATAATTATACTGGCCTTCTGATGAGCTGTGACGTTAGAGCATCTCGTTGGAGCACAGATACGGGTCGGACATTTTTCTTATTTAGAAGATAACTTACGACGGTTTCTTTGACCGGCGATTGATGATATAGAATGACGAGTGTCTCCTAGCATGGATCTAAGCTATCTGCAAAATTCACGACTAAATGGTTTCGGGGGGGTTGATTTTAACATTGCATGATCCTCATGCTTTGCTAATTTGGAAGTTAAGACCTTGCCTCATGATGACTGAATTCCATGCATTTTTCGATAGATTCATATATTTCTATCAATAACGCTCCGGTTTTTAAACCATGCACAAAGATCGACATTAGCTACATCGGTATGTAAACATACTTATTTGTGTTAATAGTAGCAATTAAGATATTTACCTACTGTCTTTTCCTCACTTATGCCTTCAAATGCATTAGACTGGATCCTAAAAGATATCAGCTGACCGCTCCTTAATGATTCATTGAAAGATGTAGCAATACAAATAGTCATCTTGTGTTCTACACCACAAGATCTTATTTTAAATTAAAAATATGAATAATAAGCTCTCCCACACTCAATGAAAACAAGTATCAGTATAAAAACCCTCCTCTTGCCTTCTAAACTATGAGAACTTAGTATTTCAGAGCCATTTTTACATCCAGCACCTACTCATCTCATCAATTGATCGGTTTGCAGAGTATGTCAGACCACTCACACATTCCTCATAATTTAATTGCCGGGAACGAATGCAGAAAGTAGGTATAGATTATGTTTCTTGGGTAATTAATCTTATTACCTACCTACCTTGCTACTCGAGTAAAGAGAGTGTAATTGTAGCAGAGATAGAGACTATTGATCTCATAAATCTCGCAAATCTCGCAATTAAGATTAAATTCTCTAGCTCCCAGATATATATTATTCAAATCTTGGATGATGATACCTACCTAGTGCGAGAGGGAGGTGGTAAAGATGGGGGGAAAGGAAAGGAAGGAGGTTGTCTATGGTAGTAGTGGTTGATGTTTGAGGACTATAAAGTTGAAAGTGGTGCGGTAGTTCATGAGATGTAAAAAATGAGTAATAAAAATAAAATATAAATTAATATTAGTTAGTATATACATAAATAGAATATATTTTAGACTTCAGATGAGTTTGTCTAGAAATTTGTAAAGATGATAAGGATATGATTAATTTGGTTTTCTTATAGTAAGTATATATATATTCCTGATATGACAAAACGAGGACAGGGAACTTATTTACAGCTTTTATTAGAGGGTTAGTTGAGTATATCTCGGAAATTCATAGAAATATCTAGTTATCCACCTGGTGTATTTTTTTACTTTTTTGATAGAAGAGATGGTTTGATTTGAGAGTCGGGTGTTCGAGGTTGGAGTTTGTCGGATCAGATTCAGTGAGTGGGTGAGTGAGCGAGTACGTTAGTGAACTTTTATATTAGATCGGTGAACGTGAATGTTTTTATGGGATTCCATCAAATATACAAGAACCACACCACACCACACCACAGCTACAACTACAACTACAACTAATCTTACAAACTCAGGAACTGCTAAGATAACTACCCAACTCTTGAGTATCTAATCCACACAAACTATACACATCCACCCACTTCTCCCTACCTAACTACCTCCCCAACAAAACCCAAAACCTATCCACTCCCCTTTCCCAACCCCTCCTTATACCTCGCCAAACACCTCTCCCTACTAACCTTATGTTCAACAATCCTCTCCGGATACCCATTCTTCCTCGCAGTCCCCGCAGCCACCTTATCCCCAAACGGCTCATGAATAAATTTCCCCTTCACCGATTTCAACTCCGGAACCCACTTCCGAATAAACTCCCCGTCTGCATCAAACTTCTCACTCTGAAGCAGTGGATTAAAAATACGGAAATAAGGCTGCGGATCCACCCCCGTACTGGCACAGAATCCCCATCCTCCGTTATTACTCGCGAAATCCCCATCTATCAAATGTTCCATGAAGAATCGCTCGCCCATTCTCCAATCGATGAGTAAATGTTTTGCTAGGAATGATCCTACAATCATGCGACATCGGTTATGCATATATCCGCAATGCTTCAGTTGACGCATGGCGGCATCGACAATGGGATATCCTGTTTTTCCTTCCGTCCAGGCTTGGAAATGCGCTCTGTTGTATTCCCATGTTATGTTGGTGTATTCCGGTTTGAAGGGTTTGTTCATGCAGACGTAGGGCCAGTGCACTAATACGTGTTTGTAGAATTCTCGCCATGCGACTTCGGATATCCAGGTTTGGATTCCTTGGTATCCCGCATTTAACTTCTTGGTATTGTTGTGATCGCGTGCTGTACGGATAGCTGTTCGTGCGCTGAGAGTTCCAGATGCAAAATGTACTGATAGAGAGGAAGTCGAGCTTAAGTTGGGGAAATTTCGATGTTCTTCATACTTGTTTATTTTTTCATTGGCGAATTTCGAAAGTCGTTCTTGTGCTGCATCTTCACCAGCTGGCCACATGGAATGAAATCTTTTCTTTTCTTCATCCGTTAAAGATTTATTGGCTGGTGCATCCGGAATTTTCGTTTCGAATAACTTTGCGAAATTCTCTCGTGCGCCAGCTGGATTTTTCCCAGGAGCATCGAATAGTTCCAAAAGATCCGAGTTCTCATGAACATGAGCTATCCACGACTTAAACCAAGGAGTATAAACCGAATATTGTTTTCCCTGTCCACTTTTCAATTCCCCCGGACGAACCACACAAGTATCATGAAGCACATCCATAGCAATTCCCCTCTCAGCACAGCCTCTCACCATCCTAGCTTCCCGTCTCAACTCATCAACTTCATATTCCATATTCGCAAATAAATGGCTCGCGCCCCATTCCCCCAATAATTCCATGATCCTCCCTTCAACACCCTTTCTCTTCTCCACCGTCTCAACATAAAGTGGAATATCCAATTCCGCCAAATCCCTCTTCAAAACCTCCAACGTCCTCAATATAAAATCAACCCTAACCGGTGCCGTCAAATGCGCCTCAAAATCCTGCGGACTGATAATATACATCGCAATAAGCGGAACACCTTTCTCCTTCGCCTTCTCACTCGCCATCCACAACGCCGTATTATCACGAGTTCGTAAATCGCATTTAAACCAATGTACCACGCAATCCTTCACATCTATTTTCTCCCTCTCCTTTTTCGTATCCGCAAGCGCGGAGTGCAAAAGTTCGATAGGACGCGCTAACTCATTATTATTATATGCGACAGCTCTCGGATTACACATTTCATGAGGATAGTATTTTCGCAGCACAATGCCATTTTCCTCTGCTTCTTTAGCACCGTGATGCGGTTGTCGTAGTTCAGATACATCGTAATCTTCATCGCTGACTTTTGCTTTTTTCGTGGTGCCATTGACATGACCAATTGGTTCGGGAGTTGAACTTGCTTTGCGTTTTCCTGCCGCTGCTGCTGCTGCTTTTCTCGTAGACATGGTGAGGATTTGAGATGTGGAAAAGAATCTGGAGGTTCCAAAATGTATTTGTTTTCTTTTCAATCCTGAGAGACCACCTTGAAGTCGTTTTGAAAATATATATCTAGCACTGGAAGCGAAAAACATTAAATCTGGTTGAGGAATTCAATTCAATTCAGTCTGTACATTTGCACGTCCGTCTGCACATCTATAATCTGAACCAAAAATTAAAAAGAAGTAAAAGAAAGAATTCAATTTCAAACCCGAGTACGAGTCAAGTTCAACGCGACCAACGCGTTAAGCTCTTTACCTTTTCTTTCTTTACCTCTCTCCATCTTGCCGTACCGAAGCTTATCCCTCAAAGATTTCTCGATCCAAAGTCAAAGACGTCACAATGATGCGAATCGAAGGCAAAATTTATCCAGATAGATGCTAGTACTAGATAAGCGATGTATATCTTTAGCTAGCGTCGATCTAGATTACAAGGGAATTATCTATTATATACTTAATAATATATCTAATAATATATATACATACATATCAAAAAATCAACCAACAAATCATCAACCAACTCTCAAAATCATATCTAGTACATTCACGAATATAAATAATACTTAATCATACAATCAATGATGGGGGCAAGCCCCCAAACCCTCTTTGCTCGCTGCGCTCGAAGATTTTCTGAGGTAGGTAGTAAGATTACGTTGTATCATATTCACAGGGGAGATTATATACAGCTGCCGGTATCTACTCAAATAAATCCATACTAATGCTGATGCTGATGCTATGAAATATCCAAATATCCAACTCCAACCCCTAGCCAACTCCACCTAAACATCGGTATCTACAGTGAACCAACAGACGGACAAGCAGTCTACCCAACAAAATAAAAAGTATCCGCTTCGCTCATTCAAACATGATAATGCTCGCATACAAACAGAATCCCAAAATCCCAATCCGACGCATGCTATGCAATATATGAAAACGACACTGTAAACTCATCATCTCATCTCGCACCAAACACCCCCTTCATCCTTCTAACCAACTCCCTACCCATCTCATTTCTTCCCTCCCTAGTTCTTCCAACCGCATCTCTGTTTTCATACGCTCTTCTCAAAAGATATTTCATGCATTCCCCTGTAGTACCCCAAGTCAAATATTTATAAGCCTTTGGAATATCCGTCTTCAAATGCAATATATCTTTTCCTCCTTTCGTGCCACCAGTCAGCTCGTTAATACCACCATGAACCATAACATTAGAATCATCAGAAGATTTGAGAGATTCAGCTAATTTTCCTTCAGCCACAAGTTCACAAGATACTTCATCAGCCATTCCTTGAAGTTGAGCATAGCAGAGTTCAATTCGATCTTCTCCTTTCTCAGCTTGTTCTGTACGAATAACTTGAGCCTTGCGAACTGATTCCAAATTATGTCCTGCAAGTACCAAATCCACAGCTTGGAATCCTTTCTCTCCACTTTCGGGTTGAAGAACAGAGTTGGGGGTTTGACGAATGAGCGCTTCCGCAATTCCGTCATAACATTCATCGGTTCCTTGTTTAGTGTCATGAATTAACTCCCTCGGATCCGAACCCATATATGCACCTCTAACTAACTTCACACCGAGTGTAAAATTCTCTTTTCGTGCAATTGCCATATGGTGCGCGATTACTTGAGGACAGGCTTTGAGATATGCTTGATAAGTACCATAGATGACTGCTCCTCCTTTGCCTGGCTTGTTGTATCTCTTCATGTATTTCAAGGTCCAAAGATCGATTCCAGCTTGTACAGCAGCATGTTCAGCATCAAATGCTAATTTAACACCTCGTTCAGCACTCAAAGCGCAAATGTCATCGATGGCTTTTTTAAGGCTGTCGTGGCATACTCCTTGTTTTTCTAAAGCTTGTAATGCTAAACTTCCCGCCCCGGTAACTTTGATGGATACAAAATCTCCTGGTTCGGCTAGTCTGACGGTTGCTAATGTACCTTCTGCCCATGGTAGAACTTCATTTTTGACGCATTTCTCAATATCAATATTTGCTCCGGGTGATTTCTCTACCTCACGGGCGTAGCAAAGGAATACACCTTTGAAACCAAGATCTTTAATACCGCGAACAGTACTTTGAACTTCGGCGTGATTTTCTCCAGCGCAGAACTGTTTGTAAAATGTATTCTTGAGAAAGAATCGTAGGATGGGATTTCGATCGGGTGAAAGAAGAGGATTTTGAGAATGTGCGAGAATGGCCATGATTTTTAGCGATGGACCAAGAAGTAGCTATCAAGCGACAGTCAGTAAGGGTTTCCGATGGACATTTATTGAAGAGACTCGAGATTAAACTTACAGGAGAAGAAGAAATAGTATTAATAGCCAATGATCTTATAACATTATTGAGAGGTAATATCGAAAGAGGACTGATCTTTGGCATACTTGCTGGTTCTGAAGTTGACTTCGAATCTGTACGTATTGGTTGTAGAACTTCTGTTGCAGATGAGGTTGGATTTCCAGTGTATGTAGACTGTAGAGGTGAGGTTTTGGAAGATAATCTTCTATAGTTCGAAGGAGCAGCCAAAAAGGATCTTTTCGAGCAAATTAAAGCTTTCCGTGAGATCAAGTTCGACATGATCGACTGGTAAAGAGGTTTAAACTCCGTGGATAAACACAACTCAATGTTCTTCTTTCTGTTGTTCGCTTCCCCTGCTTTGCGCAACGAATACTGATTGATATCCGGACGGTATGTACAAACAAGTTGAAGGGAAGAGAAGAAGAAGAAATCGGGAATGACAAGAAATAAATAGTAAATGAGAATTAGAAGTAATCCAAAATCAAATGAAGAGAAACCATAGCGAAATCGGAGTTACGTTGAATAGTATCGAATAAACCCAAGGTAGATAGAGGGGATGAATATTCCTGAAGCTTATCGATACCAACAAGCCGGCGACAACCACAAGATCAAAGCTTATCGTCTCATATCCACTACAAATTGAATGAATATGATTGGACCTTTTAACAATCCATAAATGCTTGTTATGTTTTATGGAATTCTTGAACCGAAGAAAAGCGATGATGGTGCCGGTACTTTGGATGCACAGTGCACACAAGAAAAACTTATCAATGCCGATGTTGGAAAGCTATCAATAAAGTCCGGAAGCTGTTTGCTGTTAGATATATATATTAGAGATCAAAATCAAATGATGAGATGATGAATGAAGGGATAGCAAAATGGAGAGAAGAATGAGTCAGTCTTGTCATCTGAATGATTAAATGGATATAATTACCATATGATTTTTCATTTAATTGATTTCTTCTTATTATTCTTCATATTGTCGTCCTTTCATGCCTCGATTCTTCTTCCCCTCTTCGTCCAGCTCCCATTAAGAAATCCACATATCCTAATCTTCTTCCTCTTGCATAACCAACCGCATCTTGTACCAATCCATATCCTATACCGAATACTAATCCTGTTTTCGCTGTTCTGGCTGCCGTGGTTATAGGGAAACGATCTAGAAAAAAGAGTCGAATTAGTATTGATATTCATTCGATACTTCATCTTGTCGTATTGATCTGCCATCTGCGCGCATATCTACCAATCCTCATCTCATGCGCGGGGAATGAGCAACGCAACAGAAGAAGCATTTGTCTACATTCACCACCATCACATCTCCACACACAACCACAGCACAAACCCCGAAAGAATGTACAAATAAAAAGAAACTCACTCCATAAACTAAATCCCCCCGCAACACTTAAACTCGCAACCACAGTATTAAGCACATCCTTCCTCCCTCTCCACCTATCACACATATCTTCAATAGCCAACAAACCCGCCGTCCAAAAAGCAATCCTGGTCCCCATCTTCAACCCCTCCTTCACTCCCCCAAGCCCAGTATGATAATTCTTGCTCTTATGGTATAAATACCAACCCGTAGGAGAAGTAGGTAATCGATGAGCATTTTCGGCTCGAAATCGTAAAGCGGCCGTTTTTGACCCGTGGGATATGCCAAGTGCCATGCCGCAGACGAAAGAAATCGATGTGCAGAGGGGAAGACGCGCGCCGTAGGGAATAGACATGCGGGATTCGAGTTTGAGGGCTTCGTGCTGTTGTTTGCGCCAGGCTTTCATTTGGACTTTGAGGAGAAGTTCTTCGTCGGTTGGAGGGGGGTTTATAGAGGGATCCATGATTTATGGATTGATTATTGATTAATTGAATGATTTGAAGAGTCGATTGAAGTGATATGCTGTGTTAATCGTGAAATTGTAAATCGTATGATATCGTACAAGGCTGAAGATTGAGAATTGCTCTTTTAATGGTCAGCTGTTTTCGCGCGAATGTCATCGCGTCGCAAAAAGAAATTCTATAAACTGGTGCCTGTTCCCAATTCCGCCTACACTACGTAGTAAGCTTACAAGTATATACATTTATCCATGATAAATCTGACAAAGAAATAAAATACACAACACAACACAACCACAAAATATCAACGACATAGACAAACATAATCCTCTCCAATAGATCAATCTCAAAACTCTCCAACCCAAAAGATCATTCAATCAATCAGCCAACCAAAAATCGAAATGGTAAACAACCCCCTCCCCCTCCTCCAACCACATCCCCAAAATCTAACAAGCAAAACCAGCCCCCCAAACGAAACCCCAGCACCTCAAACCCCCAAAACCCCTCCGACCTAACCCTCCTCTTCAAACACACAACCCATACAATCCTCCTCCTCGTCCCCACCACCGAACCCTTCACCCAAATCCTCACAACGCTCCTCTCTGTCCTCCAAGAACGATACCCCGAAGGTCTCAACGCAGCCAGCCCATCCACATCCACATCCACCAGCCAAACCAACCGTAAAACTCCCCTCCCATCCTCAATCCAAGATATAGCCCTAGCTATCCCACTCGATGTATACGACCCTAAAAAAGGTTGGTCGGAGTTACAGCTCGGATTGGGTGATACGCCTGAGTCACTGGGGTTGAAAGAGGGAGGGTTGATCGCGTTTAGGTTTTTGGCGGATGGGGAGAATGTGGAGGGAGATTTTGAGGGGGGTTTTGAGGTACTGTGGCCGAGTTATGAGGAGTATGGGGAGGAGGGGGCGGATGAGGATGGAGAGGAGAGGACGGGGGGTGGTGGTGAAGAGGAGGAGGAAGATGAGCTTTGAGATGCAAAGGGACAAAGGGATTAACTTCAGGGGGGTTTTTTATGTATAGAGAAAGATTGGAATGGGTATGATGGCAGTTGGGCACGATTCATCTGGTCTGAGTTGGGGATCGATTTGGCGTTATGGGCATACAACTCCAAGGGACACTTGACTGCGAATATTACGAAGGAACGATCATGATTGACGCTAGACACATGATGATAATGTGATGCATGACTTCTCTTTTCATGATGATTGTGATGGAGTTGTAGCTTGGTATCGCGAGTCGATGGCTATTGAAACATAAAAGTGTGTTGGTTACCTTCGAGAAATTATCCGCAAGATTAAATAAAATATAAAATTAAACTGGGGAAAGTCATTCTGTCATGTCCCTCGTTAATCTAATTGCTACAATATCTATCAACCAACATGTGCAACATCTCATCACACAATGTACAATGTACAATGTCTCACATCTCTTCACAACCGCCCTCCTCTTTCTCTTCCTCCCTCTCCTCCAAAACCTCCTTCCGTCCTCCTCCATCCCTTCCCTCCTTCCTTTTTCATCCCATCTCCATTCTCCCCCCTCCAATTCCGGCCCTGTTTATCCAACCCCAAATCACTCTCCATCACTCCTTCTCATCCCCATTCCAATCGGACTCATCACTTTTTCACCCCATTCTACTCCCGTCCCATCTCCTCCATCTCCCTTTAGAAATTCCAAAACCCTTTCCCTCTGTCCCTTTAACTCACCTCTCGAGAACTTTTCCCCCTCACCTGGTTTACTCAAAAACGAGGCCAAAAGATTCATCAAGTAAAATTGCGGTGGGAAAAGAATAATTTCATTCCTCCTCGCCTTTTTTAACCAATCCTCACAATACCCAAATTCGGCAGCCGTATGTTCGATTCCTCCATCATCTCTTGGTATCTGCACCATTTTTTCTTTTCCCCCAATACCCGTCTCGGCGTCTAGAGGTAGGAAATATATATACATTTGCGTTGTGAATCTTTTTGGTAAATTACTTGGTGTAATCCAGCGGGTAAAAGGGAGGAGATTAGTTGTATCGATTTTCCCGCCTATTTCTTGGACCCATGAAGCAAATTTTGTGTTTTTGGAATGTATTTCTTTGCGGGCTTTTTCGCGCTCCGACGATGGGATTTCTAGTAATAAATCATCTCGCTGATTGTCATTTCTCTGTGCTTCATCGTCCCCGGAAGGACGAGCTAGAAGTATCCCGCACTCTTCGAAACATTCCCGGATAGCTCCTATTCTGTAAACTTCGGAATCTCTATGCCGCGAAGGAGATGAAGGGGGTGGAATGGGCGATTCGTGGTAGGAATCAAGGTTTCCACCTGGAAAGACGTGGGCCGAGGGAAAGGCACTGGAGGTTCGAATTCGGTGGAGGAGAAGGATTTGGTTTTGAGGTGAGATGAGGAGGATACTAGAGTAAAAGAGTGGGTTAATTTGGGGTTGAAATGAAAGTGGTAGATTAAGGACTATTGAGAACGGAGGGTAATGTAATAGGATGCGATCGGAGAGAGAGTATATACCTTGAACTAGGCTGAGGCACAGCAATTGGTTTTTTAGATTTACTGTCTGCTTTTGGCTTGCTGGTAGATGACATATATTGTTTTTCCAAATCGGATTTTGGTGGCGGGGATGGTGCCATAATTCTACTTCCTATTCTTGGCCGTGGAAAAGATCCTATGTTTTGTCTAGATGTATGTATTCTTGCTCCGTGAAAGCATCTATAACTTGGTCTTATCGTTACTGTTCCGGGTGTGAGATGTTTGGGTCTGATGAGTTTATGTACGAATATGGATGCTGGTGTAAATGAAGATGTATAATATGAATGTCTTAGAGACATTGACTTCACGTAAAGGGGTAGCTAATGAGTGAGTGAGCTTCACGTGTTTTGATAGTTGAGTTGGAGGTTGAAGATGCTTTTTCGAAATCTGGGGAAGCTTGATAAGCCGAGGTTTGTGGGTTATTGGTCTGTGCTTATAGCTTGTCGATGATGGCTCCAGCTGCATATGCGTTCGAACTACCCAGACATTTAATTATATATCCAATATTTATAAATATATTATTGATAGAACACTCTCTCGCTTAGTCACGATGATGTCATCTAGACAAATAAATATTGCATGAGAATCAGATCATGTTGATAGTAGTTATTACCCCCCTGATTTCGAGCCGAGACAACCATCCTAAGACTCTTGAAGGAACATGCAGATTCTTACCATCGTTTCACCGACAACTAGACCATGCTTATACAAACTATCCTTCTTACACAACTACTTAGAGTCACACTCATATGTTCTGTCAGTATGAACCTGAAAACCTGTGAATGCTTCCATTGTAATAGTTCAACAAAGTATCAAACTACAGATCAAGCCACTCCATATCCCAATCAGAAATTTTCTTTCGACCCCATCAGCGCATCCTATCACTTTCTTAACATTTCCCAGCGAGAACTTCAATGCAGGAATAGAAGCAGGCCTAACCTGCACCATGCACTCGATTCCTTCTTCTTCCTCCTCCAAAACCCAAGATAACAAGTACAAAAACTGAAAACCCGGCAACGACATCTGGTGATTCCAAGACCTTAAGGTTACTTCCCACAGCTCAAAAAGCACAAACATCCCTCCCTCTCATTTTCCTTCTCTTTTCCCCGTCTCTTCCTCAATCAACAATATCCCACCCCCTCATAATTTCCCTCCTCTCCCGTTCCAACTCTTCAATCCAGAATCTCGTCTGACGCAAAACTGACATGTACATGATCATCACAACAACAACTTTACAAACTAATACCAAATAATTCGTCGCTTCGTAGAAAGAAGATGGACGGTGGTAGTAGTGGTGTGCAGCCCAGAGTAATACTGTTGATATAGCTCCGGAGATTATGAGCTAGGAGTTGTAACTAATGGTTAGTTGAAAGTTCTTCAAACGGAGAGGTATAAATGGGGAGGAAAGGGAGCAGAGGGAATATAGGAGAATGGAAGGATGTTAAAATTTGAAATGGTATAAAATACATAAATACTAAGCATAACCCTAGTTTCAGAAGTCATATCTTTCATCGCCGCCGTATATTTCTCACTCATCTCATGACGCATATTGCTAATACTCTTAGGATGTTGATTTCCAGGAATCGACCGCAAGCGATAAATTTGGGCAAGATGAGAGGCGCGAAACTTACTATATCCAAATATTAGTGTCATACTTTCAGATTGAGAGCTAGGCAAGAGCTCGAGGACGAAGAGATGTGCATACGTCTTTTGATCCTTGGCATAAATACGATCCTGTATGCTTTTCGCAATATTTCTGGTTTTTTCTTCCCATGCTGTAGTATAGGTTTCTCCAACTGCCTTGAGATTTTCGCCTTGATGGAAGTATGAAATGAGTGTTACTATGACGAAGATAACAAAAGTGACCGAGGCCCAGAGGTAGTCGGAGGAGCAGAATTGGACGAGTACGATGAGAATAGGAGCTATTAAGACTACCACAAAACACTAGAACCTTTATTAGTACGAACTCAAGATTGCTGCTGCTGTTGGATTAGGTGACTAGCGAGCCTAGAAGGAGTAACTACCCAGAGAAGAACCCGCGCAAACTTATTGCTTATGGATGAACTGTGATACGCCTTTTCCCGCATATATTCAGTTGAAAGAATATATTCATTTTCAATCAAGTTGTTTTCGGACGCTTCGAGCAGCTTGGTAGTTTGAACCTAGAGTGTAGATAAAAGTAAGTACTTGTTGTAAGCTGGGGTAAAATGGGTCGAATGAGGGGATACGTACTGGATGTGGTATCCTTACCACTTCTGGGTATGCCTTTGGTTTTATTGAAAAGTTTGTTGCGAACAACGTGTTAAATATGGATATGTATGATTCCATTTTGTATGTAATCATTTATCAAGGTATCGGGCAGTAGACGATCAATAGTGAGCAGTTAAGTAGGTAAATAGGTACAGAGGAAGTAGACTTCTATTGAACGCTCTCAGCTCCAGCAGAAAACTCCACCTTACAAGTTCGAACGTGTTGCTGACTTCTTTTATGTGATCTTACCGAAGCTAAAGCTTGTAATCTTTGTATTGTGTATCATGTTTATAATTTAGGCATCTTTATCATGTATGGATTGAAGTGTGTTGTAGTTCTTTGTAGAAGGGAGATGAAGCACAACACTTGAAGATCTTTATGACTTCATCAAAGTCTCTTTCATTCTCTTTCTTCAACATCAACCCTGAAACCAAGTATCCAAAAGATTAACCTCTGATTGATAGCCATGACTGTTCAACAGTGCAGATGTCTAACTATTCTCTAGGTGACATAGTTGTTGTATACAGAATAGAGTAGTAGCGAAAGTCTATAATATTGAATATTTTCGGCTGTGCCAAGAGTTTCCCCTTACTCGGGCATTTTTTACGCGAGACTTGGTCACAATAACGAGATGAATAGCTCTTCCACTCAATGAAATAATACATGACTCTCTACTGAACTGCTCAGAGAAGAACCTAAGTAACTCCACAGTCTACGAGGAATATTCGCTGGGGTCGATAGGCATCTTCAGCACTTTAGGCCATACTCTACCGCACTACATACTAGGTAGCAACAGTAAATAAAACCTAACATCCCAAAGAAGTGCATCAAACTACACAATATCAATCTAAGCTTAAAGCGAAGAAGGAACAATCTAGAGAACACTAAATGGTATCATATCGATTCTCCCATTACCATTCTATTCACTTACTGCCTTGATTCTCGGGGGAGTAACCTAACTCATTCACTCCAGCTCCTCATGTTTCTCTTGTCTATACTTTTCCTTTTCCCGAAATATCTTTAAGCTTCTTGCTTTCATCCTCAAATTCTAATCTGATTATCTACTGTTCTACCGTAGTTCTCTGAGCATGAGATAGATAACCATAATTTACGGAGGACTTATGGTGGATGAAGCTAGTCGAGGTACTGGGTAGTATCATGAAAAATTCCGCGGGCAGTTTTAGAATAGTTGAATTGCTATCCAGAACTGCATCCTATATTACAAGTCTTACATATATATGCGAGCAACCCACCAATCCATTCCTCCACCTTCGTATGTAAGCCTTCACCAGGTCCCTAACCCCTCCTTCACCCAAAATTAAGAAAATTCCCATCAAAACCATCCCTCAAATCTTCACTTACCCCTTCCCTTCATTTTCCCTATCCTTTCCATCCATCATACACATATTTCACCACTTCAAATTCCACAACTCAAGATCTTAATCTTACAACATCCATTAATATCCGACGCGAACAACTCTTATCCTTACTCCTATCCTCTTTCGTTCGCTTATTACAATTATGCAAATCTACCATACCCTACCCCACCTTAAATCTCAAACATCAAATATCAAATATCAAATATCATATCTCAAATTCATCTCCTCACAAATCTGAAATGAATAATTAACCATTCCAGCCTCAATCTAATCCACCAGATCCAACTATGTAATCAACTATCTACATTTATCCCTTTAATCCATTGCTCTAATTATACAACTTCAGTGGCTGCCATCAGAATACACAGTATAAAGTAAGAGGGTTGAGGTTCATGGAGAGCCAGAGATAGACACTAAGCAAGTATATATCATTTCTATTGCATCTACCGTAATCATCATCTATGTGTAAAGAAACTCCATCCGATGCGATCATATCCCGTGTATTATGGTATCAATGGTATTTATATATCTCTAGACCCTGCTCCACAACTGCTCTCTATTCCTTCTCTCCTATCTCCTCACCACAACACCAAAAATCTATTCCTTCTTTCCTCTACCCAACTTCATCAATCCTCCAAGCCGCTTCTTCTCTTTAGGCGGTGCATAATTTTCCTCCTCTATATTATGTTTCCCAACAATCGTCAAGAAAACCTGATCTAATGTTGTCGGACTAACCGAATAATGTTCTAAACCCAATTTTTCCCTCTCATCCTCTAATTTCATAATCAAAGATCCTATTCCCGTGTCTCGTAATTTAGTTTCATGATTACTTTTGCCAAGGCTGCTAATTTCGTCATCGTCTGATTCTACATCAAATTTCTTTCCTTGATGCTTTGGAACATTGGAATAGCTAGAAATCGGAACTGAGAAGCGCATTTGCCCGTGGAAAGTTTTATCTTCAATAATCGCATTCCGGAAATTATCATCGATCCAAGCTCTTAATTTCAGTATCTCATCATCTGTCGTATGAGGAGCACTTTTGAGCACCAAATGAACGTAATAAGCACCACCAAACTTGCTCCTCAAGTGATCAGAAGTTCCCATTGCCAACATCCTTTTTGCCATGATACCTGCACGATCAGCCAATGCATCAGCTTCCTCCATACTATGCGTTGTAAGCAAAAGTGAACGACCTGGAACAATTGAAGCGAGGGTTTTCCACATAACTCTCTTTGAAGCCGCATCCATACCGGACGACGGCTCGTCAAGAAGTAGTACAGTCGGGTTACCGATCAGCGCGATGCCGAGAGATAACTTTCGTTTATTGCCGCCGGAAAGTTTAGTTGCCATGCGAGAAGCAAAAGCCTGGAGACCAACAGCTTGAAGAACAGCTTGGACGTTATGCTCAATCTCTGGGACACCTCTAACGCGTGCATAAAAGGTAAGATGCTCCAAGACGGTCATTTGATCCATAGCATCAAATTGAGGACAGACTCCCAGATGAGCTCTTGCATCTGCGCGATGTCTATTAATTTCGATATTCTCCACAAAAATATTTCCTCCGTTCCTGCTCGGTTGTATATCGCCACGGATTAAAGATATCGTAGTGGATTTTCCTGCACCATTTGGCCCTAGGAGTGCAAATACTTCACCACGCTTTATTCCAAATGTCATATTTTCAACTGCTGTTACAGAGCCGAAATTCTTGGTCAGGTGAAGAACTCGAAGACCATCGTTTGATGAGTTCACTCTGACAAGTTCTTCCGCGATTTCTTCATCTGCAGGCATTTCATTTTCGGCGACTGCGGTGGATGACTTGCGATGCCTTCGGAACCAAGCGACGATAGAGCCACTATCATACCAGAGCAGAACGGCAAAAAGAGCAAATATCTGGACGATTAGATACAAGATCGGTCCACCATATTGTAGAATACCTCCAGGGTAAGGCGCCAATTCTTCACCAGAACAAGTAGTAGAAAATAGATTCAATGCAATGAATAATGCTCGTATTAGACTTCCCATTGGTGTGAAAACACTAACAACGAAATGCACGACGATGAGCGTTGAATCAATTTCGTTAATTGGAGCGTATGTCAATGTGGAAAGATATCCGACTAAGTATATGAGAAACATGACGGCTTGTCCAGCAGCTGCAAACGCAAATGCGGAAAGTTGTGTGCTGGCGAAAAGTGACACGACGTATGACAGCAAAATTGAAGCCAAACCGAACAGTACAAATATGATGAATAAATAGCCAACGTGGTACCAGACCGAAGATGCGGCGGCAAAGATTATGACACTCAATGCGCTTGAGATGAGAACGAGGATAAAGTCGAAGGCTACATATGAGAGCCATAATGGGAGTGAGCGAACACCATTGGAGTATTGGAGGCCTCGAATATTTCTGGTTCTTTCGACAGTAGGATACAAGGAGAAGAATCCTGGGTAGGCGGACATCGCAAGACCAAAATAGACGACAAGCTGTAATGACTTGCCCGTTGATGGTGCCCATGGAATATCGAATTGTGAATATTGTGTAGCAATAGTCATATTAGTGAGCAATATATCCATAACATTCTGACCCCATACAGCATTATAGATCTGGCCATTTCCTTTGTAGGCAAGTGTGGTTTGCGAACCACTATTATCAAGGAAAAAACCCGCCGGGGTGACATTAGCAAAATTTTGATCAATGTAATTATTGAACTGAGGTAAAGTATCAACCAGATGAGTGTGGCTTCGAATTTGATCTTGAGTAGGGAACAACCCAGATAATAGGGGTTCGAACAAGGAATTAAGTACTTCCGTTGTGAACCGTGAGGATGGTCCAACCACAAGATCATACTTGCCAACTGCGAAGAGGTTTTCCGAGTCAGAAATAGAGACTCGATCCGTTGGTGTACAGCCAGCACCTTTATATCCCTTCAAGAAAAGGGTTACAAGAGCAGCTGCAATGATCGGCAGAAGTAAAGCAGCAATGTATGGCAGGTAATTTCGTCGGAGAACAGTCAGCCTCTTCCTAAATAAGACCCACGCTTGACGGAAGAATCCGATGTTTTGACCTGTATAAAGCTCTAATGCTGGACGCTCGTGTGTGCTGACTATGGCGACTTTGTTAACAGATCCTTTTTCTTTCCCGGATTGTTCGTTGTCAGATGACAAGTTTTTGAGGATAAGGCTCTCTTCGCTTTCAGCTCTAATCTCATCCGCTAATTGTAGAAATACATCCTCTATCGTAGGACCGGATAACTGGTATTCTGTGATGTTCTCTTCTTCAAGACGCTTGATAATTTGTGCGGCTTGTTTCGAGGTTGGAGCTACATAAGTCATTTGACCGAACGATGCATGTTGATTTACGCCCTCAACCTGCGGGGGTTCTTTGTGTTCGTGGCCAATAGGAAGGTTTATGCGATAGCCACCTCCTAACTTCTCCTTCAACTCTACAGAAGAACCTTCGGCTCGAAGGGTACCCTTAGACAATATTGCAATACGATCGGCAAGAAGATCCGCTTCGTCAAGGAAATGTGTTGTCAAAATGATAGTTCGTGAGCCTCTTTCGGCTAGAAGAATATCCCAGATCTTTCTTCTACTCAAAGGATCCAGTCCACTACTCACTTCATCCACACAACACACTGAGCTTCCCCCAGTGAACATCATTCCTAGCTGAAGCTTTCGCTTTTGGCCACCAGACAAAGTTTTAGATTTTGCTCCGATCTTTCGATCCAAGTCGATTGCTGTAATCAATCCCCTGAGAGTCGCCTTGCTATCCCGCGGACCTGTAGATTTGAGACTGTTAAAGATGCGTATATGCTCTTCCACTGTAAGCTCATTCCAAAGCACATTCTTCTGCGGAGCAATGCCCAGTCCTCCAGTTCCATCAACTGTAATATTTCCACTGGTAACAGTATTTAATCCTGCAATGGCATCGAGGGTGGTACTTTTTCCGGATCCATTAGCACCAAGAAGGACAAGGATCTGACCTTTGTTAGCGGTCAAGCTTAAATCGTTGACAGCGACGACAGTAGCCTTTGGAATCTTGGTAAATCCAGCAGTCTTGAGTCGAAACCAATTTGGTCTGTAATGTTTCGTGAAATTCTGCAATCTAACGGTCTCCACGGTATTGGATCCAAGCGACTGTGCATGCTTTTCGGAGCCTTGACCAACCACTGACCGCCCCTTAGACATCGTCCCAAAGAGGTAACGTTCCACTAGAGCCCCAAGAATTGGATAGACAAATATTTGAATGACCAAGAATACCCATAGAGCAATTCCTGGTAGCGACCATGGGTTATTTGGCGCGGCTTGTACAAGATTGGTGCCAATATTTTGCTTTTCATAACGAGCCATGAAAATCAAGAAAAATATATAATTACATGGAGCGAAGAGTAAACTCAAAATTGCCACAGTTCCAGAACTTGACACATCGATGACTTGAATAAGGACACCAAGTAGGAGTGTGATGATTGCAAGACTAATGCCGCTAAGTTGAGCTTTCTTGAAAAATGCTGCGCCCAGAATGGAGAATGATGTGAGAGAAAGACCAGCCAAAACATGAAATATGATTACAATAGCCATTGAAGTTTGGGCGAAGACTCCTACCCCTAAAACCACAGCCATGATAATCCATCCTGGTACGTAAATGATATCAAAAGCTAGATGATATGAGACTATCCTAGCTACTTGGGGCTCCCATCTTCGTAAATTAGGCATCATAGCTTCTAGTAATTGTGACATTCCAAGTTCTCGCTCGGAAGCAATGAAGCCAGTCAGATGATATGTAACTCCAACCATACCAATCAAGAAAGCGACACCAAGGATATTGATAATAGCAGATTGATAGTTTGTTCGAATTGCCGTTTCGCGTTGCTTTTGAGTTTGACTAGTGTATGGATATTCGTGAACGGTGGTGGGTAAAGCAGTTTGATCGATTGTTGTATTTCTCGAGGCGATGGCAAAATCGACGGCGCGCTGCAGTGGCAGGAGGAATAGCTCGGCATCATTCGTATCCTTCGTAACATCAATCTCCGTGCCAAATGCACCATCCGCCCGCATGGTGTAGTTCCATATTCCTCCTGTTCCCTCCGATGGAGAAGAATTGAAAACAATGGCACCATAACAGGATGTAGCTCCTCGTAAACTACTTTTGCAGATATCTAGGAGTTCCGCCTCGGTGGTCAAACGTTGCACCTTTGCTCCAACACCCTCGGCCTGCGAAGCTAATGCAGCAATAACACCATCAATATCTCCACCAGTTAAACCATTATTTACAAACGCCAAAGTATTTCGTCCACCTGTCGCGGCGTTGAGCCCTTCTGGTAATGATCGTATGGTGTGGCTTGAGCCAATACCGTAAGTCGAAGGAGGTATGAATAGATTTCTGGCATAACTAAGGAATATGATTAATGCGACCGGGAGTACGAATGCGCGTATCGACGTGCTAAACGTATGTCGGTTGAGTGTGATGAGGATGTTTTTTCCCGTCAAAGTTCGTATTTGGCGGAGCAATCCCATAGTGGCGATGGGAGCCTTTTGATCGATGAATTAGATGGACGTACTGAAGCGCATGCTGTGTGTGAGAAAGCGCACCGAGGATATTATATTACAGTGATAGCTGGAGAAGTGACTTTATGATATCGCCTACGTCGAAAGAATGCGGGTAGCCTCGTATTTTGTAGTCAAGCCGTCATGTAATGTCCAGAATCAAGATCCAAGATCCAAGATGCCAAGCAAAGACAGAGGAAGGCTGTGTTAAACAAGATGCGGGTGACTATCACGGCCAAGTAGATGAGTGAGATGTTGGGGAGACAGTAATGAATGGATTTTAATATATAGAAAGAGCAATAGATACAAAACTGCGATGTAAATACAGAGAGACGGGAATGATTGGGAATCAAAACAGTTGGAAATGGCAGCGGCAAGATGTAATACTACTTGGAATAGTAGGAAGAACAGAAAAAGTAAAAGAACAAAATACGAAACAAATCTTAATCAAAAATTCCCATAGCGACAAGAAATCGGGGCCGAAATGAACAAATACGGAAGGAGAGTTAAGTAAGAATGATGGGATGTGGAAGGTGGAAATGGGAAAATGCCAAACACGGATGAAAAATATGGATTAGTAATAGGGAATTGATCATTGTCCAATCACAATTCCTGAACATTTGACGGTACGCCACATCCACCACGAAAAGCCACAGGAGATTTTGTTTGAATCAGCCACTTTACTCGAGTCATTACGTTATCCATATTCATGGCCATATTCCATATTCATCATGGATATGCACGCATCCATCCACACCATTTTTCACAATTATCAAGTCGGTGACACCCAGATAGGTAAATATATATATGTATGTATGTATGTATGTATGTATGTATACCACTTCTTACCTCTTTCCATTTGAAATAAACCATCGGCATCGTTAGTTACTACGCAAGTCTTGGTATGTATGTCATTTATATCTACAAACATATAGAGAACTGATAATACCAGTCACGCCTACCATTTTCCATTGATATTATCATCACCGTCGCTATTTTATAGACCATAGGGTCGACCTTGGATATCTGCCCAGTTTCTGAGTTTTTGATGCTACGGCTTCATTGCTCAATATATACTCATGCTTACAGCTTCTACCTCAGACGATACAACTTCATTATTAAGTGTTGCTGGTTCAAGTTCCTCAAGTTGTCGGATCGTAAAGTCTGGGATGATTCTCATATTCATTTACAAAAGGCGCAAGGAGTCAATATGCGTAATTACTTTATGAGTGGTCAACATAATAATTACCGCTCAGCTGTGCTGTTGTCTCTGCTAGTTCCCCCAATTCGACGGCCCACGCAGTAGTAAAGCTGTATTTCCTATCTAGTTCCTCAGATATTACAAAGTGACGAGCTCCGTGACCCGGAAAAGAAGTTCGTGCTCTGATAATAGTAAGGAAGAGTAGAATCATGCACCAAAAAACACGGAACAGCAACCTTTCTCGTACATTTATGCCAATAGATCAAGAAAGTATCATCTGGCACTATAACAAAGAAATGCTCGATTTATAGTCTAGAGTTTCATTGTGCTCTATTGAAGTACATCGCAATGTTCATCCCCCGCAGCATAACATTTTATCATCACGCTTGCATGATTTTACGGGGATTTGCAACATTTTTTCTGTACATCAAGTGAGAGACTTTGCGTCTGTATTTAGTGAAAGATAGATTAGCTAGCTCAACACGTATTGATTCATACACAAACACCATCACCTTTATATATCCATTATTGCCAGAAGTCAAATCATAATATCCAAAAATGCTGTAAATAGACTGTTGATCACTAGCTTCCTCACAATATGACTCCCACATCTATCTATACTTGATCAGTGGCTGAACGGTTGGTATCTTTCTATGTGAATCGGAAGTTTTTCTCGTTATGCATTATAGATTCGCTTATCTGAAATATCATCAAGTGAATTATTTACCATCAAATGACTTCTATTTTCTGCCCATATCATACTATTCATCGGACTTGGAGGTATATTCAACAAATTTGACTTTCGAAATGGCTTTCAATTCCAAGTGCTATTATTATCATATCTAAAAAACCCCTTCGTTCATTAGTAAATTCTTATGGGCTCCATGACTGAAGTACTCACCTTCACATTTTAAATCACCCTTTAAAAATGTTGGTCAGAAATGACTTCCATTTTCTCCAGAGCCGTATTGCTCATGAGTTATATTTGAAAACTTTGACCTAGGAATGACGGTTCATTTTGCAAAAAGTATCACTATCAACTGACTGGTAGCATCCTCCTCCGAAGCCCATTCATAGACATTTTTCCAATCACCCAAAAGGATCCAGTATGACTGAAGGCGGTCCCAACAGTCACTACATTTCTTTCTCAAATCATACCATTTACAGAATATACAACATTATTTAACACACATCCACCAGAACGACTACAAAATAATGATTTATGGTAACCATCGATGCCTTGAAAGCCTCACCATTTTTGTATAAATACTTCAGCTTTCCCCCTCTTGGTTCGACTTTTTTTCCTCATCAACTACAAAACCTCAATCCAACTTAGACCACAAAACTTCACATTTACAACTTCGAACTCTTCGCAAATACCTTCCCTTCCAACCACTTTTAACCAATCTCCAACTCCATCCAAATATTACGGTGTACCTCACGTCACCAAAACGAAATCCTCTCTCTTCGCTACCCAGCCTGAAGCTCTTCACGGTAACATCGCAGCACTACTCATCAACTGCACCTTTCCTCGATTGCTGTTCCCATCTCGCCCCAGCAACTACAGATATTGTCAACCAGTATCTACTTCACCAACTTCTGCAAAAGCATCCCTGAAACAACATGTCCAAAGAGAACATGACAAAAGACAACACCCCTGAAGCCGGCACCTCGGCTGGCCCACCCGTTACTATACCTGGTTACCGTGCCTTTTTAAGAACTATACAATATCCAGCTCCCGCCGCTGGCCCCAAGGAAGGCGCCGCCGATAAACCAATCAAACAGGAGGAGACGGATGCTATCAAACAGGAGGAGCCGGATGCTACTGGTCAGGGTACTACTGGTCAGGGTGCTGCTACTCCATCTAGTGCCGCTGACCCATCTAGTGCCAAGGGAAAGGAACGCTATGGCGGGCACGACCTACGGGATCGTAAGTGATTCCACTAGTGGCAAATAGATTCACAGTCATACCTGCGCCAGCCAACTTCACCAATTTCAATAGCAAGGAGATCAGTCAACCCGGCAGCCAGTAGCCTGTGTACGCATCTAGTGGGCACTTCCTCTGCACAATCCAAAATTTCCTAACATTTCCCCGCTGCGTCTCACATTTGTTTGTTTTATCATCGTTGGTTTTAGGCAGGGCAGAATACAAGAATCGGCTGGTATCTCTGGGGAGGAATTGGGAGTTTATGGGAAGGAATGCGAAGGTGCAGGGCGTATTGGAGGAATTTGAATTTGAATTTTCTTCGGAAAAGGGATGGAAAGGGGTAAACGCAATAGGCGAGTTGCGACCGTTACACTCATTTTATATACACATCGTGGATTTTTGGCATTCGTCTTGATAGCTTTTCATGTCATAGCTTCAAATAGAACGATTTTGCCATAATTACTTATGAATGCTTTGTGATTTTCCTCCTGATAGTGTTTTACTCGTTACATATTAAATCCCTGCCATGTAAACGTTCAGCATAATTATATCCTTTACATACTAATCTTATCCCACACATTCAACTTCTGCTCTCTATCACTTTAGATTATGCTTATCCAATCCTAGTGTTCTCTCATATATCAAAGTACCGCCCCGTTATTCAACACGAAGTCTACCAGTGCTAAACCCTGATTCATTCATTAAAAGCTCTTATGACTTTAGAGTGTCATAGCCCCTCTTCAAGTATCGACTCAAACGAATCGGAAAGATACCGCTCAATAATTTCATTAATTCTGCAGCCCTACACATATATTTACCTCAAGCCAAAATCAATCACCCATACGTTCCATATCTCAAACAGCAATCCATATAACATTTAACCATCATAGCACAATCAAGGCCACAAACAAGCCGCATATTCCGGATGCATACCCATCACGCCATACACCTTACTCAACTCATCATTCAATATCTCCGGCCCATCTAAATATCCCTCCTTCATCTCCGAATACGCATGTCTCTTCAACGCGACATTCCATGCAAAATTCGAATGGCCTATCCCAACGAAAATTGAACTTTTCGTCATAACAAGAAAATCCACCAATGCCTGTTGATCCCATGCCAACGTGTTCAAATATTCCCTATCTTTAGCATCAAGCAACATGGATTTTTCAGTGAGATTGTATGCAGCTGCATCTCGTGAGAATCTGGCGATTTCGGTCTTGTTTCCTGATGCTACATAGATTAAGGTGAGATTTATAGAGGCTATTTTATGCAAGTAGTGTTTTGATTGTACTTCGTAACTTTGGTCGATCCAATCTTTGCCGGCCCAAGCTTTCATGGCATCTATTTCTGTTCTAAGATGCCCACCAAAAAATGCATCAGGAAGAATTGGATGCGATATATCCCGAGATATGTTGTATGTAGACAACAGATTCTGCAGAACCATGGTGGCTAGAATTCTCACATCTTGTCTAAGTTTCAAAATTCTGCCAAAAGAAAGCGCAAAGTTCTCATCATCAGAATATATCGGATACTGTAGATAAGATCTCCCAAGCTCAATCAAAACTGGGGTTTCCATCGTCCCTTGCACCCTGGAATTGAGGACTACGTCCAACTAATCCTGAAATAATCCCTTCCAAGTCTCTGGGTGCTCGAGTCCTGTTTTTGGAATCACTTCAGAAACTAAACTTTCAGGTAACAAAGTAATCGGACCATTTCCCTTCGCTCGAATCGGAACATCATCAACATATCGATAAAGCACCAATTGCGGACAAGAGAGTTTGAGCGAATCAATGAAATGCGGAACATCAAACATAAAATCCATACCCGTCCTTTCACCAGTTCGTATCTTTGAAATATCTTGAGCATTTCGAAGGATGATTCGTGGGATAACGAGGCTTGCGCCTGCTGATACCGTATAACGCACACAATTCAGTATTGAGTTCCACGTTTTGAGTCTCCTATCCTGTATGATGAAGCTACCACGAATCCTTCAACCCGAACATAGAGTAGGATTGCAGGATGATGGATTTCAAAATTGAAGGAAAATTCATTTTGATCTTTTAGGTCGAATTTATGTACCACATATCGATAGCTAAGATTGATGTTGTTCAGAATATGGAAGATAAATAATATGGTATGATGTCGAATTCCATTAATAAGATTATCTTTCTGAAATAAATCTCGAGTTTTAACCACAAACACCACCTGAACACTGTCAAACATTAAGATAAATCTAGAGCTATATCTATAGATATAAAGTGTATATATAGCTTGAATACACGCCGGCCAGATGAGCAGCCTAACCTAACTAGGTCACCTTCTGGATATACCCGGGGCTCAATAGCCTATGTCACTTTAAAAGTACCCTAAAAATCTAATGTATCGCCTAATTAAGGTAACTGCCTTATATTCAGGGCTCCATAGCCTAGAAAGTACCCTGAAAGTGGTATTCTGCTGATGTCTCGCCTAATTAGATTAGGTTAGGCCGTTCAGTTGGCCAATATGCTGTCAATCCTCCCACCTGATTTCACTTGCCTTACATTATGTAAGTGATGCATCAGCGCCGGTCAATAATTTGATTAACGTCTTAGACTTTCAGCGAAAGAACGTAAAGGCATCTAATGCGACCTCTTATTCATGCTCAATAAAAAAAAAGGAGCTTGAGAACTGCATACTTTCGCTTATCAATTGAGCCATTTAGTATATCTGCTAGCACCGTTAACGTTCCCAGACGGACAAACAAGTATCGCATATGTCTTATCAAATATGTGAAACGATGGCGGACAGGCTATGTTGAAAAGAGGATGCACCTTTGATTTTCGAAAAATTGCTTTCGTAATCCAATGTTCCTACTTCGCTCGACACTTACCATGCATTGAGGACAACTGTGGTGACCGGCAGCATTGAGAACTTGTCATTATTCTCAACTTCGATATTGAATACTGCGGTAGACCTCTCCACTTGTCAGCACTTTGGGGAAGCACTGAATTCGTACAGATTCTTCTAGCTATGGCTCATGGAGCTCTGATCTAGGATTGATCTAACAAGTCTTTTCGCCATGGCCCAGAAGACATTTCCAATGTGATTGATTCAACGCCTGCCACTTTCAGGATCGCCTTTGCAAATAGCATCAGGATCAAGTCAAATCGGTTTTGTTGAAGCACTATTGAAGAGGAGACGGCATAATGTGAAATTTTCGCGAGGTAAATATGGTGAGGCAGTACATCCGGCGATGAGAGGCAAATCTGAAAGTGTTGCCATGTTGTTACTGAGCGCTCGCAAGCCACAAGAAGAAGATGTCGACCAAAAACAACGGTTTACCGCACCTTGAGTATGTTTCCTTTCACGAATGCATGTACAGGCAGGTATGTTATTCTGGCTGCAAACCATTGCTGAACCTAATGCTAGAGTTTGGTGTTTATGTTAATAATCGCAATTATGATGCTAATCTGAGATTCCCCATCGAACTCACCGCTGCATGGTCATAATAATGTAGTTCAACTGCTACTTGAGCATAACGAGGACCGCAATACACTTCGAAGCAGGCTTGGCACAAATTCGCATTGCAGCACCATACCGTGCCACCCTTACAGGTCGTCACTTTTCATGGCCACGAAGACGTGGTTCAGGCACCTCTCAATGGTGGTACCAAACTTGGCTCTCTCAATGTCCACTTCGCTTTTTTCCAAGCGTCCCAAGTAGGCCAAACTCATACCATGAAAGTTATTATTGAAGAACGGCTTGGATGTCAACATGTGTCCGAGAGGCCGCTTTCCCGATCCATTTCAAACTTGGGGTTTAAGCTCATATGAGCGATCGTTTGTCGTTATTTGTATGCACCATACGACAACTTCAAGAGAACTACTTGTTGCCGACGATGTACTTATATACATCCCGGTTTCTCTGATATGGAGTTATCACGTTGAGAGTGTTCACGACCAAGCTATTCTTCATTGCTTATGACCCTTGAGTGGAAAAGTAGCAGGCTCTCAGACCTTGGATATGTGCAGCAGCACTTTCAAGAAATATGTAGCAGAAAAAAAGATTGTACCTTTGTCCATAGCAGAGGATTTCTGGAGGGACAGTTCCGACCAGTCTTAGTCCTATCTAAGACTTCAAGACATAGCGGATAGCCAAACTGTCCAAAGTCATGATAATTTACACAGAACTTTCTTTCTCCAAAAGTGGCTGATTACTTTGAGCAAAATGTCTGTGTTCATTCACGGAGGTTTTCCAACTTCCACTGACCCCTACACTCATGTGGGAAATCCCCGAGATCGATTCACCGGGATCAGACTTAAATTGATGATCACAGGTCAAGTTCCTGACTCTCCACGTGTCATTTCCAACCCTAGAACCTAGCTGAATGCTACATATGATGTTTTTCGAATCTCGATACATGGTTATTAGTGTACGATACGAAAGTCCCTCAAGGATCAGCCAGGATAATATTGCTCCACCTCGCATGCATCGACGGATCAAAGGACGGTAAATGAAAAAGGCATTCAACAATGGATATAAATGCCACCAAAAAAATCGATATTTCCTGATTAGTACAAGTTGTGGATAAAAACTTACTATGTGCCCGCATAAATATGGGGTAAAGAGGGATATGTTGCCAATGTATTTCAAGATTCGATAGAACTTTAAATCATCGCCATTCTCAGACTTTGCATTAACTCCGTATAGGGAAACTCCAGAGTCCGTAGCTAGTGTATGTCTTTTTAAGGCTAGGTCGAGGGGAAACGTCCGGTCTTTTGGTGGTAGACGTACAGTAGTTACGTGTGTGCGGAGTATGTTGTTCGTATTGTGGATAGAAGGGTCACGGACGGAATACGTGATAGATAGGATATATGAAGTGAGGGGATGCTTTATTGCAGATGGCGAGGAAATTTGGTAGTTGCGAAAGTTTATATTTGAGGGCGGGATATAGGAACGGGAGTTGATGCTCTTGGCTAGTGTTAAATTTTTATTTTATAATAGTTGTATTCCACTGCTACATTCTTACATTGCATTCAATCTCTACACAGATACAAACACAAACTTATTTGACCTCGATCCATTCATACCCACGCATAACTATTCACCAATCATAAACATGACGATGCTAAATGACCCTCCATCTGCAGCAACCTTGCCCCTTCGCGATCCCAGCGCCCCTTCCGCTTTGAAAAATATCCCATCAACCACCTCCTCTAATCCAAACACGTGCAATCTCGGCTCCAAATGGCCCACAGCCTTGGACCTGGCAGGCTCCAACCTTCCCTGCCGTCTCGAAGGTGAAGTCGCCGACCTAGTCGTCGTCGGCACCATTCCCCCACAAATCCACGGAACGTTTTACCGCGTAATGAGCGACCCGTTCGTCCCTCCCCACCCACAGAATGTACCCGTCGACGGCGACGGCAATATATCGGCCTTTCGCTTCCACGATGGAATTGTCGATATGAAAATGCGATACATAGAGACAGAGCGATACAAACTCGAACGACGTGCCAACAAGGCATTATTCGGGTTATATCGGAATCCATATACACATCATCCATGTGTGCGGGCCGCGGTGGACAGTACCGCGAATACAAATTTAGTCATGTGGGCTGACAAGTTGTTGGCATTGAAGGAAGTGGCTTTGCCTTATGAAGTTGACGGGGACACGTTGGAGACGGTGGGATATGATCCTTTTGCTTCTGAGGGCATTAAGTCGAAGACTTTCACTGCGCATCCGAAGGTTGATCCGTTTACAGATGAACTTGTGGTTTTCGGGTATGAAGCAAAAGGATTGGCGACCCTGGATGTGGTTACCTATACGCTTGACGCGCGAGGGAAAAAGGTGGAGGAATTGTGGGTGAAGAGCCCGTGGTGTGCTTTCATACACGACTGTGCTATTACGGAGAATTGGTTGATACTTGTATGTTGGTGTTTCGAAGCGGATGTTGAGAGGATGAAAAAAGGGGGCCAGCATTGGGCTTGGGATTATGAAAGACCGGCAACATTTATTGTGGTTCCGAGGAGGAAATTGACGCCGTTGCCGGATGGGTGGAAGCAGGGTGAGAGCAGGTTTTATGAGTGGAAAAATTGTATGCCAGTCCATACAGCAGGGGCTTGGGAAGGAGAGGATGGGAAATTATACATGGAAAGTTCGAGGGTGCATGATAATGCATTTCCATTCTTTCCACCGGATGATGGACGTCTGCCGAGTCCAGATACAAAGGGAGATTTTGCACGTTGGGAGTTCGATTTGAGTCAACCGAGTGGGAGTAAGATACCAGATCCTGTGATCGTTTTAGATGTCCCATGCGAATTCCCGAGAATCGACGAAAGATTCATGACAAAGAAGTATAATTGGGTATTCTTGGATGTTTTTATTCCCAATCAAAGTGATGGGAGGAGTAACATATACCAAGGGCTCAATGGTCTTGCGATGCATAATAATACGACGAACGAAACGAGATATTTTTACGCAGGAGACGACTCGCATGTTCAAGAACCAATCTTTATTCCTCGGTCAAAAGATGCTGAAGAAGGAGATGGTTGGGTGATGGCGATGGTCGAAAGAAGGATTGCTAATCGATGCGATTTGGTCGTGATTGACACGAGAGATTTTGAGAAGGCAATTGCTATTGTTCAATTGCCATTCCATGTCAAAGCTCAAATACATGGTAATTGGGTTGAGGCCACTGAGACTAGAGGGACAAGAAGTCTTGTTCGAGAGATAGATGAACTTGAGGTCAGTGGAAAAGGGGCATTAGAACCTATAGTTTAAGCTTCGTGGTTCCGCCGCTTTTTAATCCCTCATCTAGATAATCCTATAGGACAACTTTCTACCGTCTATCGACGTAGCTTGCTAAAGTTTCTACTATAATGATAAATCACTCCTATTGCTCGGATCCTAGGATTGGTTGTGACCAGGCCCAAGGGATAGCACCACTAATCAGGAGATGCTAGCCCCTTGGAACTTCTCTACTAGAGCGTAAATTGCTAACAAAGAACCTTCATCCGGCTGGAGCGATTTATTGAGTTCCATGTGCTCACTGCTCCCTTCGACCTTAAGAACTAATTTGGCAAGCTGCCAAAATTCCAAAGAATTCTTGTAGTATCCAATTCTTGAAAATTCAGGTCCAACATGTTCAATATGGTCATCCCAAAGAATCTTCCATCTATCAAGAGCTTGGACAATACGATCAGAGTTATACATCCCCATAGCGCTCGATTTGAGCAGGAAACTAGTGTTGTTCAATGCTTATATAAAGTTAGAGAATTTTCCTTCCGCGTGAGTAACGAGAGAGTTTACTCACCATTGAGCAGTGTGAACAAATTATATGTTGTAAGTTGATAGTGATGTACTGCGTTCCATTCATCCCCCATTAACCACGCCACTGAGGTTGCTAGTGAGGCTCGTGGCTTTTCATTTGTTCCTATCAGATACCCTTCGCAAACAAGAGCATCGGTAGCGGCATACGCTTCATCTGAAGATGGCATATCACCGACCATTTCGCTAACCATCATACGTGGTGGATAGGAGTGAAACACAGTAAAATAGGCATCTATGAGGTATATCGTAGCCATGACCCTGAATTATGTTCAGTATTTCGTATCAAGGATGGGAGGGCAAACAAGCTGACCTGATTTTTGCTTCTGCTTCAACATAACCTAACCAGTTAAAAGGGCAAATACCCGTAGCATACATATTTTTTGAAGAGGTGTAACCAAGTGTCCTTGTCATGGTTACGATATCAGAATAACGCTTCTTACGCATTCTCGTCCGTGCTTCTGGTCCATTCTGCCAAGTCTGCAGTACGGCTACAAGAAGTGCCGCTTGAACAGCTTGAAGACTAGTGGGCCCTTCGAAACCCTGCTCAGTACGAAGTATCGACTTCACTTCATCATCCTCAAACACAAATTCCTCGCATAAAGTGCCGCATTGTGTTGCTAAACTAGCTGTATCTCGAGGCGACGAATAGGCTGCGCCAATGAGAAATACGGCGAATAACAATGGAAGTGATACTGTCTCAAGGTTATAGGTAGGTTGATGTATGACAGGACTATTAGGATGCCAATGCTCGAAATACAATCGAGTAAAATCTACTAGATTCGGAACGGTTAATAAAACACTTTTAACCTCTTCGGAAAAGGGTGGTGCATCCCCACCACATCTCTTGAATATTTTATCCTGAGCAATAGCAAGTCGGGATATGAGTTCCTGGAGCCGGCTTTCCAACCGAGAGGAGTATAGTAGAGATGGGTCGATTGATGGAGTGCTGGTTTCACTATTCCAGATGAAGTCATCCAACATGGGCAAACTATTGCCCTGCATGAGATCTTCTAACTCGTTCGGAAATCCCAGCAGTGAGGAGCTCGGCATGAACAATGTAGATGACGGCGCAGAAAGCGTGGAAATGGTTGGATTAGGTATAATGGTGTTCGTTAAAGAGCCGAAGAAATCCAAAAGGCTATCTTTTCCTGGCGTTGTATATTTAAGAAGAAAGTCGAACTTTACCCGGTGTTCTTGAGGTGTTATGCTAGGAGCCGGTGATTTGTTGCCAGCTTCACTGGACTGCGCCGGCACGGAACCGTGTAGTTGTTGCAGTGAAGCTCCAGTCTCTTGAGTAGTCTGAAATGGCTGTGGACCTTCATGGTTTCCTGTCGAGCGATAATATGTGCAAGGCACTTTACTTAGTTGGCAAGCCTCACATGGATGACCTCTACTGCAAGCTCGTTTTGACTTTGCGCAAGAGTCACATGATTGCTTCTGCTTTCCTCTTGGCCGGAGCGGGGGCATTGGCTGATCACCCCTATTTGCGCATGATCTTGAATGTCTTCTAGCAGCATCTCTACCAGACTGTCAGTAATATTAGCAAGAATCTGTCAACCATGTACCTTACGATCTGAAAAAGTGTTGATCACAAAAGTGGCACCCATAAAGGCGTTGCCCAGCATCTATTTGAGTTTTAACGTTAATGATTTCCAGTCTTCCGAGTTGCGGATAACAGTGGGGTGGAGTATAAACTTACGCACAGCTTCATGACGGCGTAGATGTCCAATGGTGGAGTATGTAGATAAACATATTTGACAAAGATAAATCGGAAATGATGCACCTGTCGAGGGTGAGGTTCTCTTCATATTGAATATTCGACCAAGTTGTTTGTGACAGAGAGGTGATGATGTTGAGTGAAACCCATGCAAACAAAATCGATCATTGTATCGGTGAGGAGGCTGCCATTGCTAATGGAAAAGAAGAATGTTACTAGAGATATGATTGGTGAGAACTTGCAACCGAAATTTCTAACCATACCATACCCAGGTAAGGTTAGATAGAGCAAGATCAACGAGACTGGAGATAATAGCCGGGACCGAGCATAGAATAGTGAATGTAAACCAAAGGAGTTATGTAGGAGTTATGAAATCACAATTGAGGCCGCCTTTCTTCACGTAAGCGGAGAGTATTGCTATTGGAAGTTGAGTGAGTGATTGTTTACAAAGGTTGATGAGCAAAGTATTATAAGCCACATCTCAAAATGACCGTGCTTTATCTCGGCGAGTAAGGGCTTTATTAGCGGCTTGCCGACACCAAAACCTTGCTGCACACGAGGTTTACCCGACATAGGTTGTAGAAAATGAGAACTTACTTAAGTCAAGCTCAATCCTGAAAATCTGATTGGTCTAAAATACCCCTGCAGAAAATCTAATAAAAAGCTTGATATAAATTTTATAATCTTAAATAAATTTATTTAATAATAATAATAATAATAATAATAATAATAATAATAATAATAATAATAATAATAATAATAATAATAATAATAATAATAATAATAATAATACTTATAATATTTATTATTATTATTATTATTATAATAAATTGAATAAGTTGAATTGAATGAATAGAGATGAATTGAATGAATAGAGTTGAATTGAATGAATAAAGTTGAATTGAATGATTTCAAAGTTAAATGATTCCAATAGAGTTGAATTGAAAAAAGCTCTAAGTCAGATTTTCTTAAGGTTGTAAGGCTTATGCCAAGCTTTTTGTTAGATTATTTACCGGGGTATTTTAAACCAATCAGATTGTCAGGATCGCGACTCATTTAAACAAGTTTCTTATTTTCCATTACCCACCGGGTAAACCTCGTGTACAGCACGGTTATGGAGTCGGCAAGTCAACAATTATAATATAATATATATTACAAATAGTATGATCACAAAGTATATAAAACAATCTTGATAAGAATGATATATAAGAGTATGTATAGTTGTATTGAAGTGAATAGACTTGTCTTTGATCTTATTGATCAAGGGCTATATATATATAAGATATAATCTATTATCTAGCCGACGATCATCCTGATAAGGATATAGATTAAATAGATAGAGCTTTGTAAAGAGCGGTAAGATCGATATGATCACGTGATACCGATAAGATATAAAGAAAAACGTAAGCGAGTGAGTACTATGATGTTAGAGATCACGTGAAATCACGTGCTCTCACGTGACAGTATACTAATATTATAATATTAAATATATATAAAAGAGTTTTTATTATTTAAAAATAACAAATCAAAATATTATATTAAATTTAATATATTAAAAAATTTATTTTACTTTTTTAATTTATATATAATTCTCATTTATAATATATTAATCTAAATTAATTAATCTCCTTGCTAGCTGTATAAAAATTAAACTACAAGAGGAATAGTGAGTTGTGTTTATTTAAGTTTTTTATACTTTCTATTAAGTTGGGCCCCCTTGCTTCGGACGCAAATCATATAGTGTCCATTAGTAAGATCTAAGACAGCTCGCCACGCAATACTCTGCATCTGCAGATCCTTGAATTACACGGGATAAACCGAGGACTTGTCTTGTATAACCCCAAGATACTCTGTACTTCTGTCTCCAAATCAATTATAAGAATTTGTCCCCGTCTTATAATAATTTATGTCTTGTGAGATGTACTTATATTGGAGACCACATTCCGTACACTTTGGCTGTAGGAGTAATAGGAAGGTAACTATGAGAATAAAAATGTTTGAATAGATCAATTATTTGGCCAAAATAGCTTTTATCTATGAAAAATTGGATGGTGTAAAGACATGTGTGAAGATACCTGCCTATACTCCGCAGGCTCTTATAGGGCTCTCAGCACTATAAAGAGCCTGTAATTTTACACCTAGACCGCCTAACTGACGCTAAGCGAGCCTATAAAAGTTAGTATGCGGTGAGTCCCATTTAATTTTAATCTCAATCAAATAAAACAATAGTGCTTAAATAAACTTTTTAGAGCGAAATTAAGCACTAATTTTCAGGGCTGAATCTGGAAGGTTGAATTACAACGTATTATAGTGCTAACACCCTGTAAGGCTATTTTTGGTATCACTTCGGTGATACGAATGCAGTGCATAGTATTCTTGTTGTATTTGTTCATGGATGACTATTATCTATCTAGGGGAGAGGGACCTATTTATATTGAAAGGGGTACGGGCTAGAATGCACTAGTCGTACGGCTCCCTTTATGTACGGCCTCCCTTTCGAGGTTGATCACATGATGTACCGACAGCTATATTACATCCCTTTCTTCCGTACAAGGCAAAGGATTAAAACAACCCCGAGAGCTGTTTCGCCTCTAGCAAACTTCCTTCAAGGTCAAAATCCCAGACCCATTCATACAACGAATCAATCTTGTCCGCGATCCTTCCCACATCTTCTCCAACTTCGCCATGAGAAAGCGTAAGGAGCTCCTCGGACTCCTTACTACTCCTGATCAATTTCTGCGACCTTTGTCTCCTTACCATATCGAAAGCCTTGAGTGCCTCTTCAATATCGTTAATATTCTTGACACCCTCAAACAGGTGACTCAAAACATATGCATCCTCAAAAGCCATTCCAGCGCCAGCTCCCAAGTGCGGTGTACTTGCATGAGCAGCATCACCCATAAGACATACCCTTCCACGATAATATTGCTGAGAATTTGGAAGATGGAAAAGTCCCCATTTATCTCCGCTGCAGTATTCTGAAACCAATTCAACCAGTTTTCCTTCAAAGCCTTCTAGATCGGATAACATCTCTTCTTTCGAAGCAGGTATCAACCAACGCTCCTTATTCCATTTCATGTCCTTCTTCGTCTTCAGTGCAACTATGTTAATCAAATCGCCATGTTCCACCGGATAAGTAATCATATATCCGTCATATCCAAGGTACAATTGACCATTTAATGCCAGATCATCTCCTATTGCTTCTCTAGCAACATCTTTGGGAATCATAGCTCTATAAGCGTAGATGCCGGCAAATTCTGGCTCCACTGACTGGCCGTTCACAACGAATTTTCTTGTCACACTTCTGATGCCATCACAGCCAATCACTACATCCGCGAAAGCTGTCTCACCGTCTGCAAAATCCAACTTCAATTCTTTGTCCACCCCTCCCATCTCTTCAACGCTCACGAGACTTTTCTTGAACTTTACCATCCCATCTGGAATTAAGGCGGCCATTTCATCCAAGAACCTGGCCCTATGCACACAACTTCTCCTCTTAATCCCCTCGGACGTTAACAGTTCCGAGATCTCCCCTAGAGACTTTCCTTTCTCTCCGATATGATGAACGAAGTCCATTTTCTTTCCCTCCCCGTTTCTACTATCCATGCCGTACCGCAAAGTCAACCAGACATTATCCCGATCACGAGTTTCATTGAAGGTTGCACATTTCTTGTAACCTTTCAGAATATCTGGAGAGATTAAACCCATTGCGTTCACAGCATTGGGGCCGGATGCAACACCAGCACCGATTTCCGTGAAGCAAGGAGCTGATTCGTAGATTGTAATATTGAGATGATCACGGTGCGAGAGAAGTCCAATGCTGAGAGCAAGTCCACCAAGACCGCCCCCAATGATAGCAACGTTGAGCTTGGAGTTTGTGTTTTTCTCATTAACCACCATTTTGTAATAGTACAACTGAATGAAGATAGGAGAAAGAGTAACGATAGTATTGATGAAAAGACGTTTGGTTTTTCCCGGATTGTCACTGGTTATGGTATTCAGATACAGGGTTTTGAAAGAAACGTTGGATGGGACCGCCTATCTCATTTAACATGCTACAAAGAGGTGAATCTCGGGGGAAAACGAACAAAAATTGGGGAGCAAGATCATCCACTTTGACAATCCATCGAATCATTTACCCCGGCCGGCCGGGTAGAGTCTCGCTCTACCGGGCATCTTTCTACACCGGAATCCGCGGATACATACATATATACCAGATTTTCTTGAAAAACGTACTTTTTCTGACGTGCATACCAGATATCACGGTAGTTGAAGGATGTCGGATAAATCTCCACGGTACAAGAATTGCAAGGGAAAGGCTCGAGTCATTTCTTTGAGCCTATGATATAACTAATTTGTAAAATTTCCAGGGGCTAACGTTGGAATTTCGGGGCTGGAAACTGGGTCAAACTCTCTTGATACTTTTGTCTCTGATGCTGATATACCAGAATCCACTGCTTTAACGGAAGTGATTGCCGTATTCTTCGGTCGTCCCGACAGCGGGTTCCAATGTAGTCGCACAATGCAATGTGGTATTTTCCGTAGCCCGGTAATAAGTGAATCAGATCCATCCAAACGAGCGATCTAGACTATCAAGTGCTTGATACGTTAGGTGTGGATCGTTGAGTGTTTGAGTTGGAGTCTTTTAGATGGAATTGAGGATGAGTTTGTAACTTACTGTTGTAGTTAGTTGTTTTAGACAGAAAAGGAAATAAGGTTGAGAACTTGAGATAAAGGGGCTCAATCACGTGTAGATAAGCTCTTACGCGCCAGTATTTGGTCTCGACAGTTTTCCACATTCCCCGCCAACTCGCCTTCCAGCTCTATGAACTAAACCAAACCCTAAACCTAAGCCCTATCCTTCTACGAAATGTTAGGACGGACTACCAGGCGCGCGGGCGCAGGAGGATCTCCTCCTACGCAATTCCATACACGCTATTCAGATTTTCTCAACTCTTCTTCTCAGCGACCAAACCTCCCTCCGCCGACTACAACATTTTCAGATCTTGGCTCGTAACCTGACCATTCCCGTGAACCATTGCTAAATTGGAGTTAATCACCAGCTTATTTCACTCCATACCCAAATTTCCACAGTCAATACTCCCCTCAGGCCTCCCCACCTCAAGCCTCCACACCTCATCGGCCGCGAAATTCCACTTCAAACAGTATCCGCCAACTCCTACTACACCATGAATGGCCTCGCCATCCGCTCGAATATCATCCATACCAAAAATGCTCAATCTTCGCTCCTGCTCCTCCTGGACCAAGGCTACAACCTCTTCCTCAATCTCAACTTCTAGAGTCTACTCTTTACGGCGCAGATCTCGAATGTCTCAGAGCCGTACTGCTCGTCAGAGGCAATCTGTCTCTGCATACGCGAACGATCATCTTATTATTTCTGCTAAGGGAAAAATATGTAGTTGAAGAAAGAAAGGACGGTTAGAGTATTAAGAATTTGGAAGATGGTGACAAAGTAGATGGGAAGTCCGCGAATGTGCAGTATGCGGAGGGAATTTCGGTAAAGAACAGAGGAGTTGAATTGGGATACTAATATAGGCAGAGGCGAAGCTGGGAATCGAGGATATACAGAGTATCCCGTAGTCAGACAGCCGTAGGCGGGCCATCATCTTCGAAAAAGCTGAAGCTGCATCTAACCTTGGAGGAATTTGGGGTAGAGAGAGAGATCATCAAATTCGGAGGTCGCTAAGTGTGGTCAGCGCGACAAAAGCATTAGACCTCAAGATGGAGAAGGACCTGCTGGTGTTCGTCCTTATCAGGGTTTATTTCTTTCCTTCGAGCTACTGCATAATACTGAGGGCTATATTTCGGTGGGCACATATGAGCACAGAATTTGATTCAAATAAACTAATCACCATCTAGATTGACCACATGCTTTCACATTTTCAGATACGAGGCTTCAATTCCGCAGGTAATAGTATAGCTAAGATTTAGGGGGTCACTAAATAGAGAATGCTAAACACACCTGTTCATTCCGTCATTCATGATGCATATACTAGGCATTTGCATGCCTAACCGGTCGGGAATTTCCCATTTTCGGCAATCATGAGATATGACAAAATAAACCCATCACCCTGATTTCACTCATGTCATCATCACACAAGTCTATCTGTGTCCACTATATCATATGGCTATAAGTATAGTCCTATCCCTAACCTAGAGGAGCCATTGATCTGCGACTCCTTTATGTACTTGATCTTGGGCGGTTTCCAGGTCTGTAGCCGCTCGATTGCCAGTGCGATGTATTTATCGTGAAGTTCGTCTGATACATAATGTTAGTCATATTGAGCGCCGAAATATTGGGAAAATGCACGACTATACCAGTAATTATCGGGTTGGATTCCCAACATTGCTCGATACCTCGATTCCGAGCATAATCGAAGCCTTTTTCATAACCTTCAATTTCTTCCAATGATCTGGGCAATCTTTCGGCGGAGAACGTTCTGGGATATGCTCTATCAATGTACCCATCGAGAAGATGTGGTAACTCGATGCCTTTGTCATCAAAGGAGAAGTCATCGTCCCCTAGAAGATAATAAATCTCTTCCAGGTTGAAACTCAAGGCCCATGGATAGATTATACTATTATATCGGTTGTGTTCGTTAGGCATAATCGACGACAGCATCTGCATGCCCATAGGGTTTGCCTTTGGCACAATAATGCGCTTGACTTCTGGAATCCATCCAATAGCGACGAGGGCTTCAGAGACAGTAACCCAATCGTCTTTGAATGTCTGGACCCAGATTGTGTCGATATCAATATTTATATAAATGGATGCCTGCGAATTTTGTGGCGCTGGGCCAAGGTAGCTAAGACGTTCCGCGAACTCTGGTCTCCATTTGAGCAACTCCAAAGGCTCCTTGAATGACAATACTACCTCTCGCGCCTCCGGGCACACCATTGTCACAGGACATTGCTGCGACGTGACGCAAAGGTAATACAATTCATCGGACTCATCCTTGTAGGGAGTGACATGAATGGTGCGCGGCTGCAGGGCAGCGAATCTCCAAATCTTCAACCTTAATTCGGTTGGCAAGTTTCCGAATTGTGAAAAGGATTTATGCACGTTGTTGATTGCTACGACATTGTCCTTGGTATGGAAGGTCCCTGTCTCTATACTTATCAAATCTTCAGGTTGTTGTGGCTGGCTAACAGTAATGGCGCTCTTATTCTGTTCATTGTTTTTCCGGTCTTGCTGCTAAGGACTTAGAATTGAGATGCCCTTCTGCTCAGATCTGGTCAATACGACGACCTATTTTCTTCATCAGCTTCAAGTAAAAATGTCACTCAATAGATCGCTGTGACTTACCCGGTCAAAACCATCCATGATTGCGAGCTATTGGTTCTCGATGCGATGTATCTTTGATTAAGCGGTTAATATGGTTGAATTTTATTTGGCCTCGAGCTTTTGGAGGTAACTGGATTTGACGTTGACACGATCATGTAGAAAACCTAGGGAAGTTAAGTATCTCCAATCATATACCGTATCAATCTAGGAATTCGAAGAAGAGTGTTAGGCTAAGGTTTTATACTGTACCGCCAACACACTTGAAATTTGAAACGAACTTGCACTTAGTAGGGGATACTTGGAGAATGATGTTGGTTCGAGATATTCACTTCTTTTCTCAACTAGAATATCAAGCAGAACATTGTAGCTGTACAAGGAAACAATTACTATAATAAAAGTCCCCAAATGTTGACCCAACGAAAGTCTGGAATTTCAATCACTCTCTCACATTTGGATCTTTGAAGGCGCACATTTAGTGTCTAATCCACTAAACGTATAGACCGATAACAAGAGAAATTTGGAATCAAAGAGTCTCACTACACCAATGTCTTTCGAAAGTTGAAACATTATAAGTTGGGTTTGGTATTCAGTGAGTAGTGAATAAGTTCCGAACATTACCTTAGGTACTAATTGTAAGACTTACCTCGATCCTTCCTGTTTCAGGTATCCTTCTTTCAATATTCTCATCAATCTCAAACCATCAAAGAACAAACACCAAACACCAAGCAATAAGCAACAAAAAATAAAACCAAGATTACATCACCACTTCAATCAAAATGCCAACCGCAACTCAAGAAAAGATCGCCCTCCTCCAATCATCCCCCTACCACACAGAACTCCAACAAATCGAAAAAGACTACCGAGCCACTCACAAACCCCTCCTCCTCCAAACAAAAAAATCACTCATTGCATATCGAGCAGCCACTCGAGCGGGAAATACAGCAGCGTTACAAGAACACCAAGATAATATCGATGAGAATATACACAAAATGGTTGATCTCCACAAGGAAAAGAAGAGGGAATGGGATATTGGTATTCAGAGACTGGGGGAAGATGTGGGTGGTATCCTCGGAAGGACTTTAATGGATGTGGTGAGGGAGTTGGGTGGAAGGAGGCCGAATATAGCTGAGGGGCATGATATGGATTTGGGGAAGGTGTTGGTTGTGGTTGGGAAGAGGATGGATTCTGAGTAACTCGTTGATCATGAGTGGGAGGAACTTTTTTTAGGGACGAGGCTGGATTTTCGGTTGTATGGACTAACTAAAGTCTAGGAATTATATTGTTTGATGCGTTGGGTTGTTTCTTACATTAATATTACTTACATTGGTAATAATACATATCTTTAGGCTGTTTTATTGCTAAATTTGGTTTGTGATGCACTTGATTATTAATTACAAGCTCCTTTGACCGAAAGTTCTCACATCTAATTTGAGAATCCGGAGATCCGGAGGTAAGTTGGCATGAATGGGACGCTCATGATAGTTTCAAGCATATCTAGGCCTTCAAAGACTAATCATGCATGATCACAAGTGATGGTAACACAATATTTAGGCTTCAATTCATCTCTATTCGAAAGTGGCCTAAGCCAAGTCTATTGTTGATTTAATTTATATACAAAAATCGAAAAACATTTTCCTTTCTTTTCCTATCTTATCCCCTTTTTAATTTATGCTTCGCACTCATCATCGCCAACCTCAACAGAGGAACTGGTAGCAACTGGCGCAGAAGATGTAGCAGTTATAAGAGTAGTCGGGGCGGGAGTTACAACGGCGGGAACTGAGCTTGAAGCAAGAACCGCGCTCGATGAAATAATAGCCGAGCTTGATGAAGCAGACACGGTGGCGTTGGTCGGGACAGAAGATGCGGCTGTCGGGCTAGACGCGACAGCGGCTTTACTTCCACCTGCTCCGCATGTAGCAACCGCTCCTCCGGGAGGTTTATAGGTGGAAATATCGAAACCGTAGTAGACGTTTGGGATATAAATACTTGGATCGGTAGCGTTGTAAGCACCAGGAAGCTCGATGGATGGACCGCAGGAATCGCTAGCAGTACCGGTAATAGAAAGTTGAGCACATCCAATGTACCATTGTGCGCCTCCGACGGTCTGGGCGCCATGGAGAGCAAGCATCTCGGAACGGAGCTGTGTGATAAGTTAGTTTATTGGGATCAAATGTGAAGATCGAGTAGCTTACCAAATAGTCACCAGAAGCCATTCCGGTAGGAAGCTTGAATGTGTAACTCATATTTCCAGCGGCCATGATATTTGAGGCCCAAGTACCATTGACCTCTACGTACTCATCAATCTTGAACCATGAACCGACACCAGTAGCCATAGATGCATCAGCAACTGGACCAAAAAGGTAATGTTGGATAGGCCCAGGATGAGTAGAAGAATCCCATTGAACTGTGATAGCATCTCCTTCATTTGCGGCGGTTGTGTTGACACCTGAAGGTACCTTGTTTCCATTGACGTTACAGGTAATGTCATTCGATGTTATGTCTACAACTGGAGAATTGGAAGGCGGCATGCGGATGGAGACCTCATATCCTGGGGAGACTCCATTGACCCAGAATTGATGAAAGTTTTGATGAGCAGCTACTGCTGTAAGGAGGGAAGCGGCAATGATTGATTTAGAGAACATCTTGCTGATAAAATCTTGTATAGATATATGGTAGGAATGAATGTAAATATTGAAAAATGAATGTCGTGGATCACAGATCACAATTGAAATGAAAGTGTTTAAAAAGAAAGTTGAAAAAGAATGTAGAAGTTGACAGGAAAATGATAAGACTGGCTTGGGGAGGAAGGACAGAGGAAAGGAAGGATATTGTTATGAGAGACAACTGAAGATATAGAATTGAAGAGTCCTTGGAGGACTTGAAAATCATATCCTAGCTCGTTTCAAAGAAACGAGATCTTTGGATGGACGTTTCATTTTTCGACCTTGATTTGATCATCTTCCATGAAGGGATGTGTGAGATAAACTATCTCGTAGATTCCACTCCACTTTATGATCAAATACTTGGAAAAAGCAGCCGCGCTGGAAAGATTCTGACAATTCTACCATTTGGTAGTGTGGTTGTTTGATAAGATGCTGTTATGCCACCGAATCAATTAATCTTTACATCGTGGTGCTGCGTATTTTTATGCTTGAACTGGTTGTCTGCTTACCCGATAAATTCAATCGTAGTCTCGCATTAGCATGGCTCATCATAACTTCATTCATCATTTCATGAATTTCCCAAACTGCTGGAGGTGTATCGATCAAATTGACGTTTCTCCTGATTCCCCTTGACGAGAAGAATAAGCATGAGGTTTTATGCGCCCAAGTCCTTGCGAGTAAGGTAGAGTTAACCTACGACGGGCGCTTAAACCTAAAAATATATTCATCGGATCTTTTTTCTCCTTTTAGTCAAATTCATCTTCAAGTTAAGCCGACTTTGGAAACGTGGAATCTATTCAACGCACCGGCAACTGCTGTTTCCTTAACGCATTAAAGGGTAAAAGCTTGCGCCTCAAATTTGTCCTTGGCGATGAGTCGTGACGTGACATCAATGGGATTGCTTGCTGTCATGATGTAAGATTCTATTTTCTTGCCCACTCAAACATTTCGCATACTCCCAAGTTCACCCATCAAGTCTACTTGTTTCCTCATAGACAACAAAATTTCCTTACATAGAAAAGGTATTGTCACTATAGTTTCCCATCATTCAACTCGAAAGCATTATTTTTTCTCTCTTTCCCTTTTTCCCGAAAATGAAGGGGTTAAAAATTTGCAGTGAGCCGAAGCCCCCGCAACCCCTTGAATAAAACAACTTTAATTTCGTCCCTTTTTGATCAACTTCCTCGGAAACATCTTGGCAACCCCTCCAGTTTTTGTACTCGACGACACCAAAGTCTGGTTTTAGATACATCTACCTCTCTCTGTATGCAGTATCATAATCACCAATATTGGAAATACCAAGTAAACACAGATCAAGATATTCAAAGGGCCATGAGTGTTATCTGGAAGTGGGCATGGGCCCAAATGGATGCGAAATTTTATGGATATCACATCGATAGTTGCACGTTTACGAGACACCAAATCACCATGGCAAGGTAAGATCACGCAAAGAGAAGGAAGTTCACATTCAGAATCACGAAAAGATGGAAGGAATCAATCAATTGAAAAGATTCTGGGCCAGGTATATTATTACTATTATCCCGCCTTAACTCAAAGGAGCAAATGTCCCATTCACACAATTGATCCCCAATTTTGGATTCAACGCGCTGGTAGCGTTAATACAGACCACCATCGGATTTCTATAATCCTGAGGATAGATTTCTATATCTACCAAATTAAAGTTCTTACAAGAACTCTGCGTGTTACACTCAATGATGATAGTTTCCGTCCTTTGCAAATTGGGCAGTCCAACATCATACCAGCACGGATCCGTAACACAAGATCCATCACCCGGCTGGAAGGTATTCACTGTTCCTCGAAAGTTCTTCCAAGTGAAATCTTCCATATTCACACTTGCGTTATTAGGGCGCCCACTTATCTGCCCAGGCTCAAGCTGAGTCGCGTTATTTCCCTGGTTGTAGTACGTTTGGGTGACGAAAATCGGAAATGAAACATTATATACGCGAATGTCCTCCCATGTAACGTTCTTTGCGATCCCTTGACCCCCAGCCCAGCTCTTGAATCGAGCAGCATAAACAGCATCGATGACTGTCACATCACGGAAATGAATGTTCGATATGTTGGCAAACGAAGCTTGATTTTGTCCAAGGGATCCAATGGATAAACCGTGAGATTGATACCCAATTGTTGCTCTTTCGAAGACAACGTTGTGAGATCCAGATTGCACGGCACATGCATCATCTCCATTATAGATAATAGAGTCCGAAATGTGAACATTTGTAGCTGTGACACCGAATCCATCAGTGTTGAATGGGAAGCCGCCAGTTTCAGAAAACGAGTCAATGATGCTGTTTTTGACCCGAATATTGCTTCCTAAGAGCTGCACATTCCACGCTATCGGTTTGCGAGATTTGAAGTGGTTCATACCGCCATTTGTGGTATTCAGTTGAAAAAGATGTGGTCGATTGGCAAGTCCAGTTCCGTTCACCGGATTGGCGTCCCACCATGCTTGGCCATATGAATTTATCCAACCTGTGGTGACATCTTTTGACCCCTCATACAGAATCTTAGGACCGGTAAATGCGAACCAGTACAGAGCGGTACTATATGTAAGTGCATTGGAAGCTGAGACGAGGTCCTGGATATAGGTGATATTCTGAGGGAGGTGGAGGTTGCCTTGCTGCCGAATGACCACATTCGACAAGTTCTTCGCGGAGATCGGGTTGAATATGTTGTAGTCAACCCCCTTCTTGAATTCAATGATCGAGTTTGAAGAGCATTTTGCAAATGCGGCAGCGACAGCTGGTGAGTCGTCGGCTGTTCCGTTGGAAGATTTATATTCTGAGGGGATTGTGCAGGTTCTGGTTTGTCCTTGGCCATTGCCATTCCCGGCATAAGATAGGCCAATCAATGAAGATATTGCGACTATAAATCCTAACAACATGGTGCCACCTTTGGAAGTGAGAATGAGAAGACTAACGAGTTCCTAAGAATAATTTCGGATACACATTTTCTCATACCCGAGGACAGATGCATTTTATAACCCTTTGAGCGATGTTCCACCCCGGGTATCTTTTCCTTGTCCAAGGCCTCAGAAATTTGTCCAAAAATTGAGTGCGGGGTAAAATCAATGACAAACGGAATTTGTTGCTCCATGTCGCGTTTGAAATATTCCTCCTGCCAGGCGCAAAAATCGATCAAATTAAGGGAACTTCTAAGTTGTCAGCTTTGTAAATGTCTGGTCGTTTGTCCTCTTATGTATGCCAAGCCAGCATTGCATGCGGTTGTATGTAGCTCCCCGCATCTGACAGTAGAAACTTGGGGCAATGTTGCGAACCATTACCCCTATTGGTGGGGTTTTCTTTCCGAATGGTGTTTGAAGTTGGTGTGTACAGGATCTTGAGATAACACGAGAAGTCTAGATGCTGTTACAGCTCAATATGCATACCCCAGGCTGATAAAACCCCATATGCTCTTTGAGGCGAGACGATCACTATATCTGTTGCAACAACCATTGGACCATCCTGCTCTCTAATATTGTAGGTTAAATTACTTTGACGCCAACCATAATTGGCCAAAATAAAGATGTCCTAAAGTAATGGCACTGATCAACTCAAAAATTACTCCAAGTCTTCTTTGGATCATTTAGGTCTGATTCCTCGACAGAGAAATGAATTGTCTTGATAATTGTCATCGGCTCGAAATGGTCATCTATATTTTTGTCAAATATTCCTATTTGACTACCGGTCAAGCTATCGGTACTCGCGGCGCCTGTGACATGGATTTCGCACTGCACTAGCCCATTCTCGGGGCGTAACTTTAGATTATCTAGTCCATGTCCTTCGTAGAGTGTGTTGCCGTCTTTCGCATTTTGGTTTCGCAATATCTTGCTGGAACCCAAGGTTCGAAGGTAAGGATATTGAGCTGCGTGGGTCGATTTTTTAGTCGCAAATTTCAAGAAACCAGGGATGAGCAGACGGACGAGAGGCAAGAGATCTGGGACGCATCCAATAACTAACGCAAGGCCCGTCTCAATTTGAGATACAGCGCTGTTAACGTTCAATCCTGGGTCAGAAACATTGGGATGAAATGCACGATAAGTGAATTGAAGACGACAAATACCGACAGCAGTGACTCTAGCAAAGCAAATATTAGTTGGTGCTCGGGAAGGAACACAAAAGGCACGATGGTTACATACCCCAAGCCCATACATAAAATGAAAATTGCTGCAATCTTTTTTGGTGGAGTGATTTTCATATCCTTTACCATGTAAATTGGTATGCATAGAACCAAAAAGTCCGTAAAAATAGTAAGACCGGCAGTAATCAAGATGAAATTGATACTATTGATGCAGCTCCCACCAGTCACATATTTCCCATCTTTGAATCCAGATGTAACAGGCCCGTAAGGCCCAGTTCCCGGATCTGTCGCATTTTCTTTAATCTGAGCCGCCAAATCCATCTCCATCGAGTAGAAGTTATATGAAAAAGGTACACATTGAAACATATCGACAAAAAAGATAGCGATCATGAGGGCAAAATTGATGAATAAGAGCGCATATGAGGCATATCGAACTGATTGCCTCAACCCCCCAAGTCGAAGGTAGAGGAGAATCATGGAGGCCTTGACGAAGCCGAGGATCGGATTATAGCAAAGGGAATCGAACATCGCCCATTTCATTTTAGTCGGCATATCAATCGTAAATTGGACAAGATCCGATGTTTTGTAGCCATATTTTGCGTAGGATGTAACTGGTACTTAGGTTAGCCTGACTTGGAACTGGCCTCGTGAAGTAGACAGAGCCGACTGTGCTCTTCCACAAATTTGTGGAAAAGAAGTGTTGGGAATGAAAGTTTTCGTCTATGCAGAAAAAACTCGCAAATATAGAGATTCCATAATAACCAAATTCTCTAAAAGAAGCACTTACGTCCGTATATAGCAACAGTTTCCACAACTGAAAAGCCCTGCATCCGCCTCAGCATTCATCCCGGGCAACAAGCCTGACCTTTCACATAGCTTACCCAAGCAATAATCATACAGATATCACCTACAATGTTTTAGCAATCATGCAATTTGATAGATTTCAGAAGACTCACTCCACATAATCAGTCCCTTCCATCGTGGTTTAGATATTATCCTTGAGGCTAGGCGTCCAAAGCAGAATATCGAGCCAATAACTTCAAAAGTGACTATAATAATCAAACATGCGGTGTTCAATTGCTTGACCATTTTCAGAGACGACGGTGACACCTTTCAAAAGGCACTTTACCAGGCTTAGGTATTCATCAAGCTTTCAAGTTCTTTGAGAAGTAGAGTAGAGGCGATAATTGATGTTGTGTACGGGTGTCTGAATGTAGCTCACATATTTACTCCTTCGCGACTAGTTCACTTAACCCATCTGGGTTTCTTCAAAACAATACCCGTCGATTTTAGGCACTGAACAGGACTGATGTTCTTACTTTCTAGTTCCTAGAGGATGTGTCTGAGACGGTCGATGCTATCAGGGATGTGTGCCGGGGAAGTGGAATATGCAAACCCCTTGACGTCTGACACAAGCTCCACGGAAGGAGGGTGGCAACTCCACCGAAAGCTTGTCAAATACAGAGAAAATATTAGGCAAAATTCAAGTGAAAAGGTACACAACAACAATTCTTTTGCCTGAGTCAGTACAGAGTAGTAACTGGCGTGCATGATTGAGATAACCATGTACCTGGGGTTTGAATCAAAGGCTCTTAACCAGATGATTTGTAGTTCGTGAGATAAGGCAGGTGGATTTGCGTATGCATCAATCAAAGATGACGGGGATAATTGCAAGAAGAAGATGGCCCAACTTGGGCGTAGTGGTTAGTTTGGTGACAGGCATAATTGGAGATCAGGAACAATTAGCTGGGGGATAGGATCTGCTCTGAAGCGCTGACCAATGGATTAGTAAGTCGTATAATTCCCATGCTAATCCAACAAGTCCAGGCGAAATTCCGTTTAGCGGTTCTGTAGGTGGTCCAAAACGATCCTATACAGAAGCTGAATGGCTTTAATTTTTCTTTCGCTCTTTTCTCCCTTTTACTCCCTTTTCTTCTTTGTTCCGATATCAATTGAAAGTTTCACCCCCCAACCGAACGGTCCGTGAATGCCACATTATTGCTGATGGAATCTGAAGCCTGTAAGCCTATATACGCCTCTACAGGGCAGTTAAAGATAGGAATGCCCTTGAAAAGAGGAAGTCGGACAGAATATCATTGAATTGGGCTTAGCCGCTCAGTTGGCAGGTGAACCGGGTATATGGCGGTGTATAGCCGTCTCCAGAGTCCAGACATCTGAATGCATCTAAGAACATTCGTCAAAAGCTGGTGACTGTTGATGCCGCAATTGGGGCAATAAAATCGACCTTGAAGAGTTAGACAGTCCAAAATTTACTAAACTAAGAGCCTCCACCAGCCGGGTTGTGGGATAGTAGGTTCGAGCTGATGAACTAAAATTCATGAACCATGCAGAGAACGTTGAACTTGGCCAGCTAGGGAGCTCGAGACTAGTAAGACTTACATCCACTGTGCCGTGGTCCGGTCCCCTGAATTGTTTTCGAGGGATTGGGCCCGCTCCTTGGCGTGATTTCAGAATGGGAGATAAGCTAAAATTGACATCTTAGAAGAACTCAGGGTACTGTGTAGTGCTACAACTTCGTACGGTTCGCGGGAAAGGTCATTGCCGAGTAGCAGCACTTTTGGGCGTGCTAGGAGGTAATCCGGGAAAGATCCCAACAAATCACAATTCAATAACGATCAGATCATTAACCGGCCAGCGCCCCTGACTCTCAAAAGACAAAGCAAGTCTAATGATTGCTACCTCAAATTGACTGATCGAGCTAGATGACTATCCAAAGAGTATCCAAAGAAGAAAAGATGGACGGAATGGCGTCGTATTTGAAGCATTTGATGATATTTCAATCTCCTCTGTAAGATTGGGAACCAAATCAATTACATATGTGCTTATTTTTCAAGCGTCTACTTCTATATCCTTGGGCCCAAATACATACCTGTTGGTTCTTTTTAGCTCTATCCTTCGGCGCCCTCTTAACTATTTCCACATCTTTCACGTGCACCTCTTTTCAGAATCGAGCCGGAACAAGAGACTATCGAGACCAAATACCGGTAGTAAGCTTATGAACATCCGCTTTACGACAATTGCATCGATCATGAGCGGACATATATCCGTCTCCGGGTTTCAATGTTCACGGCTATCATACAGAATGAATACCTTTAGCTCCGCATATCCATGTTCATTGATCGCTCACTTCCGCTTCCTCCATTAATGTAAGCATCATCGACGAGCAAACACTGTCTCTCATCTATGGCTACAATGTATTCGCACGAATTCTTTACTTCTCCGACATCCACTGATTAATTTTAACGTTTCTTGCCAAAATATGAGGCGTCCTATCTCAATTTAGTCTTTACATTACCAGCGATAGGACGACTACTCCACACATATCACACATGTCGTGATAACCCACATATGCATTGTTGTATCTAAACTCCATATTGAATTTTGGCCTTCAATGAAAACGGCAAGTCGATCAAGAGAAATCAGAGGTTTTTTTTGGCTTTATAGCTTTCGTAGTTTTGTTTAAATACACCTTCTTTCCTCCGATTGTCCTACTCTTGTCTTCTTTACAAAACCTTTTTTCTCAAAATGCTCTTTTCGTTGCTGGTACAAATGCCCGCACACAGAATAATAATACTTCTTCAGCAGCAACTTCCCCAGCGACTTCATGATCAACGGTGGCTCCTCTGAACCCGCCCACAGCGACTGCATCCATAGTGGCACCTACTGGACCGATCAATTGCGGACCCCAAATCATGCACAACTCAACCCTCAATGCAGGCGCTGCTGTATTTGAAAATGCTTCTACTGCAGACGCATCAACCATCGTTGCTTTACGATCCGCGTGTAAACTATTTCCTAGAGACGCAGCTCGGCCTGCGCATGATGTTGGGAAACCCTGAATGATCTACCTGCTGGCGCATCGATCAAAACTATACTGATTCGCATTGAGCTGTTACAATAACTACAATTGTGTGACTTTACCACAATTTCGAATTGTTCGGAAATATGGAAGCTTCAAGTTGCTAGCCAAGGGACGTCACTATTCAATTCTCGAGTCTACATTCGACAATGGATTGGTGCTCAGATTAAAATACTTATCATTGAGAGAATCAATCATGTAGACGATGTAATGCTAACCATGCCAGTAACGCAAATATATGTGCCATCGTCACGAACGGTTGGACTAACTCTACCATGCACGAAGCAGACCTCACTTCCATGATTTCCCCAATTTATAAGTTCTAAACTGTATGCCTATCACCAACTCAATAGCAACCTGGACACTTAGCTATCATCTAGCTTACACAGTCAATCCCATAAATGTCGCACAAATACAAGTTTCCGTCAACTTTACAAGAAATACTGGAATTGGATTCGTTCCAGAACACAGGACATGAGTTCTCTGGTGGATCTGGTGGAGCGGGTGCATTGAGTATCCGGTCCATTTATTACAGGATATTAGATATGAGAGTCCCGAGCCTACCAATGCGGACTTTCCTTATATTGGACCTGCTTTTGCGTCTAGAACTGGTGTTGTTGGCACCCGGGGGTATCTTGGCGCGTGTGATATCGAGGAGGTAGATCGGCAACACAATTTCTAGGGGTGAACTATGATAGATTGTTGAGTATAAAGCATGCGACTGCTCCTTGGTCGTTGTTTGGGCCAAGACCGAAGTATGAAGTGAGTTTACTAGGGTGGTTAGTATTACTAGACGCGTACGATGTAAGTGCATTGTAACAGCAACCGTCCCCCATCTTGTGCTTCACATCCATCTAGAACCTTGAATTTTAGAGTTTTATTAGCTTGCATGTCATACTCCTCAAATGAAAATTCTTAACGGGTAAAAAGCAAATAGTAGATAGCGAATATCACATCACAGCTACTAAGATGTATTCACCTTCTTAGCTCACTTTGAGAGAGGTGTACGAACCGATCAGTCCAGCTCACTGTGTGTTTTCAGTTAACTGTTTAAAATCGAAAATATATCACGAAATAAAATGAGAAAATAAAACAGATATCGGATCCCATGAAATTGTAACTAAAATCTTCGCAACGAATTTCGCAAAGAAATAGTCAACATCTCAGATCGATATGCCGAAAATTAAAACCTAGGCACAGAACCGCATAATCGCAGGCCAAGCAAGAGGAAACTCGAGGCTTGCTTCTTTGGGTCCCTGGATCCTTAGAAGGAGGTTGTGGACAAGTCGATTTGAACTTGCAAGCTACGGGATTCCCTTTTAGATTCGAATTCCTGCTAATCCTTCATGACCACTCCCCGAGTCAGTTGACTAGGATACAGTTTGCATTTATGGGTAATACTGTGCAATGAATGAGCGTTGTCAGATTACTACTTTACATCACCAGCCTTCCTTTTTGCTTCTCGTCTATACGTCGCTATCGATATGTGAGAAACTCGAATGTCCAAGTATCTAAATCTACATTATCCTGAGAAAATTTGCCTTGCCTAGAAACGTTATGCATGGACTTCTATACTGTCATCGAAAGTAATCCACAAGTTCTCAACTTACTTCTCAACTCAGTCTCGCCATAGCCCAACCAATTCAAGGATAATGAAACACTGTTTCCGGAATCCTTCATCTTGATGTCCCGGCGCGATTCTGAGGTTGCTCACTTCTCGAATCTTGAAATGTATCCTAGACGTGAGATTTTGCCAGGGTGCAAAATGCATCAGTCCACTAAAACGTCTGAAACTATAGGGCAAAGGGATTGATATTGGGATTGGATAGAAAAATTCAAAAGGGCTCACCGACTGGTGGAGGTTTTGCCAAGCAATATTCGTTTCCCAAGCGAGATCTAATGCGAGGTGATATCATAGCAAATGCATCGACGGCACTTCATTATCACAAGCGATTGATGGGAACGGGCAATGTGCAGTTGCAATGTATTTTATTCTTTCTCCACCCTTAGCCTCAATATTTTAGTCCCACTTGAAACGCCATGTAAACTCCGTAGATTCAGATACCCACCCAAATGAGCAGTTCCATACTCATGCTCCTCATAAACCATAATCTAAGAACATCATGCGTAAAGCTTCTTCTCGTAACTCTCCATGTTCACACCACCCTCGAGTTGAGCACTTGCGGTTCTCAATTCGAAACGTGTAGTACCGTTCTCAACGGCCTCGTGAAGAGCTTTAAGACTCATTTGTCCGCAATCCTGGAGGGAGTGTTTCAAACCCGCTGCAAGATATGGAACAAACTTAGTGACGGAACTATAAGAAGTTAGCATTAGGAACGTCATTATGTTAAGGGACATCATACCCTCTATGGGCGACGGCACCAGATACACCCTGGGCGACGAGAACACTATCTCCCTCGGAGAAATATCTGGCAGTTCCGGCGTTGCTCTTTTGGCTGTCCTTGGCACCAGAACCAGCCTTCTTGTCTTGCATAGCATCAATGGAACCCATTCCACGGTATGCTTTGACGAGTTTACCCTCACGGCTGACGAATGAAGTACCCGGGGATTCAGTAGTACCGGCTAACAGACCACCCATCATGATAGTGGTAGCACCAAGAGCAAGACCCTTAACAATGTGACCAACATTTTGAATACCACCATCAGCCATACATGGGACGCCAAAGCGAGCAGCGAATGAGGCGACGTTGTAGACGGCAGCTGCTTGTGGTCTACCAACAGCCATAACTTCTTGAGTGATACACGCGCTTCCACTTCCCATTCCAATTCTCAAACCATCAACACCGGCGGCGATCAATGAAGCAGCTTGCTCACGGGTAACAACGTTACCTCCAATGACGTCAAGATCAGGGTATTTCTCCTTGATATACTTGACCATTTCAATTTGATACATGCTGTTACCTTGACTGCTGTCAAGGATAACAATGTCCAACTGAGCGTCGACCAACTTTTGAAGACGAATTTTATCTTCAGGTCTTGTGCCGATTGCAGCAGCGCAGATCAATTGCTTGGAATCTGGAAGTTTGGAGGCCAATGGGTAATGGATGTTTTTGTTCAAATCGGATCGGGAGATCATAGAAACAAGGTTTCCGTAGTTGTCAACGATTGGAAGCTTTCCTTTCTTAGACTTTGCGAGGATTGCGTTCGCCTCAACCAATTCAGTACCATATGAAGCAGTGACCAAGTCGGTAACCATGACACTTGCGACGGTGGCGCTATCATCATCTTCGAATTGAATATCTCTGTTTGTAACGATACCGACGAGTTTGGAGCCCAACTTTCCAGTTTCTGTTTTGCAGACATGTTAGCGGCTGAGACTGATGAATCAAATTTGTGAACGATAAATATAGAACACCAAAAGTCATAAAGAATAATTGCCTCCCCACGACCTTGCGGTCAATACGGATGAACGAAAGTTATTTGAATTATGTTTTAATAATCATGTAAAGGTGCAAAAGGAGGGAAAAGAGGAAGAGGGAGTACGAACCTGTGACTGGGTATCCTCCAAAACCCCACTTCCCCTTAAGAGCTTTAACTTCAGCAACAGTAGCCTGTGGGCTAAGTACGACTGGATCGAGGATGAAGCCGTTTTCATATCTCTTGACCTTCTGAACCATCTCGGCTTGCTCATCAGCAGAGCAGTTGTGGTGAATAACACCAAGACCACCTTGTAAAGCCATGTGAATGGCCATATCATGCTCAGTGACCGTGTCCATAGGGGAAGAAACGAAAGGGGTCTTGAGGGTGATACGCTTCGTAACTGGAGAATCGAGAACGACTTCTGAGGCGGCAAATCCAATGTAACCTGGAAGAACCAAGAAATCATTGTAGGTTAAACCTCCATGTTTCTTGGAGTCGATCAAGTCATTGATGCTGAGACCATCACGAGATTCATATTCCTTAAGGATCTCGAGAGCCTTGGTGGCATCGAGAATATCCTTAGCTGGAGCCAAGAAATCCGAGGCAGTTGGCTTGGGCTCTCCGTTTGCTTGAGGAGACATTTTGGAAAAAGAAAGTATGTGATAGAGGTGCGGGGGAAAATGGAGGGGAAAGAGATGCGATCAAGTATATGTATGTGTACGGGGAGAAGTCTGAGAAGAGAGAAAAATTGAAGGAGAATAACAAAGAGATAGTCGACCTTTGAAGTACGAAGATATAAAAATTCTGAATAGCTTCTGAATAAAATGTACAGTCGACGGGTTGAAGTTTCCTTCTCCCAAGAAAAAAAAGGAAAGAGAAAAAAAGAGGAGAGAAAAAATTGATATGAGCCATAGCAGTAAAATTTACTGATGGTTTGATGAACTAAACCAATAATGGCGTTAGCTTTTGTCGATAAGAACGAGTCACGTGAAGATATGAACATGGCACCAAGCCGGCTCGGGGAAATGATTTTTCTTTTCGCCGATCCTCCATGCTCTGGCAGCTGAGCAGACCTGAGCTTCAAGATTTATCTACTGGGATCTGCCCTACCTAGTACGGGATCCCTACCTCGGATGATGAATTTTCACTGACAAGACAACACCGGCGGTTACTTTAACCACGAAGTACTGGGATTTACCTCTTACGCCGTATGTTTTCCGCGCCATGACACAGCTACTCTGTCTATCATTGGTTCGTAAATAAGATACTCCTCTGTGTTGTCGCCCATTTGTATTGCCGGGGCAACGGACCTAGCTAATCCAATCACACGACAGAGTAAATGTAAACATGAAGTAATTTTGGTTCATGAATGGAGAGGACGAGGTTGAAGTATCTCCACTACCACGATGCTACCACACTTGACTACACTTGACTGCACTTGTGACTGACTGTACCGAGTATTTTCACAGTACCTCATCCATACAGTCAGGACCGTCCCTCCTACCACTTACCTCGACCTAAGATTACAATCAACAAATGCAACTAACGTCACCTCTCTTGTTCCAACCCCTCACTTCATCCATCGCTCAATCTTCACTCCTTTCACTCTTCTGGATCCATCCAGGTACCTGTCTACCGATCTACCTTCATCCCCTCCTTCCTAAATCTAAACATCTTTCGAATGTGTGTGCCTCAAAACTCTAAGGCTCTCATCAATCTAAGGCTCTCATCAATCATATCATCCCCCATCCCTCCCTTCACCTCCTCTATCAATCGATAACGATACCACATATACCCCAACTACGCCAATCTTCAACTCCACACATAATCAACATAAACAGAAACAATACGAGTCCCGCCAGTCAGGTACACATACCCTCCCTTTCGACAATATCTCATCCGTTACATTACAATAAATCCATCACTTCGATACCCATTACTTTGATACCACTTTTTCTCCCAGCCACTTCCAGCTTGACGTTTGAATATAATCTTGATATCGGATGCTGCTGGCTTGAAGAGAGAGAAAAAAAAACACTTCCACGCTCCGCATTCCTCAACCTTTAATAAGATATAGGAACTAATTCGGATTACGATATACCATTTTGGGCATTTGGTTTTGATATTCATAGGTGGAAAGAAGTCGACATCTTTTTGTTCTCTTCTCCTCATCGCGCCGGACGCCTTTTGGTTGGTTGGGAAGGGGTGTAAACAACAAACTTTGGGCACGAAAAGAAGACTTACCTCACCGTCACCGTCGCATTCGATAACAACAAGGACATTTTCAACTACCACCACTACCACTACCATTTCCTTATACCTCTTGAAATCTACCCACAGCAGCCCGCAAGGGAATCTGGGATACCGCATGCGACATACACTTGAAAATATCTTGTGAGCGATCGGTGACTCGGAAAACATTCTGCGCCTACCTTTCATTTTTATTTTGGTGCGCCTTCGATCAATACTTTTCGTCTCATTGCCGTGATGTCGTACCGTCATTTATTACGACAAACACAATCTGACTCCACCACTACTGCCAATCCCAATACGACAAAGAGGGCACCCTCAAACGCGTCGACCGCATCAAGTGCTTATTCCAATTCTTCTAGCGTCTATGAATTAAGTCGCACAAGTACACTGTCATCAACGACGTCGAGTGGATACGGAAGTCACAGGAAAGGATTGGGTGAAGCTACCGGGATGTATAGTTCTTCAGAAAATCGTAGTGGGAAGGGGAGTATCGAGTCGAGTCCAGATAGCGCATACAAGAATGTTAGAAAATCTTTGCGACCACTTGCTCAACCTCCAGGTCCAACTTCACCAGAACGAGACAAAACTCCAGTTCAACATAATCGCGGGAAAAGTGTCGATATGATCAGGAATAACTTTCAACCGCACTCTCGGACGCAAAGTGTAGACGTGCAGAAGGCTTCCATTAAACAACACAACCGCGGGAAGAGCATCGATGTATCCAAATTGACATTGTTTGAGTCTCCTCTTCAGTCACCAATCACTCCAGCAATAAGTCCAACACGCAGTCCGACGCGCCGCCAACCTATAGTTCGACCCAATTCTATGTTACTGAGCCGTTCCGACTCGATCAGTATTGGAGGAGGAGCCCTCTCAAAACTTGGACCGCTACATCCACACACACCTCTGACACGACCTGAGCTACAGAGTTTCGAACGATCGTCAACGAGTCAACTTCGCACCCTCTCGAAATTTGCGCAGACTGCAACTCCTGATGATTTTACCATTACATCGCCAGAGCAAGAGGTAGCCGGGCTTCATGGACGACGTAGACTGCAGCGTAGCGCCATTTCAAAGGACAGAAATGGTACATTGAGTAAACCTACGGGAGGGTATGGTTGGGAGGGACGAAATTGGATGGACAAGCAGCGACAATTTTTACAAGCTTATGAGTATCTTTGTCATATTGGAGAAGCAAAGGAGTGGATTGAAGATATACTGAAACGAGAGATTCCGCCGACTGTGCAGCTAGAACAAACTTTGAGAGACGGTGTGACATTGGCAGAGGTAGTGGAAGCATTGTATCCAGAGCGGCGCATACGGATATTCCGGAATCCCAAACTACAAGCTCGCCATTGGGACAATATTGCTCAATTCTTCCGGTTTCTCGACGAGGTTCAGCTTCCTGAGCTTTTCCGATTTGAACTCATCGATTTGTACGAGAAGAAGAACATCCCGAAAGTCATATATTGTATTCACGCTCTGAGTTGGCTATTGTTCAGGAAAGGTATCGTGGACTTCCGAATCGGAAATCTCGTTGGACAGCTGGAGTTCGAAGATCATGAACTGGAGGAGATGCAAAAAGGTTTGGATAAAGCAGGAATCAGCATGCCAAGTTTTGGAAACATGGGAGCGGATTTTGGAGTCCCTGAACCAGAGCCAGAACCCGAACCTGTCGAAACCGAGGACGAACGGATTGATCGAGAGCTTGGCGAAAACGAGGCTATCATAGTGGAACTACAGGCACAACTTCGCGGAGCTTGTATGCGAATGCACCTAGGAAGGACAATGCAGGTGCTTTGGGATACCGAAGATTGGCTCGTCGACCTTCAATCGATGATTCGCGGAGATTTTACGCGGCAGATTGTGGAGTATCGTTTGAATATGAAAAGATTTGCAGTAAACTTACAACGTCATGCACGTGGATTTCTGGTTCGAAAAAGACAATCGAATCAGGAGACCTTTTGGAAAAGCCATGAGGAAGATGTGCAGAAGATCCAAAGCTTGTTCAGGGCCAAGAAAGTTGGACAACAAGTCCGAGACGAGGTAGGCATGATGCGGTCCACTTTGCAGCAGTCAGAATTTGTTGTCAAAGATTTCCAGTCAAGCATCCGTGGCTTTCTTGCTCGAAAGGTCTTGGTGGCTCAACAGAAGGAAACCGAATCTGTAACTGTGTCAACCCCAGTATTGAACCTGCAAGCTGCAGTGAGGGGTATGCTTGTGAGAAAGAAAATGATGGAGCAAGGAGAAGAGATATCATCCATCACTGTATCAGCCCCAGTGTCAGACCTGCAAGCTGCAGTGAGGGGCATGCTCGTGAGAAAGAAAATCATGGAGCAAGGAGGAGAGATGTCATCCATAGCTGTATCAGCCCCAGTGTCAGGTCTGCAAGCTGCAGTGAGGGGCATGCTCGTGAGGAAAAAGATGGTAGCTCAAGACAAAGAAACATCATCCGTGGCTGTTTCGACTCCCGTGTTAAACTTGCAGGCTGCCATGAGGGGAATGCTTCTCAGGAAGAACATTGCAGAAGACCAGGAAGACCTTTATCGCGAAGAACCTTCGATCACAGCGATTCAAGGGTTTGCCAGGGCTTTGCTGACAAGAAACCAGATTTCTGAACAACAGGAGGCATTGCATGCATGCACACCCATCTGGGAAAAGCTCCAAGCAATTGCGAGGGCAGGTACGCTAAGGAATGAGGTATTGGACACACAAGAAGCTTTGAAAAGCCACTCCGAAAGCATATCAAATCTTCAAGCCTTCCTTCGTGCTGGGGCTGTCCGCCGCGAGGTCAACGAGACTTTGTCTGGCCTGGACGAAGAGGAATTACCAATACTAGAACTTCAAAGTTTAATTCGTGGCATGCTTCTTCGTCGCTCGGTTGAGGATGATTTTGACGCTCTCATTGCAGAAGTTTCGGCAATTACGGATCTTCAATCCATGGTAAGAGCTGGCATGGTAAGACAAAAGACCGAAATGATTTTGGATGATCTTCAGGCGAATGAAGAAGAAATTATACAACTGCAAGCATTGTCCCGTGCTGTGCTACTTCGCAATGATATCGAGGGAGTGCTGGGAGAATTGGAGTCGGAAGAAGACGATATCGTCGCGATACAATCAGCGGCTAAAGCTTCTTTAGTTCGAGCTGCATTTTTAGAGAAACAGCGCTTCTTCAAGGAGAATATGGAAAAGGTCGTCAAAATCCAAAGCTTCGTCCGTGGCCGCTTACAAGGAGAGGCTTACAAGAGCTTGACAACCGGCAAGAACCCGCCAGTCAACACGGTCAAGAACTTCGTCCATCTCCTTAATGATAGTGACTTTGACTTCAATGAGGAGATTGAATTCGAGCGGATGCGAAAGACCGTCGTACAGCAAGTTCGACAAAACGAGATGGCAGAGCAGTACATTGATCAGTTAGATATCAAAATTGCCCTTTTGGTCAAGAACAAAATTACTCTTGATGAAGTTGTCAAGCATCAGCGAAATTTTGGAGGACACTCAGGAAACCTGCTCGTTAATACCTCCATGGCATCGGGCAATCAATTCGATTTGAAAGCGCTCAACAAAAATTCGAGGAAGAAGCTCGAGCTGTACCAACAGCTCTTCTTTAACTTACAGACTCAACCTCAGTACCTTGCCAGACTCTTCCAAAGAATCCGTGAACAGGGCACTGCCGAGAAAGATTGCAAACGGATCGAGACCTTGATGATGGGTTTGTTTGGATATGCCCAAAAACGCCGTGAAGAGTACTATCTGCTCAAACTAATTGCTCGTTCCGCTAGAGAGGAGATTGAGCACTTCGCCTCGCTTCAAGACTTTCTCCGCGGTAATTTCTTTTGGACAAAACTTCTGGCCAACTACACTCGTTCCCCTCGTGACAGAAAGTTCCTTCGTGATTTGCTGGGCCCTCTAATCATGGAAAATATCATTGAAGATCCCGCACTCGACCTTGAAAGTGATCCGATGCAAATCTACCGCTCAGCAATCAACAACGAAGAGCTCCGAACTGGTAGACCAAGTCAAAGAGCACTGGAAATTCCTCGAGACCAGGCAATTAAAGACCCAGAAACACGAGACATGTTTATTGATCATCTTCGAGACTTGAGAGAAATTTCAGATCTTTTCATGCTTGCCTTGGAAAGTCTCCTCCACAGAATGCCTTACGGTGTCCGCTTCATTTGTCAGCAAATCTTTGACGGTCTTTGCCAACAATTTCCTCGCGAATCCCAACGGAATCTCTTACAGCTTGTTGGTAACTGGCTTTTCAGGTTCTACTTGTATCCTGCGTTGACCACTCCTGAGTCCATGGGCGTAGTGGAAAGACAGCTCACTCCGCTGCAAAAGCGTAATCTAGGTGAGGTTGCCAAAGTCCTGGGCCAGATCTCTACTGGACGGTTGTTTGGTGGTGAGAACATGTTCCTACAGCCATTGAATGCCTATGTCACTGATGCCATTGAGCGTATCACCGATATCTTTTCCAACATAATTTCGGTTTCGGATGCGGAAAGCACATTCGATATCGATGAGTTCAATGATCTCTACGCTCGTACAAAACCAACTCTTTACATAAAGATGGCCGATATTTTCGCCATTCACAATCTCATATGCGACGACCTTCCACAAATCTGCCCAAACCGCGATGATGTGCTTCGAGAAATCATCCAAGAACTTGGCAGTGCAAAGAGCAATGAGTCTGAAATGTTAGGTGTCTCCTCAGCCGAAATTCAGATGACTTTGACCCCTAAACTTCATGACATGGAAGACCCCGAAGCTGAAGTAAAAGCACTTTTTATGGAGACCAAGCGCTGCATCCTATACATTATCCGCGTTCAATCTGGACCGAACCTCATGGAAATTCTGGTACGACCGATCTCACCAGAAGATGACCAAAAGTGGCACGATTTACTCCGAGAAGAATTCTCAGCAGACAGCAAGACTCGCGGCGCATACTCTGATGCGAATACTTTAACAGATATTAAATCTATGTCATATTGGGAACTGAAGCGGACGGCTCTGGAGAACATCATGAGGCTCGAACAACTTGGTAGAATCTCAAGACAAAATTACTACCAGGACATTTTAAACGCTATTGCTGTTGACATTCGCACCAAGAGCAGACGTCGTGTTCAGAGACAGAGAGAACTAGAAGGTGTTAGAATGACCTTGGGAAATTTGGGCGAGAAAGCGGAGTGGCTGGAGTCTCAAAGAAAGAGTTACGACAATTATATCGAACAGGCTATGATGACTTTGCAGAAAAAGGGGTATGATTTCTCGAACTGCGTAAATGTTGTAATGCTAATGATTTGATCCAACAGGAAAAAGCGTTTCCTTATGCCTTTCTCCAAACAGTACAACCACGAAAAGGAGCTGGAGCGTACTGGTCGCACATACAAGTTCGGCTCTTTCAAGTACTCGGCTAGAACTCTGTCGGACAAAGGCGTATTGGTCGCTTGGAAAGGGTATCCTGAACGTGAATGGGATAAGATCAATCTCACAATTTCATGTGATCAAGTCGGTGTTTTTTCCATTGAAGGTAGCAAAGGGAGCATTGTCATTACTGGTGCTGTGGCTCAGGTCCCAATGGACTCCTTGCTGGCCGCACAGTTTGCAAATCATCAGTACATGGATATGTTTGAGGGTGCGATGAGATTGAACGTCAATCTATTTTTGCATTTGTTGTACAGAAAGTTCTATAGGACTGAGTGATGAGGCAGGTCGATGGCTTGACGAGTGTCGCAAGAGACGAAGTCATTTGAACAATGGATGTGAGGGAGGAATGATACATGAGCATCCTATTCCAGTAGGAAAAATTCTCTAATTTTAGGCGCAAGTTCGATTTTATGGCATGGATCGGCGTCGCATCAAGGTGGTGAATGGAGACTTGGAAAGTCCCAAGGTTGGCCTGGGTTGGCATTATGGATCCAGGTATTGTGTATGTACATATTCATTTTCTTTTGGAGGTGCGTGGGATGAAGAGAAAGATGACTGCTATGAATGAATATTGATTGTTAGGAATATCATGAGACCATATAAATATGAATATTATTCTACCACACTACCGGCGAGTTAAATATACTCGTGATTTAGCACGGTCAGCTTAGTCCCAACATACACGTAAGTGAAGGGCCAATGTAGAAAGAGCTTCTATACGCCAAATGAATATTGCGAGGTTGCGACTTCTTTGCACAACCATCTACAATAATAATGTCATTTTCTTCAAGGAAGGAACCGCCCTTGGAGTTTGTCCCATTTTCGTATCCAGAAAGTCGTCTTCCCAAACTACTCAGCCCTCCTTGGGCAATTTAGGTGGTCTCATTCCATTGAATAATGAATTGTTCCTGGACCAACAACTAACTGTACAGTGTCATATTGATCCTTCCGCAGCTGGTCAATTCTAATCACCATTACTTTTAGAGAAGATTGGATGTTCCACCTTTCCCAGATTTTGTTTTTTGCTTCCAGATCTTTTGATAGCGCGTTGCATTGTATCCGGTCATTTTGTGACACCGAATAATCAACCTTCAGCCACAGAACCTTTACTCGATGAAGCTCAAGCTGATCCTCTTTCCTTCTCTACTTCTTAATATCCACCGAGCCAACTGCGTACGACGTCACGATGATCCTACGATGAGCGCACCAGCAGCAGTCCTTCAGCAAAATCCCGGGTGCGCTTTAGTCAGTTCCACACTTTTTGCCTGCGAATCAATCACCCCCGGCTTTACCTCCCTCCTTCCATCTGCACAGGCATCATGTCTGTGTTACTCTTCGTCCACATGGATTCCAACAGTCTTCGACAAAGCAGTCCAGACTTGCGCCAATTTTGCAAGCACCGCTGTACCGGATGCTTATCCAGCATTCGTGAATTTGGAGGGTTTTTGTGGAAACATAGGGAACATTAAGACAGCCAGATCTTCTATTGCCTCCGCTAGTACTATTTCTAAACCTTTCGTTCCAACATTTACCATCAGCGCGATCCCAGCTTGCTATACTGCTTTTTCTTTAATACAGTTCTGCGTCGCTCTCATTCCAGGTTTCATTGCTTTAAACCCGACGCAACAAGCTTCATGCCTATGTTATACAAGTATCACATCCTGGGTTCCAAAACCTTTTGATAACGCCGTTGAGACTTGCTCGCAACATGCACAAAGTGTGAGTGCTTTTGCGGGACTGGTATCGTCAGTGAAAATATTTGATGGTATTTGTGAAAGCGTCGGGGATATTTTGACAATAGGAGGGGGTCTTTCTGCCACGGTCATATCTTCGAATCTGATAACTTCGCCCGAGGTGAATACAGCACCCTCAACTACAACGATTCCTCCATCACCAGCAAATCCACCCAGGACAGAGACCTCAGTGCTTTCAACCATTGTGATCCGTTCTTCATTTCGGAATACGCATTCAATTGTGAAGACAGTATCGATCACAACAAGCGAGTCTATAGTTAGCACAACTTCAACGGCTGGGCTTGGCGGAATTGGGGCAAATCGAGGTGAAGATGAACGAGCAGGAGATATTGGTGATCCAATGGTGGTATTGATTAGTTTTGTTTGTGCAGTGTTGATGCTTTTTTTATGTTAATTCCTGCCTTGAGCAGGAAAGTTGTCGATGTCTTGAGGCAAATGAGAGCAGCGAGGACACCCAGGGGAATGATATAGTTTGTGCGCGCCCCGAGCCCGTGAAGTGCAACAGTGGAGCTTTGAAAGTAGGTGTGGGAAGCAGTTTGGAGTTGGCATTGCTGGCGGGTGGATTTCAGACACGGTATATAGTCAAATGAGGTGTAGTTTTAGTATGAGTTAAGGATGAATTAATGAGACCTGTAGGTAATCATGAAGTGAGACTTGGGTGTACTGTTTTGAGCGCAGGTTCAGTGTCCATCCAAGTTAAGCTTGTGATTCGCACTTGAATCTGACAGAGACCGCACGTAAGGTAAAGGCACAGAATCTAGAGCTAAGGCGAGATGTAACTATTTGAAAATTAACTCTTCTCATCTGAAGGAAAGAAGTTCCACCTCTCGTCGAATCATGATTATGTCATCTTATATGTCCTTGGTATGTCAAGTTTAGGGAGGTATCTAGATGGAGGAAGTACTAAGTAGATGAGTGAATTATTAATTAGTTGGGTTGTAGAAAGCCAGCAGCTCCGACAACTGGCTGAATTTGTCAAGAAGATTCAATAATACCTATGGGTACGGAGTATAATTATGATGTGTGATTGTTCTATAAAGTCGTCTAAAATTAAGGTTATCCCCAAGTATAGTACGGAATCACAGTCGTTGGATGAATAAATAAGTATTTTTTTTTTAAATCATATTGCAAAATATCTTTTCTTATCAAAAGTTAAAAAAAAATTACTTTTATAAAATAGATTTTACTTTTTCATTATAGGTTTTAATTAATAAGAGTAAATTTGATTTTAATTCTAATCAATTAAGAATATATTTACTTTTATACAATGAGAATTAATCTTATTTTGTGGCGTGAGGGCAATTTATTTCGCTTTTCATGGTATAAAAGTAATTTACTGTAAATCACATGATATATTTAGATCTTCCTCGGTAATCACAATACATACTTGAGCCTCGCGTTAACTTCGCAAGCTAAATCCTGTGGATATACTTTGTAGCCATTGATATGTCATGAAATATTGAACTCTATTCCATAGAAGTAGAACAGAGGCCCTCTTTTTGATTTCTATTCAGAACGATCAGATTGCCTAACCCTGCTATCTACAACAACGTACTCCTCAAACCAAAAGAAAATATCCAATCCTCAATGTCGAGGAGATAGTCGACGGGGGTATACGGCGCTTGACAACGCTTAAGAAGACATATACCTGTACAAGAAACGCCCAAAATGCATCTTTCATTAACCAATGGCAACTTGATATGACAAGTGCAAATCTAACCCGAATGTCCCAAATAATACCAGAATGCCTTTCTAAAATTGTTCCCTACCGCGCATAATCCCCTGCCGAATTTGTTACCGATACGCTCAACTGTGTGGCCAAGAAATGAACGACGAGCCGGAGGGGCAGAAACCTCCTCACATCAGTCCTTAAAAATCGTAATTTTCCATTAAATAAATATATTATGTCGCAACGGGTATCATAAACGTCGAATGTTCCTTTACTTTATGTGATAAGCCGGCTCTGCTGCTTCCGCGGTCCCATTTACACTCCCCGTCCCATTTACACTTCCCAGACGCCCACGAGAGCCTGGACTTCCATATGGACTCGTACTATGCCACGGTTCGCTTTTGAAGTCAATTGTCTGATTAATGCTCGCATGCAAAGGTGGTGAATCTCGTCCATTACTCGATATTATCGTCGTGGTGAATCCGACGATCTTGAGATCAGGCCTCAAATTTAGTTCTGTATCATCTACTCTCGTTCGTCGCCCGCTTACTCCGTCAACCATGCGGTTGTGAAAAGCGCCAGACGATGCCATTGATTTTTCGGACCAGTCGAGGAATGAGCGGACGAGGGGTTTGAGTGTCGCTAAACAGGATGCTATAAGTCCGACCGCTGCTTCGACGATGGTCAGAATAATAACATTACTGGTGTGAGATTAATATAGTGAATTTATGAGCGCGAAAATGGAAGCGTAGAAGCAACATACGCTATTGAGTAGAGGTAATCAGTGGCAGTCATAAGACTTTTGATATAAGCGATCCTCGTGAGAGTACACACGCTTGCACTGATAATCTGTCAGTATTTTCAATCCAACCTATGATGATTGATCAATGAACAGAATCACTTACATGGAACCCAATGCTAGGGTCATTGCAACGGCGGTTTTCGTCCTTGTCGTGATTTGGAGATCTGCCACAATGAAGGCAGGAATTATCCCCAGCGTTAGATCCGTCAAGACGCTTAATGCCGCATGACCATATGCCATAGCTGCTATCGTGGAAGGCTGTAGACATTGCCCATCGGTTGCTCCTTCAAATCTCCTCCAGTAAAGTGAAATTGGTCTGCATTGAAGTAATAAGAAGACGAAAAAGCCCATGGTGTACGCGAGAAAGAGTGACATGGAGATGTAGATGGTGTATGTATGAACAGGATTAACGGCGATGCGTATGAGATAAAGGGCAATGGATGACTTGACGAGAGCTATCGCAGGGGGGTATATGATTTCTAAGAGGCACCAGTACTAGATAAAGATGTCAAAAGAACCGTCTATACATATGATCTCATAAGGAGTAGCGTACTCTCAATCCGCGCGAGGACTCCTCTGGTGTCATATTATCGACATGTTTCCCAAAGCCCGAGTTAATCCCCAGGATGGTCAAGACGACGCCGATGCAAAGGAAAAGCTAGAAAAATCAGTATACGCCTTCGGTGTAATGCCATAAGAGATTGATTCTACCAAAGAGCAAACTGCAAGTACATCATCGGCACCAAATGCTTTCAACAACTTTGTTCGAACAAAACACCGTAACGCGACTGCCACACAGGCAATTATGAAGAAGATCAAGGTGGTGATGAGGATTTCATTTTGTTTCTCCGGGGCTTCTGTCACCATTTCGGCCGATTCACATGTAGGAATGAAAGTCAACTAGTGATGGAGTGATTCATGAGAGAAAACGATGATGAATCGATCAGCCTTGCAGTTCATCCGGAAAGATGTCCTGACCAAACGTTCGTCAAGACTTTTTTCCCGCATCTATATGCACTTTGCGCACTTCCGGCTCCCCGGCTCCTCATTTACTAGGAGCTTGCGGGTATTCTTCGATATTATATGAGGATAGAAGCACAGATAATCATCCCTTAATTGATAACACCAGCACCCAGTTCAGTGAGATTAGGATGAGGGCTCCGCTATTTTCACCAGACATGGTAACTATTCGCAGATCTTCGAAACTCTAGAGGAAAGCTTCTTTCGTTATCCTTCTTCTCTCCGAGGCAACATAAGAGAGAATCATAATGAAAAGTGTATACAACTGCTTGAAGATGGCTGAATGACGTCTGTGGGTGGGCCATGGTGTATATTTTCGTGACGCGATGGGACGCCGTTGAGGTCTCGTTCAGTGGACCTAGCACTCCACTCATAATCATGTTAGAATGAGACGCATGATGAGATTGAGTTATCTTGAAATTTGGAGATCTGTAGAACTTTTATAGAAAATACGATCTCTGAGATCTGGTCTTGGTAGTCCTTGCTCTCGCACCGCTATTCACAAGTCGCTGAACAACATGGAAGTTTATTAAACGCTTCTGTAGTTCGTGGGAGTACCGTTATTACCAAGTGATAAATGTCGGATTTACACCGGTGACAGTGATAGCGGAAAAACTCAAGAAAAGGACATCCCCTTAATTACCCCTGTCTTCGGAGGATTGTGAGATCTCAGTACTGTACTTGTACTGTACAGAGAGTACCTGAGCTAACTTTGCCGATGTGAAAGGAGAAGATGAGATGAACTTTGAGACAAACCTCTCGTTATTGCTTCTTTCTTTCTTTTTCTCTTTCTTCTCTTTTGTGTGTTTTCTTTTCTTTTTTGTTTTTTATTAATAAAAAACTAATTGAAGAAGCAATGAGATATTTGCTATTATTAACTAGATCTAGGGGATCAAAGATAATTGTCTTAGATTATATTAGAATGTCTCACTTGGGTCCTCAACTTGCGACGAGAGTAAAAATAAGCCGATTAAGTAGAGAAAAGCTTAAAAGGAGAAACAAACACATCATACCATGAAGGTAAAGTCTTTGATGATTTTAAACTCGACTCATGAGTTATGGAGAAGGGTGGGAGAGTGAACCCTGACATGGATCGCAAAGACGTAAAACTGGGAGTCCCAACGGCATAAGCTTGTCAAACGATGTCAAACGATGTCAAACGATGTCAAAAGTACGAATTAATCTTAACCTTATTTACCAACAGAAGGATGGATGCACGAAAGAAGGATGCACGAAAGAACGTTGGGCGGAAGGACCAACCCCCAACCCTTCCTGAGCCCCAAGGTCTTTGATTTCGAAAATGCCACAGACTTGTGGCTTGTTTGGGGATGATTACCTAATTTGACAGTGATACATACTTAGCATAACTTTCCATGATAAAGATAAGACTAACATAACAATCTTTAGTTTCGAACATTATTGTGCTACATTCGAGGCAGTGTGGCTGAAGAATAGGAATCGACTCGAGTCTCGGAAACCACAAGGCTAAACCACTAGAGCTGGTGGGATCATTACCGAGCCTGAGAGATTTTGGCTGGCCAGTCACTCCGACAATGCCATTCTTCAACGCTTTTGTCGGTACATCTCGAGCTGGTGATGCTTGGTTCCTTGCTGGCCTTACAGCTTCCTTTCCAAACATCACGGCTTCCGGAGATACTGTCCTGTCAAATCGCTTACCGTGCAAAGGCTCCTTCGCGCCAGGTTGCAAAGTTTTTAGTGTACCTTTGACTGATAGTACTCAAGCCGTTGAAGTTAACCTTGACGATGCCGTGACAGCCGGACTCAAGGAGCAAGTTATAGTTTTTCAATACCAAGGCAAGTTCCATGCTGTTGATCATGTAAGTCTACTCATTCTTTTTGTGCACATCACTGAGAGGGCTAGGAAGTGATTGATAACGAAAAGCGATAATGGACTTGCTGCTAAAATAAAATGGTAGAGTTGTCCACATTCATCGTTTCCACTTTCACGGGGTACGCCGTTTGATATCGAAGATTTTGGTATCCGGCTGAGTGTTGGAATACAATGTCCAAAGCACGATTGGTCCTTTGATTTGATTCACGGGAAAGGCGACCGAGGGAGCTACAAGCTAAAAGTCTGGGAGGTTCAATTGCGGCCCATTCCTGGAGCGGAGAATGAGGAGGGTGAGGTTTGGGTTAGAAGGAAGCAAAGGATAGGCTGATTTATCATTCAGACTGAGATATAAAATGGCCAATAAGACGTGAAGCTTGGGGGATCTTTGCAATGGATGTATCAACCGATATAATCGTGGCAACACAGCTACATAGTAACCTACTGTACACAGTGTTGTCCGCAGGGGCAAGCGAGGAAATCCTGTCAGTCTCAGAGGCTATGACCCCTGGATTAGGTTATCTTAGCCAAGGATTTGCGGTGTAACAGATATTTAAAGTTCTTTAATGAAATTTCAAACGGAGCATCGGATCAATATTCTTCGTAGGCAAGTTTAAACGGTCTAAGCCTTAGTTATCGTCTACGTCCGCGTGAAGAAACATTGTTGTTCGACAGAAGAGAGGGTGTCCATGAGGGGCTATCTACAAATGCGGGGTATACCGGACTTGGAGATCTATCAAGATATCAAGATTCGACATGGAGGCGGTAAAAAAGGGCGGAAAAATTATGAATGTCTTCGGTCAAGTAGCGGTAGGCTGTAGCAGTGGTTGATTGCATGGAAATGCTTTAAATTGCCTGGCCAAGCATCTCAGAATCGGTGGGCATTCCACCGAAGATGTTCCTGAGCATTCAATTCAGATAGAGTTTGTTTTATGATATATGTTGTCTCATGGTACCGCCTCGATACCCGCTCTGTCTCCCCAGAATTCCCATCCATAAGTAGCTGCTTGAAGTCTCTCCGTTTTGAATAGTTGCTCAATCACTTCGCTTTCTTATCACTCTTCAAGATGGTTCAAAATTTCAAACTTCTATTAGCCGGCCTGGCTTCCACAATCTTCGTTTCCCCCATCTACGGTGCAGGACCACCAGCATTTCTCCTCGCAGGTGATTCCACAACGGCCATACAAAATGCCGCTAAAACAGGCGGTGGTTGGGGTGATGGATTCATATCTACCCTTAAAAACGGAGCTGGTGGTATAAATTATGGACACAACGGTGCAACGACTGTGAGCTTCGTAAGTGGTGGTGATTGGGCAAAAGTGCTGGCATCGGTAGCGACGTACAAGTCGGCCCATACAACTTTCGTGACTATTCAAGTAAGTGGCATTGAACGAAGAAAGGAGGTGGTGAAACGTAGTTGACAGGTAGAATAGTTCGGACACAATGACCAGAAGGCAAAAGCAAATATCACAGTCGCGGAATACAAGACCAACCTGCAGAATATGGCGCAAGATGTCGTGGCTGCTGGAGCGACACCGGTAAGTCGTGATCTCTTCATCTATTATCTACGCCTCATATCATTCAAACACCAACACCTCCAACACCTCCATCACTTTCATCACCTCCATCACTTTCATCACCTCCATCACTTTCATCACCTCCATCACTTTTGGATCGCAAGACCAAAAATATATCCATTGACGACGAAATAATGGAGGCCGAACCTTTCGAAGTACCGTAGATAAACTTCAAACTTCTCTAACTTTTGATATCTAGATTCTTGTCACTCCTATCACTCGTCGAAAGTTCAGTAGTTCGGGTGGTGGTGTCGCTCAAGATCTCGCTGTCCAAGCAAACGCAACCATTGCCGTTGCGAAATCTATCGGTGCATTCTACATCGATCTTAACCGCGCCTCTACGGACTATGTTAATGCCATCGGCGCGACTAACGCTGAAACGTATAACCTAATACCTACGGATTTCACACATATGAATGAAGCGGCAAGTGTATTGTTTGGAAATATGGTCAGCGGGTTGATCGGTAAATCCGTGGGCAGTGCTCCGGGCTTCGATATCAAGACTTATACAACGCCAAATGCGACGATTGCAAAAGATATTGCGAGTGGGACTTATATCTTCCCCAGTGGATTTGGAACTCTGCCAAGCAATACCCTCTCGGCATGAAGAAGCCTTGAGATGGGAAAACCTGTGGGGAAATTGTACATAGTTTAAAATATCGAGATGTTAAGAATATTCTCTCACTGCATAACCTTAATCTTTTGTTCTCGGCCGGGTAACGAAGAAATGATCCCGTGAGACATTGAAAGATAAAGATAAATCGCAAAGCCAAGACGGAATGCTAAAAGCATTTAAAACGGTCAAGTTCGAATTGGAAGGGGAAGTTCAAAACAAGTTGTGGCGTGTCAGCCCTAAAGTCGAGATGATTAACAGGATTGAATTAGACTATTGCATTGATGGATTTCTCACGATGTTGATGTTGTTTTTGTTGTTTTGAATAATAAAACCTCTTTTATTATAATATAATATTTATATTATTTATCATATAAATCTTCAAATGTTATATTTGTATTTGTATTTCAATTATACAAAATATAAATGAAATTACTATAAGAGTAATCAAATAAAGAGTCATAATTAATCAAACTTTAAAGAAATTGAAATAAAAAATCATTTTTATTCTAATCAAGGTAATAAAAATAATAAATCTTTATTCAAATCAACAAATAAGAATGATTTTGTCACGGACGCTATCAGGTTACAGTCTGAAAGTCTATACATCTTACAGGCCACAACCCTATTCATATAATCTCGGCGTTCTGCTGGCGAAACACCAAACCATTAGTCTAAGGGAACATTGCGTAAACCTCTTATTGGCGTTCATACGTCGGATTATATTCAATCCGAAAATTTCTTTACTTTTTATCTAGTTTAGAAAGGACAATGAAAAGCTTTAGAGCTGTTTTAAGATTAGTTGATTCTTTGTTGTGTATGACTTTAATAGATTTATTAAGATTTTAAAGGATTTGAATAAAAACTATATAAGAAGATTATAACTTTTAAATTGAAGATTATAATTTTATATTTTAAAAATATCAATGAAAATATATTATAAAACTTTATTATTATTAATATATATTACTAAAAGTTATATTTGTTTATTTTATTATAGTCTACAAGTTATTATTTTCAATTTATAAAATTTATTATCTTGATTAATATAATCTTCAATAGTTGATTTAATTAACAATATCAAGAGCTTGTTTAATGATCAGTTTATAAAATTTTCTAGTTTATCTCTCAAATTATGAATTTATTGATTTAAAAAGAGATTTATAAATAAGTATATAAATTTATAATTTTGATTAAAATCATATTAAGAAAACTTATTTGTTTATTGATTTTTGAACAAAATAATATTATTCTTGATAAATAATCAATTGAATTAATATAATAATTTCTTTATAATGATTTTCAAAAATGATTTTGAAGATTTTGAAAATTATTTATTTATTTATTATAAATTAAAAGTTTTTTATAAACTTAAACTATTAATTATTAGTAATATCAAATTTAAAAAATATAATTCTCTATTAAATCTTTTTAATTTTATAATTTTATCAAGATTTTGATCAATCCTCAAAAAGAATTTAATTTAATTGAATATTTTCTTATAATTAAATAATTTTTAAATTTAATTTTATATATTTTTTAGATTATATTTCTATGAGCTAGTCATCGAACGGTCTTTAAGTCTTTACTTTACTTTGCTTTAAGTTTCTAACAACACCGATTCCTTGGATAGAGGTAGTTGGTCGATTACCTCCTCTTCGCTCCTCTTGAATCTTCTTGAACATTCTCAGCCACCAGTACAATTGACGGGCAGATGATTGATCAAACTACAATGACTACCCGCTATCCAAGTTCACACAACTTTCTGGCCATACCGACATGCCTTTTTGCATCTTTCAGAAACACGCAGTCTTTTCCAATTTTTGGTGTTTACTCGCAGTGGGTAAAAAGATTGTGGAGTCTAGGAAAGCACATCATTTTGAAAATACTATCGTGATCCGTAATCACCTAAAATAGGAACTTCTTTTCCGATTGTGAAGGATTTGGATGTCCGAAATATCCAATTATTCTTAGTAATACATCGTACTGTGCACGGCAAGTACAGGACGGTATTGGAAGAAGGCAAACAAATAAATCAAATGAAATCAAAATCAAAATCAAAATCAAAATCAAATCATTCATTCACATTCATCCACATTCATCTCATTACCCGGAGTGGGCATTCTCAAAATCAACAATGGCTAAATGAGTGAGTGAGTTGCAATGCAACATCGTGGGATTCTCATCATGGATGCTGATTCCTGACCAGTTTTCACTGGTCAGTGATCACTCCCGAATCCCGATCACTTCCTAAATAACTTCCCTGTCCTAGTGAAATTCTGCTGCTCTGTCCACATTTTAAGGGACTAAAGGTAGAAAGAACTAGGAAACGTTGGCACGGCTGTTTCCACAAATCGAAAAGATATTCGTTTTGTAATCCAACATTTTGCATATGCGATAAGGCAAGAGAATGGTGCAATCCCGATGATTCGTTTTTTTTTCATTTCGAGGATGCTTAGTCGCGGCATGAGAGTTTTTCCTTCTCACTTGTATGTATATACGGTGTAGCTTTGCCATGGCACTCCTCTAATTTGCATTCATTCTCCTGGTATCCATCTTCGTGCCAGATATTTCCTCTTGGAGAAATGGTTCTATCATCCTTGAGAAGCCGACTCTTTTCTCGGCAACCGGAGGGTAATATTACCCCCGCATCCTCCGATCATGAGAAGGATGGGACAGCATCGAGTGTCACTGGTACCGACGAAATCAGCAGGTCCATCGAGGAACCTGGCAATTCAACTGAGAAGATCAGTCCCGAGACAAACATCAAAGATTCTACACCTGTTGTTGAGACATCCCCTCTGGACATTGAAAAAGCGACACCGACATCAGGGAAATTTGGTGATGATGACCCCCTTCTCAAAGATATCCCTTGGCAAGTTCGTCGAATTGTCAGTCTCGAGGATGATCCTACCGAACCGACAATCACATTCCGTTACTTCCTTTTGACACTTATATTTGTTGCACCAGGAGCTTTCTTATCACAGATGAGTTCATTCCGCACGACATCCGCTCCATACTCTGTCTTTTTCGTCCAAATTTGCTCCAACTATGTCGGTGCTTGGCTAGCGAAGATTCTTCCAGCCAGGACCATACATTTACCATTCGGAAGAAGTTTCAGTTTAAATCCAGGTCCATGGGGAACGAAAGAACATGTATTGGTTACCATTTCTGCAGCATCTGGCGCCACTTACAATTTAGCATACACCCCGGTCTCCATTGCTGAGCTCTACTTTGGGGTGACCATTCATCCAGCCATTGCCATATTCTTCATGTGGAGTGTAGTATACATTGGATATTCTTTTGCGGCGATTGCCAGGCAATTCTTGCTCTATGACCCCATGTACCCGTGGTATCAAGCGTAAGTGCAAGACTTTGTATCCCCTGCAATGCCACTTTTTCGGCACCACTCCTATCTCAACTCAGCTTTTGAGATTAGGCGTAGTGGGAAGGTGTAATGAATGACCGTCGCTAATTTCCTGATTCAAACAGACTCTGTCAGACTGCTCTCTTTGAAACTCAAAGGAAGCAGAGACAGCATCCATCCCCTGTGTCCAAGAAACAAATGAGAGTGTTCTTCGGCGTTCTCGCAGGTATCACCTTGTGGCAATTTCTACCAGAATTTGTGTTTCCAATGCTTGGGTCCTTGGCATTCCTCTGTTGGGTTGCCCCAGAGAACAAGGTTGCAAATTTTATGGGGTCAGGCCTGGGAGGAATGGGTTTCCTAAACCTCACACTCGATTGGTCAAGCATTGCGAGTTTGAGTAACTCCAACAGCTTGTTTGTAACTCCGTGGTGGACTCAAGTCATCATTTTCCTGGCATTTGTTGTAAACTGCTGGATATTACTTCCAGCTGCGAAATGGGGAAACCTGTCCTCTTGGAAGCCCGAATTGATGTCCAATCGTCTGTTCATGGGTATGATACACCCTCCACATGTTTCCCGTTGTCAAGTACTAACAAAGTCTTTCAGAAAATGGGACTCGTTATCCTACCACTGAGCTCATTACTCCCCAAGCTACATTCAACGAAACAGCCTATGCTGAATATGGGCCCATATATGTTGGCGCTCAACAGCTATGGAATATGTTCTTTGATTACGCTGCTTACACCTCCGGAATTAGTTGGATTTGTTTCTTTGGTTTCACACAAATCAAAGACACCATTAGCAAACTGAATGCTCGACGTAAGAATAAAGTTGAAGGAGAGACTATCAATCACCAATATGGAGATCAACTAAATATCCTCCAACGTTCTTACAAAGAAGTTCCATGGTGGTGGTCTTTAATCCTCTTCCTTGTCACCTTCGTTGTCATGATGGCCATCCTTGGTACTGGACACCTCTTTATTCCCCTGTGGACATACTTCATTGCCGTCCTCACTGGTGTTGTGGTTGTCATCCCGCTTGGTTGGTTATACGCCTTATCCAATTTCCAACTCCCAATTGGTACATTCAATGAATTGCTGTACGGATTGATGGTGAACACGGTCGATGGACACAAGAATCCTACTGGTGCATCAGTCTATTCATCCCTCGCGGGTGACGCATGGTATCGTGCACAACTCATGCTGCAAGACCAGAAAATTGGCCATTATATGCATATTCCTCCTCGAGACACCTTCTTTGCGCAGGTTTTTGGTTGTTTCATCGGTATTCCAATCAATTATGGTGTTGTAAGATGGGTCCTTAATACCAAAGCGGCATATCTGAGCGGTGCGGAAACAGACCCAACACATCAATGGACGGGTCAAGGCCTTGCTAGTACCTTGACAACTAGCACACAATATGTTCTTATTGGACCCCGTCGCCTTTTCGAGTTACCTATTTTCAAACCCCTTCCATACGGATTCCTCGTCGGTGCCGTCGCTCCAGCTATCATATATCTCCTTCATCGCCGCTTCCCCAAGGCCAAGTTTCACTTATTCAACACCACTATTTTCTTTTCCGGTCTTTCCAATTTCTATGGCAACATATCTACCGGATATACTTCTTCCATCATTGGTGGTTTCATTGTCTCTTATTGGGCATATAGATATAGGTATGAGCTTTGGGCGAGATACAACTATGTCCTTGCCGCCGCCTTTGATGCAGGATTTAATTTGAATATGTTGTTGATTTTCTTGTTCTTTGGTGCAGGCAAGATCGTCACTATGCCAAACTGGTGGGGCAACAATGCGGATAGTGTGGATAGATGTTTTGCTTTGGAGTAATCACGGAAATGATGTTCTGGTTAATGAATATGAAAAGCCAGTGAAAGATTTTATGTGCTACGAAACTCAGTTCGAGATAATGATAATGAAAATATGGCTGACAATTGTCATGATCTTCGTGTCAAAGTCTAGTAGTATACTTGCCAGAGTCTATTTCCAGCTACTTTTGAAATGTATTCATGATACCGTTTATTTGAAATTGGTCCATGGCTGGTATTGTTAATGTTCTTATCTGGCTAACCCAGTGGTCTTGATGTTTCCTCCCCAGCGCTCCGTTCCGCTTTCTTTCCTCTTCTATCCTGCTTTTAGTAGTTGAAATATTATATTTCTTCTTATTTTTAAAAATAAAATAGAAAAGAAAGAGCATGGTTTTTTGAATAAGATTTTTAAATAAATTCAAATAAAAAATAAAAATAATTGAAAAATTATATAATTTTAATTTAGTTTTTAACTTCAAAATATAAAAAGACTTTGGACGAGGAAAATTGTTAAAGCATGGGTCTGGGCCCTGTTGAAAAACAAGTCTAAGTAGTTTTCATTATTGCAAGGCTTATATTGTATCTTCTAATTGAAAATGAGATCAGAAAGATGAGAAAGACCATAGGAATTGTTATTTCAAGTAGAGAATCGATTCAATTGAATAAGATACATATGAGATAAATGAATGAATGGCACCAAACACAAGCTCCATGATAAAGAAGCCTTCCTAACTATCAAGACCTTCGTCGTCTTTCAGAACCTGCAAGGACCTCTAAAGGATGTCCTTGAGATATTCGTCAAGAGCAATAATAGCTTTCGCAGCCTCTATCCTATCCATGGGGCTACCGAGGTCATATATACGCGATTGCTTTAATACTACATATGGTAAATCAGCTGGTTCCTCTTGCGAGTAAATATACTCAAGATACTCCAACGAAAAGTCACAAGCAATGATCATCATATCAGTTTGATGTACCGAAACAAGAAAACGGCTAAGGAAACGAAGTCAGTGAACCTATTTCTTCAAGCTTTGATTGGGGAAACCCTACCGCCGTTGGTCGTCGCTAAGTGCTTCCTAGTCTTTTCTTTCTACCTTTGACATCACAGACCCAAGCAGCTCGCAGAATTGTTGCGCGAGAGTCCGATTGGATGGTATTCCCATTCCAGAACTATCAGATTGAGAATAGGACGATTTTACTTCTAGGCTAAATAGAAGCTCACTCTTGTTTATCCATGCTCTGGTGTCGGGGTCGTACTTTCGGCGCCAAGCAGCCCCATCATCTTGACAGGTACAATTTAATACATGTGAGACCAAATGTAACGTAGTTGGACCAATGCAAAACTCGCTTCTATGATTTTTATTTGACCCACTCGAGTAAACATCGAGAACTGTGGAAATAAACTGTGCAGCCATATTGGCAGATACGACTTCAGGGTGTTTTCTATCAAGCTGGTCTTCCAGCTCGAGTTCTCCGTCCTGCTGGTCTGGTACGTATTCGGAAGAGACTGTAAAGGGTGACGAGTTGGGAGGAAGAGATGTAAGGGTTTTCGAAATAGGTGTAGGAGTTGTTGGAATGGGTGTTGGAATAGGTGCACGGTTCGTTGGAGAAGATGAGGGTCTTGACGGAGACGAAGAAAACCCTTCCCCTTCGCCAGATCTGAAATCAGGCCTTTCCGGGACCTTGATATTTCTCCGAAGGCGGGGAAGGCGGGGACTCCCATCTGGTACATGACCATCTCGAGTAACGTCGGCGAGAGCGACGAAGAACGAACCGAAAACGCCTTCAGACCGCAGTTCTCTGTGAGCCAAGGTTTGCAACTGCTCATAGGTGATTGATTTGAGGGAATCGAGCATAGGTATGTTACTGTTTACAACTTTCGCAGCCATTTCTTTGTACTTTTTGGGAATCGGAACATCCTTTTGATCTTGAGCCAAGACACGGAATGCTTGGAGATGATTTGCAGACCAGAGACTTCCACTTGCATGTCTGTCTTGATCCGATAGATCACGAATTGTGGACGGATTACCAGGAAATCAGCGGGAAAATTCCCGCTGATTCGAAGGCCACATTATCGCCATGTTTTAAGTGACGGTATAGTAAAGTAACCAAGATGACGAAATTGTAAGACGGACGGGGCGTTCTGGAAGGGACGATGCTTTTCTCCGCAAAGCAAAAGACGGATTGGGAGGGGGGAGTTTGGGATTTTGGTGGTTATTTTCTTCTTCTTATGGATGGCGATGAAGGTGGATAGTGAGGAGATGAGAGGATAAAGCAAAGCTTCTTGAGATGAGGGCAGGAAGAAGCCATGTTACATTACTTACATGTATGTTATACGCAGTATGAGTATGTTAATTGTTGCAAGGTATGAGGAGCGGTTGGTTGGTTGGTTGGTGGTTTCACTCAACTGTTAGGCTGCTACACTCCATATTGCTAGGTGTGGGGAGGATTGATTGGTTGTTTTATTTAACTTCTTAGGCTGCTTGCTCTATTCTGTAAGATGTAAGGAGGGGTTGATTGGTTGTTTTATTCAGTCGTTAGGCTACCACACTCTCTGCTAGGCTGCTAAGCTGCTAGGCTAGGCTGCCATACTTCGATATATCATACTGTATACAGAGCAACTCGGTTATATCAGATATTTTTATATTGAAATCCTGTTTATACTAGAATATTTATTAACAATCTTAATATTTTATATAATAATATCAAAAATTCTGATATTTTAATTATACTAGATAATCATTTCAAAATTTTAATATATATAAATATTATAATCTTATTATAAATAAATAAAAGAAATTTAATTATTAGTTTGTTGATATCAAAATCTTACTATATATGTAGCGTATTGTAATTTACCTAGTATAGATTATAGGAAATAAAAAACTTACTTAAGTGAGTCGCGATCCTGATAATCTGATTGGTCTAAAATACCCCGGTAAATAATCTAACAAAAAGCTTAATATAAGCCTTATAATCTCAGACAAATCTGACTTGGAACTTTTTTCAACTCTATTGAAATCATTTAACTGAAATCATTCAACTCTGAAATCATTCAATTTAACTTTATTTATTCAATTCAACTCATTCAACTTATAATAATAATAATAATAATATAAATAATATAAATAATATAAATAATATAAATAATATAAATAATATAAATAATATAAATAATATTAATAATATAATTATTATTTTAAATAAATTTTTAGATATTTTTATTAATCAAATTGTAATATAAAAAGTATAATAGAAAAAATAAAAAGAATTTAAATAAAATAATCAAAAAGTTTATTATTAATAATAAATAAAAATTTTAATATTATTAAAATGTTAATTATATATTAAAAACAATAAGAAATTGAAGATTGTAATTTAAAAAAGATATTAAAGTAAAAATAAAAAGATATGATATTGAAAATAGAATAAAGATAAAAGTAAAGGTTATTATTGAAGTTATTTTGAGTCTTATTTAGATTTATATCTTAATACCTGAACCTCTTTATACCAGAAACCTGTTTATATCAGAGTAAATAAGTCTAATTTTTCATGTCCGGTATAACGGGGTTCTTCTGTATCACTAAGATGGGTGGAGATCAGTTGCCAGGTGAATAATCAAGATACCTACTGATTACTCGTAACGTGAAAACAAATGCTGGGTACCGAAATGTCAACAGAATAACAAAACAACCCAACACTACAAAATACCTCAAAATACTCCCACATCACAACACAACACAACGCAACCACATAACCAAAAATTCCGAATACCTCAAGCAACATCAACAACACCAAAGCCATATCAAAATCGCGATTGAAAGTATGGGCAATGATAAACCGAGTCATCGCCCGCGCCCTCCTCCAGCGCCTGGCTCTTTACGCGCTATACTACTCAAAAATTGCACCACTCGACTCTTCATCCATCCGTTTGAATGGACTGCCGACCACCTCCGTGCTTTTGGCGTCGAACTTGTTACATCTGCTAGTCTATGGGAGCCAGTCGCAGAGGACATTGAATCACAGGTCGTTGGGAGCAAAACAATAAAAAAAGCAATAAAGGATATAAATAGCAGTAAATTGCTATGGAGAGATAAAGCAACTCGAAAGCTAGTGATAGATATAGCAGAAGTACAAAATCTGCAACTGGGATGGGAAAGACTACATTTCATGTATGAGAATCAGGATATTGTTAAACTCCATGACGTTTTGATCGCCCGAGCTCAATCTACATCTGAGATTGATTCAAGACTTCCAATCTGGGCATACACTGATCATAAGAGCACATCTGCCACACGACGGAAATGGTATGATTCTAGAAAGAAACCATGGTCTTTTGTTTTGAAGGAAATCAAACGCAAAGCAGAGCTTCCTATTGATCCTGTTTACATCGCCATTCTGATCGCTCTAGCCCAGCAAAGAAGGAGATTTATTCCACAAGGACCAACATCGCATCGGGTATGCTAATCTTTTCCAAATAATACATAGCGCTAATCAATCATAACAGGTCACTCTTTTCGCCCCTATACATGAATCAATAGTGATATCTAGTGCTCATCCAAGAAGCACCCCATCTTTGACATCAGTATTGGCCGGGAGGCAGGAGATAATATCGAAGATTGTACAATACACGGCGGACATTTCAACTACATACTTGCAGAAGTTCGAGGATCCTTACAAGTTCCATGATGCTAGCCTCCGCATTGAGAGAAAGATACTACCGATTAATGAAGTTTCTATGTTCTTTCAAAGTATACAATCTGCCTTTAACGATCTTGATACGTACCCGAAATTCCTTTCTGAGGGTTCTATGTCGAAACGCAAAGCACTTGAGGAGTTGCATCCCAATACGAACGATCAAAAGCTGGAAAGCAAGCGGAGGAAAGTTTGTAGTGTATGAGACAGGGTAGATAGATCAAGAGATTGATATCGCAAGGTCGAATCAAATCATTATAGCGAATACTAGTTTTACATCAGAAGTTAATTAGCGATTAATAATTATTAGTAATTTATGCGATGCCGAACAGATGAAAGTATACAGATATATCGGTATTGCACTGGCGGAACGAATCGGCTTGCTCCCGTGGAGCAGTTAGTAAATTTGATGGCAGAAATGTGTATTCCATTAAAGAACAAGCCCTCCGATTCTCTTCCCGTCAACCCATTTGGGAAGGTAGAAGATGTGAATGAATTGAAAGGCTTTATAGACCGTCTCGGAACATTGGTTCAAAAACAGGACACTCGTTTAAATTTATGGTTAGCTCTTGGTGAAAGGAGTAATCTGGCCTCGTAAGAAACAGAAAACAGTACGATCAAGTGCTCTCCGAATGAACAAAAGACGTGAATCATGCTGCCCTTCTGTTAAAACAGAGAGCAAGGGACTCAGATATGCTCTCCCGACGATTGGGTTTCTCTTGTAGGTATCCATTGGGTCACAAACATAGAGACTGACCTTTTGGTGCGGTGCCCGAACGGTCAAATGAACATGCAATTGGTCTCAAGAGTTTTACATTGAAATCTTAATTTAAGGTGGTGCGAGAAGTCAACCCCAACGTGCCCACCACATGAGTTTCAAGGTGGCGGAATGAAAGTTGGTAAGCAGGAATATAGATTGGTTATGGTGCGTGACACTATTTCTGTCGTGTATACTGTTGGGCTGCCTATCTTGCGTGTCGTATCTACAACGAGGAGGGCATGCTAGCCATGCTACTCACCACACTCTCGGGGCATTAAGCTCATAGCCGTATCTATAGTACCTCTGGGAAAGAGATCTTTCGACGAACGCGTCTTCCGTGGTCAGTGTTACGACAGCTTCGGGCCTCGTATCATATGACCACTTATAAAGTCACATAACCCCTTAGATCCCTTCGATCTTTTTACCGAAGGGATCAAAGAGATTGAAGAGACGATTAGTATAAAGATCTATATAATCAAGATGGATTTCCTTTATATAGAACTTTATATTCAAAATTAATTATTTAGTATATTCTATTATTAATTACGAATAGTATATTATTACTATTATTATTTAAATCCTTATTTGATATTTAATTATAAACCTACTTCAAAAGCTTAGAATATTTTTATATGATCTAAATAGTTACCTTTGTAATACTTTGAACATCATTACTATTTCAAATACCGATTCGATAATAACAATATCATATCTTCTCAAATATCACAATCCAATAATCCTACTACAATTAATCAAGTTATTTGCAAAAGAATCAATAAGAATAAAGATATCTTTATAAAAAGAATTGAAAATTTTAAAAAGTTTATTATCAACAAAACTCTTAAAATTGTACTACCAGATCGATTTATAAACAATCGATAAGAATTAGAAATCTTCTTATTTCAATTTAAGATTTACTTTTAATTCAATTAGGATAAATTCAATTATGATATCAATAAAAGTATCTAAATTGTTTTCTATTTTAAAAAAGAAACTACTAAATAAATTCAATTTTATCTCAAGGATTACTTTATTAACTTGAGTAAACTTAAAAAACGAATATATTCTACTCAAATTATATTTGGGAAATTCGAAAACTTTAAAAAGGAGATACAATAGGTATTCGGAAATATCAATAAATTGTATAATACTGAATCCAAGATCTATAGTCTCAAACAAATAAGATCAATAATTAAGTATATTATAGAATTCAAAAGGTATATAAGTATTATTGAATAAAAAGAAAATATAATAATGAGTTATTATCGGAAGGGGCTTAAATCTAAAATCAAGTTAAAGTTGGATTGCAATTGTAATTGGAACGATTTAAATAAATTGATCGAGGAATCTATTAAGATAAACAAAATACTTTACAAATATCAAAAGAAATATTGATTTTTTAATTTTCATAAAAACCGAAATCATAATAAGTATTACAAAAATAAAGAAAGATCTTGAAAGAACAAATAATTATATAAAGAATTAATATAATTAGATATTATCTTCAAGAACAAATTTGTAACGATCTGGTTGAGGCAGCGGCTGCCTCAAGGTTTCGTATAGTTGGTAGTTGTAGGTTAAGGCTAATAATCATTGGTTATCTATTCGAAGATGAATATGTTATTAGATCAATTGGAATGTAGGTAAATTAATTGATAATTAAGTTGAGTATGAAACTTCTAAATTATGAAACTATTCTGATTATATACTAATCTCTTTTTCTATATTAGTTATGCTAATTGGTTAATATAGCTAACATTCCTATAATGCTAGCTTTGCTAATTGGTTAGCAGAGCTAGTATATCATATAATTAATCCTAAGACCTTTTATATCCCAAAGTCTTTTCTTTCCTAGAACATTTGTTTCAAAAGTTTTTCTTTTAGGAATTATAGTTTTAGAATATAATATCTTTTAAGATGATAATTCTATTATAATCAATTAAATAGGATATTTGTTTTATTCTATTATAGTTACTTAGAATACTTATTTTAGAAATCCTAGGGTTCTAAACTTAGATAATCAGAATCTTTGAAAACAATAGCTAAATCATATTCTTTTTGTAATCGATATATAAATTATCGATATCAATAATACTATTATAAAGAAAATTATGAATTATAATATTATCCTTATTTTAGTTAAATGTTGTCCTCGATTGTTTATAAAGTTTGAAAAGAAATGTTATTCTTTATATAATTTATTTCGAGTATTTCTTTTTTATTATATTATTTGTTTGTTTTTAATTTTATATTGATTATAAAGCTTTTGAATAAGAAATTAATTTGATTAAAAAGAAAATAGTTTTTTATACTCGATATGAAAGTATTAGTATCGAATGTATTTCTTTTTATAATATTAAGTATTATTATTATAGTTATTGTATTATTCTTAATAAATCATATAATGTTTGTGAATTGAATAAAATATCCTTTATTTTTAATTGGGAAGTTATTGATATTCAGATCGAATATATAGATATAAAAAAGGATAAAGTGATATTATGAATTCTTTGTTTTAGTAAACAATAAAAGTTTCTTTGTGAATAAAAATAAAAGATGATTATAATTGGTTTGAATTCTATAAATGAATTCGATGTTTTAGAAGAAAAAGAAAGAAAAGAAAAGGAATAGGAAATTGTTGTATCTTTTGTATTTATTACTTTTTCTAATCTTTTTGATCAATTTAATCAATTTGGTTAATTAAGCTTTGATCAATTTGATCGATTTGATCAATTTGATCGATTTGATCAATTACTAATTGATCTTATTAATTCCAATGAAAATCTTATAAACAATTTCGATTCTTTCGATTCTTTTTTATAGAAAATGATAAATTCTTTTTTCTTTTGAGTAAATTTGGATTTTGTTAATGAAATTCCTGGAATTGTTTTAGATATTTAATTTTTTTCTCGAATTTTTATATGTTTTCGGAATTGAAGTAATCTTTTTATTTTATTAAGTATTTGATTTTGTTTTTAATATATTTATAATTTAGTATTCTTTTTATTTTGTATTCCGTATTTTGATTTATAGATATGATTTCTATTTTAGGAATTTTAGATGTTTTTGGGGATGCTAATTCGAGTAAGAATATATAGAATATTGGATGTATATTTATATTTTTTGGTAATGTTAATTTATAATTCAAGGGTTCTTTAATTCTTTTGATTTTGAATAATTCAAATTTTTTATAATCTAATTTTGTATTAGATCTTTTTATTTCGATGTTTTTTCGAAATAAATAGATTTTATTCCTTTTTTTTAATATTGATTTTTGATTACATTTTCAATTATAATAATATATATTTCTTTTAATAATGAATTTTAATTCTATTGTTATTTTTTTATAAACTTCTTTGAATCTTTCTATTTATATTATTATAGATTGGTTTTCTATTTCTATGATTCTTGATTTATGATATATAATCAATTTATATTTATAATTGATATAATTCAGAATGATTTGTATTACTTCCGATATTGAACTATTATATACAAATTGTATTAAAAATAAAAGTTCTATCCAATTATTCTGTTAATAATTCATATAATATCAAAGATAAACTTTAACAATCTAATTTATTCTTTTGTTCTCTTTATTGATTTATAAATAGAATATAATAAACATTTTTCTTTTTATTTCTAATAATACTATTAAAATAATCCAAAATTTCGAAATAAAAAGTTTATCTTTATTAGAAAGTATTTCCTTTGATAATCTATATACTACAACGATCTTTTTCAGAAATATAAAGATTAGTATTTTTGTAATTAACATTGTTTGATATAATATAAATATCAAATACTTTATTAATCTATTTATTATAACAAAAAGGTAATTATATATTACCTTTATTATTGGATTCTTGGATTTTGATAATGGACTTATAAAATCTTATAATATTGATTTTCATAATATAAATAATATTTCAATAATATTCATTTATTTATAAAGAATATAATAAAAAGCTTTATTTCTAATACAAATATCATATTTGATAATCATTTTATTAATCATATTATAGAATCCTGAATTTCAATATTGTCTTTTGATTCTTAAATATATTCTTTATATTCCTTGATATCCATAAACTAACAATATATATTATTTTATAATATACTCAAAGACAATACTACTTAATAACCAAATCTTGTTTTCTATTCAAAACAATTTATCAATAATTATTGATAATTCTAATTATTTGATATCTTCTTTATTCTATTATACTTTTATAAATTTATTTTTCTAAACCTTTATTGATTTATTTTCTATAATAACGATTTCTATTAGATTAAGAATAAAATCTCTATTTGATAAGGATTTCAAAATTATTATTTTCTGATAAATTTTATTATCTTCATAATCTAATGATTTACTTAAAGCATTTATTTTTATATTGTTTTTTCTTTTAATATATTTGATTATCAAATCAAACCCTGCTAGTTCCTTAGTCTATCTAGCCAATCTATAATTATCTAAGATTTTAATGATAATAAAGATTTGAAGATTTATATAATCAGTATAAATGATTATTAGAAATTTAGTTTTTTAAAGATAAATCCTTTAATGTTTTAATGTTTTTATAATAATTATAAATTCTTTTTTATAAA